CTCTAGCATCAACAAGGCATTTGTGCCCACAGAACTGCCGCTCACTGGATATTTTGTTTTTTTCTGACCATTCACTGTAAACCCTAGAGATGTTTGTGTGTGAAAACCCCAGTAGATCAACAGCTTCTGAAATGCTCAGACCAGGCAGTCTGGCACCAACAACCATGCCACGTTCAAAGTCACTTAAATCACCTTTCTTTCCCATTCTGATGTTCGGTTTGAATTGCAGCAGATTGTCTTGACCATGTCTACATGCCTAAATGTGTTGGGTTGCTGCCATGTGATTGGCCGGTTAGAAATTTACATCACTGAGCAGCTGGACTGGTGTATCCAATAAAGTGGCAGGCGAGTGTGTGTGTGTGTGTATTCATAATGTTATTTTTGTGATTATAATAAATGGGCAATGTTTAGTCAAATAGGTAAATACATTCTTTTGTGATACATTCAGCTTCATATGCAGCGTCTGTGCAGTCTTAGTTATGAGATAGGAATGTATGTTCATATAAGCAAACAAATACATGCACATGAGAGAGAGAGAGACAGAGAGAGAGAAGATGAAAAAAAATATTAAATATGTCCAAGTCACTGTCTTTTATTCTTTGTCAATTTTAAAAAGACAAAGAGTTTATGGCTTCTGTTTCAGGTCTAGATGATGTGATAGTGGTGCCCATGGAAACTATGGTCAAAACAGCATAGCGACAAAGTAACCAATAAGAGAAGGAGAAACACACCCTTAGATACAAGAGTCCAATCTGTCCATCCCATTAAATGATTGGCTTTTGTTGTTTACTGGCATATCTTGGTACTATTCCTTCCTTCATTTTCCTTTGGCTTAGTCTCTATTTCAGAGGTCACCACAGCAGAGTGAACCACCAACCTTTTCAGCATATGTTTTACATAGTGGACGCTCTTCCAGCCACAACCTAATATTGGGAAACACCCATACACAATTTACACACACACCCATACACTACAGACAAATTAGTTTGTTCTTTTCACCTGTAGCGCATGTCTTTGGACTGTGGGGGAAACCGGAGCACCTGAAGGAAACCCATGCAAACACAGGGAGAACACAGAAATGCCAACTGGCCCAGCCAGGATGTGAACCAGCAACCTTTATGCTGTGAGGCAATGGTGCTAACCACTGACCCACTGTGCCGCCCTCTTGGTACTGTTTATATTTTAACTGAATTCATTTTTAATTAAGTATTTTTACAGATTTTGTTTCAAAGCTGTTCTTTCCAAAAACTGTGCATTCTCATTCTGTTTTTTTTTTTTTTGAAATTCTCTTACTTTCCATATAGCTAATGGGAATGTAGGTGATCAGGTAGGTGATTATCTGGTTGCAGATTTGCATACGCAAGCTGAGACAAACAACCTTAAGCCTAGTTCACACTACAGGATTTTAAACATCAGCAGATCGCTGTGCCGTTCACACTACATGACTTGACTTTGTGTCTTTTGATCTCTGTGGTGTTCACACTACGCAACACTCCGTGAACGATCCACAAGAGGGGGGTCACACACTACATGATCTGACAACATCTCATTCCCCATCAGCTCATTCAAGCTACCAAACCACAGCCAATGAAAATTTGAGGGAGGAGTTGTCAGACAAAGCTGAACACTATTGGCTGCTTGTGTGCTGATTTCATCACTGACAGCTTTTCAAGCTTTGAAGAAAGCATTTAAAAACATCGTCAAATCAGCTGATTTATGAGCGGATTAATCACTCATCTGCAAGGTTTGAGTGGAGATACACAGAGTTTTTAATTTTTGTAATTTTATAACTCTTTGAAATAAAACTAACATATTTATAACACCCTGCCGTTTTCTAACTATCAGTGTATTTCTTTCTGACATTGTTATTTTTTTTATTACAAAACAGTAAAGAACTGAGCAATTCTGCCTTAAATTCTGCCATATTGGTCAAAATGACTGCATGCATGTCTGATACTTTTCACTGTGACTTTAAATATGTGTGCATTTTCTTGCCTGGCAACTTCCTGCTAACATAAACAAAACTTTCTGATGGCAAAAACATCAATTTACTTCAGATATCTTTCAAAACAGCATATTCTGTGCTGTGAAATAGCTCCTGTTTGACAGTGAAAATGAAAGCCAAGACCTTTAAGTGTTTTAGTATATTAACTACATATTTATAGGCTGTATTACCAAAAAAAGATGATATTTTTAGGGTAATGGTGTCATTAAATATGATGCCAGACATTCAAAGCTTAATTTTAGTATCTCAATAATAGCTTTGAATGTAAATATGTTGTGACAGTATGGCGTTTTATATGAGAACGGTCAGAATGAGCAGTATGGTAATTCTAATAGTTACAGAATTCTAGTTCCACTGTTAATATAGCCTACTCTCATGTCTGTGCTAACGCAGAATGAAGCGAGTGCACCGATGCCCATTCTGACCAATCACAGATGTTTCTGCTGAGCTCCTGAACACACAGCCATTCAGCTCATGCTGATATGCTCTCTCATTGGCTGTAGCTCGTCACTACATCTGACCACACGTGGGGTTGAGTCGGCCGACTGCTCTGGAATATTTAGCATGCTGAATGTTGGATTTCTGTCTGCGAGGTGTCAGCGACGCGTCAGCGAGCCTCGTTGATGCGTTGCTCAGTAGTTCACACATAAAGAGCGGCGAGCGCCGAGCACCCGCAGATTTCTTCCCGATCACAGCCCGATCTGTCGGCGAGCTCGTTAACTTCCAAATCGGGCTCAAATCAGGCTTAAAATCCTCTAGTGTGAACTAGGCATTAGATGTACAATCCCAGACACAATGCACTCAAAGGAGCGAGTGACTTCACTGTGAGGTGTAGGGTTAGGTGTGCACATTAAAAGCATTCTCCAATTTGTTAGTCCTATTGAGGTGCCATGAGAAATAAAGCAGTTTTTATTGTGCTAAGTGAGCACCACTTCCTGTTAACATCAAAGGGAGGAACATTAACACTTTCCAGAACTCTCCCCTTAACTGTTTGTTGCTGGTGGAATGATCTTCACTACTCCATCCATACTAGGCATCCATAGTAGGCTATATGCACAATGGCACATCCCTTATGACAAGTAAGCATGGTTTTGATATATATATATATATATATATATATATATATATATATATATATATATATATATATATATATATATATATATATATCTATTATATCTATTATATATATATATATATATCTCCCTGAATTCTTAGCCCCGTTTATTTTTTTTCCAGTAATTTCTGTTAAGTGGAGAGATTTTTTTCAACACATTTCTAAACATAATAGTTTTAATAATTCATTTCTAATAACTGATTTATTTTATCTTTGCCATGATGACAGTAAATAATATTTGACTAGATATTTTTCAAAACACTTCTATATAGCCTAAGTGACATTTAAAGGCTTAACTAGGTTAATTAGGTTAACTAGGCAAGTTAGGGTAATAAGGCAAGTTATTGTTTAATTATGGTTTGTTCTGTAGACAGTAAAAAAAATATATAGCTTAAAGGGGCTAATAATTTTGACCTTAAAATTAAAAACTGCTTTTTATTCTAGTCGAAATAGAATGAATAAGACTTGTTTTAGCAGTTCATTTGGGAAATATTCGAAAAAGAAAAAAATTCAAAGGGAGGCTGTCTGTCTGTCTGTCTGTCTGTCTGTCTGTCCGTCTGTCCGTCCACTGGCTGCCTTAAAAATGTAAGTAAACGTAACATAGAGAGATTCTTTGATTCAACTTGAGATGTTGAATTTCACAAATTATTTAATTAAAACTTAACATCTTAAGTTGAAACAAAGAATCTCTTTAAGTTGAGTTGACTTACATTTAAAATTTTTCATGTATGGACTTAAAAGTGACTTTGTTTTGTTGATTAATTTGTACTATAGTTATTCAGAGTTTACTTTGCAATACTCTTGTTCAAGTATCTTATACTCTCTTTTTGTTTGACCCTAAATCAAAACCTTGAGTTGCACGGTTATATTTTTGGCAATATATAGCCAAAACTACACTGTTTGTGTCAAAATTGTTGTGTTGTTTTTTATATTGTGCCAAACATTAGCTATTAGATGAATAAACAATATGTTCAATAGATACATTTTGTGAATTCATACTGTAAATAAACTAATATTTTGATTAGTAATACACAAGATTATAGAGCTGATATAATTACTACACACTAAGAACTTATTTCGGACTATACTTTAAAGCAATTTTTGCTTTTTATTTTTAGCACTCAGATTCCTGACTTTCAAATAGTTTTATCCCAGCCAAATACTAACAAACCACATGTAAGAATGGAATGCTTGTACATTTAGCTGTATGTATGTATTTATATATATATATATATATATATATATATATTGCCTAATATTATTTATTTGGGTGTTTTTTCCTGCATGTATTGAGCCATTAATTTCCTTCTCAGCAGCACTTTGCATACATCAAATGTCACGGTTTTATTGCTATCTACAATTTGAAGGTTCAACAGAGGGATATATGCATACATATAGAAAATGTTAACATTAATTAGTATGTTCTTGTTATTTGAAGTATTTTATGAATAATGAAGGGATTTCCCAAGTCTTATCAGGCTAGTTTGAAAAAAGTAAACATTTTGAACCTGAACTAATCAGATTTTTGTGCCAGAATTTATGCAAAGTAGCGAATATTTTATAAAATAATGCTTCATTTGGATTTCAAAACATAACATTGGTAGCTTATTCACCTGCAGTGGTTTGCCCTAATGTATAAAATGTAAAAAAAACCTTCAACCCTATAACACAAACAAACAAACAAACAAACAAACAAACAAACAAACAAACAAACAAACAAACAAACAAACAAACAAACAAACAAACAAACAAACAAACAAACAAACAAATAAATAAGCAAACCCTGATTACGAACTCATCATGACCTATTAGTAAATGGCTTGTGCTATTATTCACCCCCTCCAGTAGGCGGCAGTGACGAATAAAGAGCCTACATCAGCTGTCATTTACATGAAGCCAGAGAAGAGAAGTGGAGTCGACTCGACTGTGGTGTTGTTGACATTACCAGAAAGGCTCTGAAAGTTTTAACAGTTAACATGGCAACACAGTCTGCAGCTTCGGATACGTGTTTTCAGCCGGTCAGTTGAAGACACTGGGCTGTCAGACGAGCGCGCGCATCGGCTGATTTTGTGGAAGTGCCTGTAAGTAAACTTTCGGCTTTTTCTGGGTCGGGACAAGACCGCATACGAGGTCATTGATCGCAACATCACATTTCTCAGAACAGTTAGACTGTTTGCTTTACTTGCGTATTGTTTCTACTGTTAGCTGGCATTATATGTGCACTAAATAGTTTTGTTAATGTTACTTAAACAATATAAACGTTTAAGAATAAATAATGGAGCTTTATTAGTTTGAAAGGCGAGAATAATAATTCAGAATGTTTATTCATATCTGTTTTAATCATTATTTATATCTATTTTATCGTAATTTGTACATTAATTTTGGAGATCTGTATCAGACGTCAGGTATTTATAGGGCTGTAATGTATATGGTAACTGTAGCAGTTAAGTTCAGTCCCTAAAAATTCCTGTCACTCACTTTACACACAAATACGCGACCCCCATCACACATGCATGTGAACTCGTACCTATTGTGTACGTGCTGTTTACTGCTTGAACAAATTGCTTTATTTGCAAAATATATACCAAATGGTCTAAAAATAATGTTGGATTTTTTTTTAAATATTATAAAAATGTAACATTATACAATAGCTTAATATTAGCATAACTAAATATGTAATGGATTTTGTTACACTTTATTTAAATGTTCAATTTGATGTTTAACTAGATTATTGAACATGAAAATACTTCTGAAGTGTTTGTTCATTTTATTAAGCTTTAATTTCAACATCAATATCAACATTAATTTTAACTGTGTAGGCAAGACAAGTTTATTTTATAGCACATTTCATAAACTATGGTCATTCAAAGTGCTTTACTTAAACAAGAATAAAAGAAGCTAGAAAATAACAATGATTAAAAGAATTAAAATGATTAAACATTCAAATGTGTTATAAAAGAAAAGTAAGACATCATAGTGCGATCTGTCGGATGTAGCTCAGTGCTCATTTGGTAAAAGCACAGCTAAACAAACAGATGTTTTCAGTCTTGATTTGAATGAGCCTAATGCTGGAGCACATCTGTTCATTTCTGGAAGCTGATTGCAGCAGCGGGGGATGTAGTAGCTTGAGGTGCATTCACCCTGCTTAAAGTAAATTTTATAATATCTAATGAACTGGAGCTGATATGAACTAACAGTGAGTTCATTTTTATCAATAAACGTTAACAAATTATACTGCAATAAATGTATGTTGTATTATTAATGCATTAACTAATATTAATGTAGCTTATTTAAAAAAGTTTTTGTAGTAGATAATATTAGGTAATATGGGCTGATAATTAACAATTGTTCTGCAGCACTAAAGTTTACTGACACAGCTAAAAGGAAATGTCATCATGATGATAATAATATTGAGGTAAAATAATTAAAGTAAAGTAATAATGATAAAATAAATTATTTTATTAGGTAATTAGTTAATTGATAGATGAATGGATGGATATACAGATTGATAGACAGACAGACAGACATATTGATTGATTGATAAAAACGAAAATAATTAAAATGAATGACTGACAGACAGGCCGTGCATGCATGCTAGTGGGTGGGTGGGTGTATTTTTTATAGTATTAAAAGCTTTTTTTCTTTAAACATTTTATTTATTGACATGCACATGCAGGGTTTAATGCTAAGGATTTTTCTACTGGCCTGATTTCTACCGGCCCGATTTTTCTACTGGTTCGAATGGCCCGAATGGGCCAGTGGTTAAGATTTTTACTTGCCCTGCCAAAATTGTCACTGGCCCCACAAAAAAAAAAAGTTAAAAGCTACATGTTTTCAATATGTTATATATCTGCCTTAATGCTATTCAGGACATCTGAGGATCCTCAAAAATAACATCTGTGAATCTAGGATTTAAAAATGTTAATAAATGTATAATGAGCAAAATACAAAGTGTTTCACTTTTATCGCGTGCTTCAAGGTTTTATTTTTAATAATTGAATGTTTCAATAAAAAAGGCTCCCGATTTGTCTGCTTTTCCTGGAAAGTTTTTCGTTGTGTTGTACTAGGCATGGAACCATAACCGGATTTAAGGTTTACCGCAGTTTGAAAAAGTCAAGGTTTTAAAACAGACAGAATTTTCTGTTATACCGTTTCTATGGTATATGCATAGAAACGTATATACCATAGGAACGGTAAGACTATTTTTTCAAATTGTTCAAATAACACACCTCACTAGAATAAGCTAGTGGAGTGATTCATGCCCATCATCATTTGATTGACAGAGATAACATTAGTAAAAAGCACAACAAACAGCAGCGTGAGTGGCATAGCTTGTAAAGCGCATGGCAACATATTTTGACACGATCGATCATGAACCCGGTTGGACTCCAGCGTCTGATGAACACGTTCTTCTTTTTCCCCCCACTGCATATCAGATTTTGCTTAATCTTCATCATGAAGAAAACAAGTAGGAATCATTAAAAGTGTGTGTATTATGAAGGACAAAGATTCATAGAACTGGATTGAAGAGGTGTTATATCCAGATCCTATGCATAATAAGTTTATAGAAGTTATACATTAAAAACTGCTTCAGTGAATTTAAACAAGAATATAAAAATCTATTAATTTTCACTATTAGTATTTTTTTTATCAAAGTGTGCTTTAAATGCTTAAAAAATAAGTAAAATCTTTGTAAACGAAAAATAAATGTACTGTATATCATTTATTTAAATGCGGGCAATACATTATAGATTCATTTTATTTTAAAAAAATATTATATTAATCTTATTTTTTTAATTCACTATAGAGGCCAGGTAGGAGCCTACTAGACATTGTGCCCAGAGACCTCTGAATTCTTAATCCAGGCCTGGATGAGGAACCAAAAAGCAATATATCTACTACGTCATACAGAAGGTGGCATTTAAAGGCTTAAAAGCACAAACTGTTTCTCGATTCTAAAACTTGGGGTAGTTGGGCCAGTAACGATCCTGTCTTCTGCCCCAAGCATCTCGCACACTGGCCCTGGGCGATCAGGCAGTCCTTATTGTTGAGCCCTGACATGAGTTAATAAATAAAACGTAAAAAAAAAAATGCCAGAAAGAAAATGAAGGAATTTATTGAAATAAAACCACCACAGCCAGTTTAAAAATGTTGATGATTCACAGGAAAGGCTTCAGGTGGAATTTTTGAACGTGACGTCACAATGACTTCTCAAAAGTAGCTTTTAAATATCTGTACACTGTGTACGTATGTGATAGCACAAGTACGACCGACTGATTGATTATCTGACCAATCAATATTTCTAATACACAAAAAGCAGACATGCAAACATTCTCCTCCCTCATTCAAATCAATATAAATAAATGTGTCTGTGTTTTAAGAATTCAGCATGACTCGTGATATCGTTCTTGGAGATGAACTACCTGACTGGGTGGGAGCAAAAGAGTTTTATCAGAAGTATGATCCAAAAGAGGTGATCGGCAGGTGAGCATTTGTTCGAGTGCTTTCTGTCATTCATTGAGATGTCCTGTGTCTAAGTAAACTGTCCGCTGTGCAGAGGAGTGAGCAGTGTGGTGCGCAGGTGTGTACATAAACATACGGGACAAGAGTTTGCGGTGAAGATCATTGAAATCACAGCAGAGAAGATGACAGAACAGCAGCTGGAGGAGGTGAAGAGCTCCACGCTCAAGGAGATCCATGTGCTTAATTTGGTGAAAGGTCATCCGTCCATCAGTGAGTCTCAGTTACATGGCTAATGTTTCAAGTGATGTTTTCAAACTTTTCTTAGTAGTAACTGACCTGATTTTTCACTCTTTCCAGTAACACTTATTGATTCTTATGAGTCAACGGCCTTCATATTTTTGGTATTTGACCTGTAAGTATATTTTATTATATTATTTTTCAAGATTTTTAACTTTAAAACTGTTTCTTTTTAATGTAGAAACAACTAATTATATGAAGGGAATCTATTTGTAAATTAAAGAAATAATTACCATTTTGAAAATAGACATGATCAGGTTGTACATACGAGATGTATGCTGCATCCAAAATCGCCTTCTCAGTAGATGCTGCCTTTGAATTTAAATGTACTACTCAATTGTTAGAATAGTATGTTCTATAGAGTATGAATGGAACTCGGACGTACTACATTCGCCATTTTGTCATCATCATGTGACCTACCCACATCAGTTGTGTCGCTTTATACCCATTTATGAGTTCTCTAGCGGGGCATCATGGGATAGCGTAGCGTCCATCTAATGTGCACTTCAGAGTCTCACCAAAAATGATAGGTCATCCGAGTACATCTCACATACTGTTTTTCAAATTCTGTAAATTCAGACATGCTACTTGGCTTGCATACTGTTTTTAGCGTACTATATAGTATAGAAGTGTGCGATTTCTGACGCAGCTGTAGAATTGGCCACTCAAGACTTACTCGTATTTGTTGAAAGGGGAAGAAAAACTTGTCTGTGACTTGTGTAAGAATATTTTGACGATAAAACACATTTGAATAAATTTAGTATTCAATTATATTAGAAAACTTTTTTTATTCAGGAAATATTTTTAAAAAGGTGTCTTCTGGAGGAGTTTTAGAATATTTATCATTAATCAACTGAAAGATTGAATGCGATTCTTTTCAGTGTTGTTGTTATTTGTATGTTTTTGTGTGTTATACAATGAATGTTTATTAAGAAACCGATATGATTGCATGTTACAGTTTTAGGCAAACGTTTGGCCACCCCTGATAATTTTTTATAGTTGCAAGCCATAGTCTGCTGGCCTTTCAAATGAGTAAATTCATTTGGATATATTTTAAAACCTAGGGAAAGAGCCACATTTCAGTTCTGACACAACATTTATTTAATCAATAGATGCAATGCAATTCAAGTCATAACAAAAACAGACAAGTGCAAAGATTTGGGCACCCCAACAGTATAATGTTACCAATCTTTTGCACAGCCACCTTTTGCTGAAGTAACAGCCTGTAGACGGCCTTCCATTTTCTTACTATATTTCTGACTGGGGTAATAAAGACTTTAAACCTTTGTGATAGCTTTTAGTATCTTTCTCCTAATTCATGACGATAAATTGTGCTAGTTTTTAGGTCTTTAGGACGTTCTTTTGAGGTTTTCATGTTGCTACTTTCTGGTTCACAATAAGGAGAAGCACAGCTAGCAATTAGCTATCTTAAATATCCTTTATGATGATTGGTTGCACCTCTGTAAAGATTGTAAGGTTCACGGAGTCACTCAAATCAAGTTTGCGTTTTCAATCAGTATTAAATGACCACAGGTTTTGAAATCCAACTAATAGATTGTGCCCAAACTTTTTCATAACCTATTTTTCAGTTTCAAGTTAATTTTACACATTTTAATACTGCTACACTATGGATTTCTGTCTTAACATGACTTTGGCTAGATTTTTCTAGATACCGAATGGCATTTCATTGCAATCGTCTCCTATATAGAACAAACACAAAACTATGCAGCCACAGAGGGGTGCCCAAATTGTTGCATAAGACTGTATATATTGTAAATTTAGTTTAGGTTTTGTCATGAATATAGCCAATGCTGTTGATATGGCATTAAGACATAAATAAATACATTTGAAAAAGAAATGATTACTTATGTACAGGAATGGTGTGTTAAATTGATAACATAATAGTAAGGATATCTAGAATGTTACAGATATTTAAAAACCAGTGCTGTTTAAATTTTTAAAGATTACAGAAAAAAATGTTTTTATATTAAACATGTTGCATTAATAAGAATTAAGTTAGCATTAAATCATGTGACATTGAAGACTGGAGTCATTTAGCCTTGAATTACATGAATTCACCAGACAGTTCAGCCAAAATTAAAATTTTCTACATCATTTACACACTCAGGTGGTTCAAAATTTTTATGAATACAATTCTTCTCTTTAAAACAAAACAAGATGCTCTAAATATTGTTGGAAAAAAACAGCAATTGACATCAATAGGAAAAAAAAATACTATTGAAGTAATCAAAAACATTGTTCACTAGAAGAAGAAACTGAAATGGGTATGATGAATGAGTAAATGATGTGTTGGAATGTTATCCTCTTTTCCATGCAGAAGTTTAACTTTTGGGTGAAATATATCTTTAGTTGCATTTTAAAATACATTAAAAGAGAAATCTTTGAAACAGTGACAAAAGAAATGAACAATATTAATGTTGTAGAGTCATATTTTAAAATAAACAATTGGTGCATTAGTGTGTCCATTCCAATACATAAAAAAACTTAAACCTTTAAACAGCTAATCATCTGTAACTCTTTGAACAGCATGAGAAGAGGAGAGCTGTTTGATTACTTGACAGAAAAAGTCACTCTCAGTGAAAAGGAAACCAGGTGAGCTTTCACTTTATTCTCAAAATCTCAAATTTTGTTTCAAGCTTCCACAACAGCTAGTTGTCCTCCTCATAATTACAAATATTTCCTCTGAAACGATTATAGGAGCATGATGCGTGCTCTTCTGGAGGCTGTCCAGTATCTACATGCTCTAAATATTGTACACCGTGACCTCAAACCTGAAAATATTCTGCTAGACGACCAGGGGCACCTCAAACTTTCAGACTTTGGCTTTTCTGTCCAGCTGGGACCTGATGAAAAGCTAAGAGGTAAGAAAAGGAACACCAAGTAAACCCATTTCAGATATCCTCCTCAATTAAAGCAGTCCGGTTATGCCCTATTCATCAGAGGTATTATAAAACAGGGCTCCTGACTGATATCCGAGAGCAACTTCTTCAGATGATACCACAAACACCTGGTTTGATGATATTATTAATATTTGTAAAAGCAGTTTTGAGTTTTCATTAAGAAAAACTCTTAACTTAGAGAAACTATTTGTAGAATGCGAAAACCAGTGATGGGAATAACTGCGATGTAAATAAACGGCTATACTATTTTCAGTATCAAGGAATCAAATGAACTACTGTTTCCCACTGTTACAACACCATTATCATTGCTGACAATAATATGCACATTGAACACTGAAGCAGTTTTCATGCCAGCAGCGTCTCTCTCAGTCATAGGACGTCTCTTTCTCTCGTGTGGGTGTGTGTGTTTGGAGCTGGAACACGACACATAACCAGCCAGTGATGATGATTGGTGTGGCTGTAAACGTGGTGTAACTGAGAACGTGATCATTTGCTTAGAGTACATTTCCATCATTTGTCAGATAGAGGCATAGAGGCAGAGCATTGTGGGCAATCACACACAGTCGCACAGCCCAACCACCTGGAGTCAGAACAATGGCAAATCCAGCAAGTTCAAAGGCAAACTGGAAATATAACACTATTTTACAACATTAAAATAGTGTAGATTAGTTTAAAGTGTGTTATATTTATTTTATAGTCCTTTGACAAATAAGATTTTTTTAAGTAACGCAATATTTACTTTTCCTGGTAATTAGTTACTTTTATAATTGTGTAACTTGGTTACTAACTCAGTTACTATTTGTGAGATACTAGTAACTGTAACTAATTATTCTTTTAAAGGAAGGTGTAAAGAAGGAAGTATTACAACCTTGATATTAAAAAAAAAAGTAGCCTATTTCTTTATAGACATTTATTATATATAAAAAAGTAAGTTTAGTTACAGCACATCCTTTTTAATTCCATTCTTAAAATATCGGAAGCAAGCTAAAACAAACGGTTTCTTACATGCAAATGAGCTGCTGCGCTCCACCCCATTTCCAGAAGAGGGCAGAGTTTTTACTGCCTGTGCCTTGTTACTCCAATAATAAACAAACAAACATCTTCATGCATTTAAAGCATTGTCTGTTTAAACTCTTGTTATTGTGTTTTTGGAGCATAGAGACATTTCACATTACTAAAAAACAAAGAACAAGAAACTTTAGGGATGCACCTAAATGAAAATTCTGGCTTATAACTTAAAACTGACATATTTTGATGCACTTAACCAAAGACAAAACCAAACCTGAGAATGTTATGTATTGTTTATTTAAAACATATAAATCAAGTAATATAAAGTAATTTTGTAAGACTTTCTAAATTAAAGTCATTAATTTTCCTTTCAGCTTAGTCTGTATTTTAGAGGTTGCCATAGCGGAATGAACCGCCAACTATTCCAGCATATTTTTTACACAGCTGATGCCCTTCCAGTCAAAACCGAGTATTGGAAAACACCCATACACACTCATTCACACCCACACTCATCAAGTACGGCCAATTTATTTCATCCAGTTCATCTATAGTACATGTCTTTGGACTTTAAGGAAAACTGGAGCACCCAGAGAAAACCCACGCAAACACGGGGAGAACATGCAAACTCCACACAGAAATGCCAACTGGCCCAGCCAAGACTTGAACCAGCGACCTTCTTGCTGTGAGGCGACAGTGCTATCCACCGAGCCACCCTAAATAAAGTAACTTAAATTATACTGATTTTTAACAAACACAAGCCATTAAAATAACAACATTTTATTGACAGTGAAAGAGTCGAGAGGCATGATTTTACCATCGTTGTCATGACAAGGGACAAGTATACTACAGGGACAAGTATACTACAGAGAAATGTCCTGTCGGCGCTTTATTTGAACAGACATTGCATTTTGGGTGAGAATGTGTGGTTCATTCATAGATAAGTACACATGTACATGGGTGGAATTTTCTCTTTGACCACTCTGCTGCTTTGGACGGCATAGCAACAAATTGCCCTTGCATCTGTTTAATAAACCCGCTTCACATCACACAGTAAATATGACTGGAGGGAGAGTGAAACCAGGGACGCTGGTCACTTTTCATCTCATATTAACAACTTATTTTCTTTCAGCTAAATTAAAATGATCAAATATATGTGTTATATTAAAATAAAATGCAAATAAATAATAAAATTAAGTAAAAGAGATTTTAATATTAAGCCATTGCTTTGAGGTTGGAATTTTCTTTTTCATTTTAACAATACTAACCTTCTAGTTAAAAGCGTATCATAGGCAATCACATTGTTACTTCTATTACAACACTAGGACTGTCGTGTAATACAAATTATTGAAATTATGGCCTGAAATTATGGAGAGAAATTTAAATGTTAGCTGCCAGAAATACTTTATTTTTGAACAAGACCAAAACATATGAGATGGTGTAACTGGCTCAACATTACATCGGTCACAATTAGGGGTTATATTTGCTTCAAATTTGGCTAGTTTCACTTTTTGACCAATGTAATCTGCCTAATACTTTAAATTGTATTTCTTTATGTTTTGAACAAATAAAAGATGAGTGAAAATTAACTAAAACAAACTGCCAAATGTCTTCTGATATTTCTATCTCCAGTTCCACATTTCATTGCACTAAGGGTTCCAGATTATAGGAATTAATTGCATAAAGTTGAAGTCAGAATTATTACCGCCCCTGTTTATTTTTTTCCCCAATTTCTGTTTAATGGAGGGAAGATTGTTTTAGCACATTTCTAAGCATAATAGTTTTAAAATCCTATTTCTAATAACTGATTTATTTTATCTTTGCCATGATGACAGTAAATAATATTTTACTTGATGTTTTTCAAGACACTTGTATACAGCTTAAAGTGACATTTAAAGGCTTAACTAGGTTAATAAAGTGAACTAGGCAGGTTAGGGTAATTAGGCAAGTTATTCTATAACGATGGTTTGTTCTGTAGACAATCGAAAAAAAATTAGCTTAAAGGGGCTAATAATTTTGTCCCAAAAATAGTTTTAAAAAAATTAAAAATTGCTTTTATTCTAGCCAAAATAAAACAAATAAGACTTTTTCTAGAAGAAAATATATTATCAGACATACTGTGAAAATATCTTTGCTCTGTCAAACATAATTTGGGAAATATTTAAAAAAGAAAAAAAAATCAAAAGGGGGCTAATAATTCTGACTGTATATAGTGTATATAGAATATAGTTTGCCATAAGCACCCTTTAAGTATGGGCTTTAAGTATTGGTAAACAAATGATGTGTATTGGTGAAAAAGGAAAAGTGTGTGGCATAGTATGAATACTTGAACAACTGCACTGTTTAAACATCGATGTTTCTCTTGTTAGAGCTGTGTGGAACACCAGGATATTTGGCACCAGAGATTCTGAAGTGCTCCATGGATGAGACACATGAGGGATACGGGAAAGAGGTTGATCTGTAAGTTCATGATACTCGAGGCTTGCTATTAGCCCTTTTTTAGGATCACAGAAGTGTTGTAGTTAGTTCATTGTTTTGTTCTATGTGTTTCTTTCAACAGCTGGGCTTGTGGCGTGATCCTGTTCACTCTTTTGGCCGGATCTCCACCGTTCTGGCATCGTAAACAGCTACTGATGCTGAGAATGATCATGGAGGGCCGGTATCAGTTCAGTTCTCCAGAGTGGGATGACCGGTCTGACACTGTCAAAGACTTGGTGAGAGTCTCTTATGTATACCAGTATTCTGACCCACTACATGTGCGTATGTATTTACTTAAAATGTTCATATTCTCATAGATCTCGAGGCTTTTGGTAGTGGAACCTACACTTCGCCTCACGGCAGAGCAAGCTTTAGCTCATCCTTTCTTCTGTCAGTACCAAAAGGAGGATGTGCGGCTCTTTAGTCCCAGGAAGACATTTAAGGTGACATTTTTTATTTTATATACACTATAAATTTACTTACTTAATTTATTAAATGATAGATTACATTGATTTAAATGACAATTTATTTTTTAAATCTATATGTAATATCTGTCAAAATGTCAAATTTAACATTACACAATTTTGTTTCATCATTGAGCCCAAAATCCTTGATTATTTTGATTATCAATTCTTTTTAAAAGCATTATTCCAACTTTAATCCACAACTGTTGTTATTATTTCTTTCAGGCTCTTATCTTGACTGTGCTGGCTTGTATACGGATGCAGTGCCGCTACTACCGAGCCAGACCATTAACAAAAGAGCTCCTATCAAGAGACCCTTATTCCATCCGTGGAGTGCGCAAGCTGATCGACGGCTGTGCTTTCCGCATTTATGGACACTGGGTGAAGAAAGGAGAACAGCAGAACCGAGCCGCCCTGTTCCAGAACACGGCTAAAATCATTCTCCTGGGCCTTGAAGACCTTGAAAACTAAAGGTCACATTTTTTGCTCTCTAAAGATATCACTTAACTCTCCATTTACAGTTTTTGTCTCATTTTTATTTCCTTTTTTCTTTGTTTGTTTTTGTCCAAAAGGTGCACAAACACGACCATCTATAGATGGTGGTGCTTTTTGATTTTTAGCATTGTCATGTGACCTCATTTTATTCACTATAGTTCTAGTTTTATCAGCAGATATTGCTTATTATATGGACCAGCTTCTCATCAAGAGAGCAAATTTGCTAAGATTTACTAAGCTTGTTTGCTATTCAAGCTCTTTAATTATTTTTGGCTCAAAGCAGATTGTATATGAGTTTATTATCATTCTTATGCCTCACAAACAATTCCAGACTAAACCATAGATGGACAAGGGAACATTTAACAAGGTGAAATACAAAGAATAACATACTTGAAATATACAGTTCTGTAACCCAGTTTTAAATCTTTACAAAATTTTGTGTAAATGTTTTACCACTTATATGTTGCTCTTTATCACAGCTAGCACATGATCTGTTCATCGTCAAGGTACTGTACTGATTCTTAACAGGTATACAAATATGAATAATATATATATAATTACTGTATTTTGTGTGTTTTTACTTTCGAAATGAGTGTTTTCCGGAAGACTATTCTCTTACTTCTTAACTTGAATGTTGGTCTCCAGTTGACTGATGGCATTATTGAGCTGATCAGCGCTGTTTTTTAACTCTTGTTGAAGCTGAGCGCTCAGTCGCATCACTTCATTCCTCACTTCTTTTTCAACTATAGTCCTGAGGTCAGATTTGGATGAAAGCCCTTGTGGAAATAAAAACATAGTATGCACACGTGAGCATATGCATTTATTTAATTTGCTGTATGAAATGAGGATTATATGCTACTGCATGCAGTTTAGAATGAATGATATGTAATCGCTGATTTATAAATCTCTTCCACATGTATTGACAGGTTTTCTAAATGACTAAAAATATTAAAAGTTGCAAAAGTATTTTTTTACTACTTCAGTGTTTTGTGTTTTATGGACAACAGACTTACAGTGAGCATTTTCATTATTTCACATCGATCATCATTTTATAAAACACCACAACATCACATTTGTTTAAACTAACTATGACCACACCAATCTGAAATGTAATTTGTCATTGTTAGAGATGGGCAGTATTTATGATACATGTATTTCAAATATGTATTTTAAATGCAAAATAGTATTTAGTAATTTGCATTTGATAAGATTTATAAAAGTAGCTTAATATTTTGTATCAATATACTTTAGTGTTTTGTATTTTTAAAATACTTTGTAAGAATTCTACATTGGTGCTTTCTCAGTTATTTGCCAAAGCTTGAGATAAAACTAGCAAATTGAGGAATACTGAAGTCGACCAATGCTTGGAGGATGGATGGAAATTATGCATCACATAAAAAGTAAGTAAGAGACAGAGAGTAGGGGTAGATTCTGGAGCAAGTCAAAACAAGACAGAAAAATAAGACAACATAAAGTCCTTTAGTGGCTCTTTCAACTGCCGGTAGCTGATCTGCAGGTACTCTTTATAGTTAATTACAAACTTTGACATAGTTAATCCGTATGAGACAAAAATATTCAATAATACTCCAGACTACAGACTGGTCAAAAACTTCCAACTCAGGTTTTAAGGCAGCAAAAATAGAACTTTTTATTTTTATTTTTATTTTTTTTTATTTTTTTTTTTGAGATATTATTACATTAAAATTATAAGGTTCTATCTGACAGTTTTGTCAAAATTAAGTTATTTACATATTCTTGTTAAATGCAACTCATTTACATTATGGGATATTTATTTATAAGTTGTTTACATTTTAAGACTTTTTTTACTTAAAAAAACAAAAAATTTTTTATCTACAAAGTTGAACTCCTCTCTATAAGGTTTTTTTCTCTGAGCTAATCAGCATTTCAAATGCACGCATGAGGACCGATCAGCTTTCTTTGACATTCTGCTGGATTGCTCCATTTACAGAGGGAAAGACCAGTAAGAAACAAAAAGTCAGCAGCGACTAAATATTGTCGCACCACATAAAATTGAGAAGAAACCTGAAACTGAAAATGTGTGTGCAAATGTGATCATTTAGAAGCGTTTTTTTTTTTTTTTTTTTTTTTTTTACATTGAGATGAAATATTTCACACAGTTGAAAAAGAAACAGCTATTAAAGAAATGTAATATATTAAATGTGAAATATTTTTATATATTTGTACATATATATAGTCAGTGAAACATTTTCAGTATTTATTATGCTCATTTGTTCATTGTCTGTTTTTCTTTTAAAGTCTTTAAATTTGCCATGAAGGGAAAATACTTAAATTAATTCATGAGGCATATCATTCAATAAATATAATTAAAGAATTCATATAAAGTATATAATTCATATTCTTTACATAAAATGAACAGCTGCACGGGATGAAATATTTAGCACAGCCTTGTATGCTTAATTTGAACAAGAAAAAATATTCATCCTAAAACATTAATTAAATGTTATAGAAAGCAAAAAAGTATATTTCTCAAACATCAACATATTGTTCCAACATCAATTTAAATTAATAAGCAGACTGATTGTATTTCTTGAAAGTAATGCTTCAATTAATGATCTGCCAGATAAAACCTTATAATTCCAAGCGGAAAATGAATTTTTAGAATTAGAAGGTTCTACCTGCATTTGCCCTTTTTTTTTTTTTTTTTTTTTTTTTACCCCAATTTGCAAATTTAAGAGAATTTTGATCATTTACATTTAGAGTACATTTAGGGTCCCTGTCCTGTTAATGTATGAAAGAGAACTGTTATGCACATATTGTTTGCTCAACATCTCAAAATCATTTAAAACGCAGATAAAACATTATAATTCTAAGCTGACGATATGTAATTACAATTAATTTTATTTTGGATGTATTAACATTGTAATTACATTATTTTAAATTTTGTATTTACATCTAAGATTTATTCATTCATTTTCTTGTCAGCTAAGTCCCTTTATTAATCCGGGGTCACCACAGCGGAATGAACCGCCAACTTATCCAGCAAGTTTTTACACAGTGGATGCCCTTCCAGCTGCAACCCATCTCTGGGAAATACATCTGAGATGTAACATGTAATTACAAACTTTTATCTTGTGTGCTTTTACTGTGTCGTTACATTTTATTTACATCCAAGATAATATTTATACAGTTTAATGTTTCTTTGTATATTGCATGTACAGTATTTGGTTATTTATAGTTGTATACGTTAATATACACAGTACACGTCATAACAAAATTAATTACTATGTCATTACATTGCTATTACATTGTAATTCCATCCAAAATTATATTTATAAACTTAAATGTTTCTTTGAATATTTCAAGTACAGTATTTGTGTATATACATTATAATTACAATGCAATAAAAGTTTTACATTGTTATAACATTGTAATTACATCTGAGATGTAATATGTAATTACAAACTTGCATTGTCGTTGCATTGTAATTACATCCAATATAATATTTATAAACATGCTTTTGCATATTTCAAGTACAGTATTTGTGTATTTATATGTAAATATATGCAGTACATATGTAATTACAAACTTTTATGTTGGATGTAATGACATTGTAATTATATTGTTATAAAACTTTATTTACATCTGAGATGTAATAACTATGTCATTGCATTGTGCTTACATTGTAATTACATCCAAGATAATATTTATAAACATGTTACTTTGTATATTTCAAGTACGGTATGTGTGTATTTAAACATAAATATACACTACATATGTATTTACAAAGTTTGGCTGTAATGACATTGTAATTACATTGTTATAACATTGTAATTGCATCTGAGAGATTTATCTTTCTTTGTACATTGCATGTATAGTATTTAGTTTTTTATAGTTGTATAGATAAATATATACAGCACACATGTAATGACAAATTTTTATTATGTATTACTGTGCCGTTACATTGCAATTACTGTCATTACATTGTAATTATATTGTTATTACATCCAGGATAATATTTATAAATGTGTTTCTTTGTATATTTCATGTAGTGTTTGTGTATTTTCATGTAAATATACACATTACATATGTAATCTTTTATTTTGAATGTAATTACGTCATTATAATTACCATGTAATAACGTTTTTACATTGTTATAACATGTAATTACAAACTTTTATCTTGTGCGCAATTATTGTCATTACACTGTAACTACTATGTTATTACATTGTAATGACATTGTAGTTACATCCAAGATAATTTTTGTAAAAGTAAATGCTTCTTTGTATATTGCATGGACAGTATTTAGTTATTTATACATTATACATTTATATATTTGTATATGTTAATATGCACAGCACACATGTAATATGTAATTACAAACTTTTATCCTGGATGTACTTACTATGTCGTTACATTGTAATTACTATAACATTACATATTTATAAATGTAAATATTTCTTTGTATATTGCATTTACAGTATTTGGATTATTTTTAGTTGTATACGTTAATATACACAGCACACATTTAATTACAAAGTTTTATCTTGTATTACTGTGCCACTATGTTGTGATTACTATGTCGTTACATTTGTAATTAGATTCCTGTTACAATTGTAATCACATCCAAAAAATTATATTTATAAACATGCTTTTTCGGATATTTCAAATACAGTGCTTGTGTATTTATATGTAAATTTACACTGTACATATGAATTTACGAACATTTATTTTGGATGTAATTACTGTGTCATTGCATTGTAATTACTATCTCATTACATTGTAGTTACAGCCAAGATAATATTTATAAATGTTAATGTTGCTTTGTATTTTGCATGTATAGTATTTGGTTATTTATAGTTGTATATGTAAATATACACAGCACTCATGTAATTTCAAAGTTTTATCTTTTTTACTGTGTCATTACATTGTTATTACATTGTAATTACATCCAAGTTAATATTTATAAACAAATGTTTCTTTGTTTATTTAATGTACAGTGTTTGTGTATACATAAATGTTCACATTACATATGTTATTACAAACTTTTATTTTGGATGTAAGGGCATTGTAATTACATCTGCAATATATTTATGTTTCTTTGTATATTGCATGTACAGTATTTGGTTATAATTGTATACGTAAATATACACAGTACACATGGAATTATCAACTTAGTTACTGTGTCATTACATTACTATTACATTGTAATTACTTTCAAGATAGTTCTAAACTTAAATGTTTCTTTCTATGTTTCATGTACAGTACGGTACGGTTTGGGTCGGTACGGATCACCTTTATTAAGCTTGCGTTTTCACTGCCAAAAGGGTACCTTTTTGGTGGGCGTGGTGTATGACAGAAAGTTTCAGATGACGGAATTTTTACTTGAGGAATTGTCACAGTAAAGCCGTAAGGGCTGTTCACATATCATTTGAGAAGAACTTCTCACAAAACAGATACTTTACACACATAAATACTTTTATTACTAACCCTTCTGTGAACATAATTTGATAATAACTGCAGATCAATTATTTATTTTACATTATTTTATTAATTCGGGGTCGCCACAGAATGAAACGCCAACTTATTCAGCACGTTGTTACTCAGCGGATGCCCTTCCAGCCGCAACCCATCTCTGGGAAACATCCACACACAGTCATACACTACGGACAATTTAGCCTACCCAATTCACCTGTACCACATGTCTTTGGACTGTGGGGGAAACCGGAGCACCCGGAGGAAACCCATGCGAACGCAGGGAGAACATGCAAACTCCACACAGAAACGCCAACTGAGCCGATTACAACCTTTTATCTTGGATGTATTACTATGTCGTTACATTGTAATTACTATGTCGTTACATTGTAATTACATTTTAGTTACATCCAAGATAATATTTGTAAATGTAAATGTTTCTTTGTATATTGCATGTACAGTATTTGGTTATTTACAGTTGTATACGTGTATATACACAGTACACATGTATTTACAAACTTTTATCTTGTGCGCAATTACTGTCGTTACTATGTCATATTGTACTTGCATTGCTATTACATTGTAGTTACATCCAAGAAAATATATATAAAGATGTTTCTTTGTATTTTTCAATTACAGCATTTGTATATTTAATATAATAGTCACAGTACATATGTAAATACAAACTTTTATTTTGGATGTAAGGACATTGTAATTACATCTGAGATGTAATTACAAACTTTTATCTTGCGTGCAATTACTGTGTCGTTGCATTGTAATAACATGGTAGTTATAGTATAGTATCATTTTAGTTTTTTTAAGAGATAGTCAAAAGAGAGAATAATGAAATTTCTATCACCACTGAAACTTCTATTTTTTTTAGACCTCTTTGAATTTCTTCCTTCTGTTGAACACAAGGAAATTGTCATTTTTAGGCAAAAGACTTTAAAGCAGTGTATAATCACTCTATCGCATTGTTACCTGGATTGGGACTTTTGATTTCTGTGGTCTTCATTTCTGGTAGTTCAGAGCTTTGCTGAACTTCTCCGTCCATTTCTGTCTCCCTCTCAGTTTCTCTTTCTTCATCTGCAGGACTTTCTTTATATACAACAATTGTCAATAAATGCTTTCTAATCTTAGATGTGTGTTATAAAGATATATTTTATTATTTTGTAATGTGTGTTACTTTACCAGATTGGCTCTTGGCAGTTGGCTCTATATCAGTGTCTTCAGGTATTCCAGTATATGACAAAGATATATCTAGCTGAACCTTTACCATGTAAGAGAAATGGGTCATAAAGTAAATTGTCCTGTACATTACAACAATTAATACACAGTACCATTTCAAAACCTAATCATACATACCTCTGGAGTAAAAATGTACTTGTATAAAAAATAGTGCCTCATATAGGTGTTGATGAAATAGTATAAAATATGAGTCACTTGCTCCGAGTTGAAGAGGTCGATGCTGAAAGGAGGTCTCTGTGTTTACCATGAGAAAGAAAAACAGGCATATTTTAGTGTTTTTCAAAGACGTCTTTAACCGAAGTCAACCTATGTACAAAAACCAGTGTGAACGTGAATATTGGGAAATAATTATTGTGAAATACATTACAAAATACATTGAAAATAACAATTTCTTCCAAAACTATAATGATCCCATTGTTTTAAATGGTAGTGTATGTACGTACCCTGACTGAATGGCAAATCAGAAGTTCACTACAGTAGGTCAAACAGTCATCTGTGTTATTGAGGGATGTTTCTGAAAAGTTTACAAGATTGTTTACTGCTTTAATGTAGAAAAGCCTAGAAACTAACCTAGAGTGAGTTGAAAATGTAAAATTATTCTGGCATGTTAAAAAACATGCTAATTTATGTCAGAAGCATGTTAGCGGTATGCTAAAACATGCTAGTAACATTTTTAACATGCTAGTAACATGATAGCAAAATATTGCCAGTCACATGCTAATTAATTTAGTTAATTATTGTTAGAAGCTTGTTAGCATAAAATGTGCTAGTAAAATACCAGATATTGTTAACCATTTGCTAATTCCCTTTAGCTGTCTATTAGCTATATTCTAGGTATACTAATTTATACTAACAATCTAATTGATGCAAGAAACATGCTAGCAATCTAGACGATATGCTATTATAATTTATGTAATTTGTACTTAAATTTTTTATCACCTGTGTTAAATTGATGCACATTTTTGATAATGGAGATGAGAACAGAGGTTTGTTCCCTGTTGAAGTTTTGCTCTCTGCAGAACCGCACCAGATTTGTGTACAACTCCAGCAGTACTCTTTGTTTTGGTTGAGACTCATCAGCTACTAACGCACGGCACAAGATCCTGGAGAAGAAGCAAACGACAAAAATGTAAAATGTTCAAGAACATAGGTCTCAAAATTGATTCTTGGAGCCTCTACACAGTTTAGCTCCAAGCCTAATCAAACACAGCTGATCCAACCAATCAAGATGTTCACGACTACTAGAGACTATTGAGCTGATGTGAGTTGGAGGTGATTGGAGCTAAACTATGCAGAGCTGTGGCTTTCCTGAAATTGAGTTTGAGATGACTGTTCTAGAACATCCTATACATATTATCAATCATTTTAAGGATAGTTTCTGTTATCCAGCACTTTCTGGTCTCTGGTACGACAAACTGTTTATGTTTGTGATTTAGTTTAATGAAGGATTTCTTTAAAAAGGTATACATAATATAGGTGGTTCCCAGTACTTGGTTGTGGCTGAAAGGGCAACCACGATGTAAAACATAAACCGGAATAGTTGGTGGTTCATTCCGCTGTGGTGATAAATAAGGTAAGCCGAAGGAAAATGAATGAATGAATAATATAGGTGGTTCATTTCATATGACGTTGGAATAGTTAATCAATTTTATGCGTGTTCAATAAAATAGTCAGGAGAAATTTTCTTTAAGTCAAAAATATCAGCAATTTATAGGACACAAATGAATCATTTCGATTCCCAGAATTCTGGTATCCCCAATTCAATGCAAGAATTACTTTTAGGAGGTGGGCAACAATTTTTATTGTCCTGACTCCAGCTTTTATACGCAGCTGATATTAACAGGTGGAGTTTAGTGGAATGCATCACTTGTCAATCATTCCCCAGTCCTCCATTGGCCGCACTCGTACATACATCCTCTTTTTCTACGAATTCTCTGGACAATGTTAAAAGGATAAGACTTCAAACTGCAAATATTCTGTGTTCAGTTTCAAAATATCTCTGCTCACAGGAAGTTTAGTTGCAAAGCTCAAGTTAATTATAGACAATCAGGTCTTTGCATTTCTATCAGCTTTATCTACTTCTGCAAAAATGCTTTATCAGTATGCAAGGTATTTCACACTCAGAAAAAAAGTTTGGTTAACATATCACCTAAGCAATCCAAATGTTTAATGATAAGCAGAGACCAAAGTAATAAAAAATAATATCCTTTTTCTACAATAATGACAACACGTGATAAAGTGGAGAACAAGTCTAAAATGAATGAGTGAGTGGGTATACAGAATTATAGAAATCTGCCTTGGTTTAGCTTAGGTGTTAAAACTGTTTCATTTTAACGTGGTTATTTACACAGTGGCAGGAAAATTAAATAATTTCTTAACTAAGTACAAATAAAGGGTTACTGCTCAGTAAAGGACATTATCTCAAACACTGTACATTTCTAAAATAACACCATGCATAGTACTTAAAACTAATTAATTTTACTTCCGTAAACTTTAACTTTCAAATAAAAAATCTTTATACATTTTTTTCATGCTGCAATGGTTTGTCAGGATGCTTATATAACTAAATCTCATACCAAATGTTTTTAGACACACATAACTTTACAGAATTTAAGTGAAGTTGGTTTTGTATTCGCACATTCGTTCAATGACAACTGCTGATATGCTCCATAAATTATTTGCTATGGTACCTTAAATATTAGGTCTGAAATTACATGCAAGTATGACTTCAGAACAACATCAGCACTATTTATTTGACTGTGAACAATGTTGTTTGTTGAAAGTCATTGGCTGCTAATATGATTTCGCTATTTATAATTTGCAAAGAATACTTTTCTGAAATTATGTCATTAAGGAGAAAGTCTGAATATATGAATATAAAACCAACTTTACCTCAATCTTCACAGATATCACATGGTGCTACATATAGTCCAAAATGACCCAAACAAAAAATGTTGTTTGTTTTTAATGGTCTTCAAGCATTTGCAAAGTTTCATTCCTGCAGATATTTTAAATATGTATGTTTAAGTAATGTACACCACAGAAAATATATATTTTAATCACCACAAAATTTGTCATTAAATAATAAACCTTTCAATGTCTTGAGTGGATTTACTCTTCTCAATCTCTTCCATATCACTGTGTTTCAAGTCTGCCCTAGAAATACAACAAACAAACAAACAAACAAAACAAACAAAAAGAGTTATTGAGGGTTTTAATCGATTTCCGAATATGCTGAAAACACAAACTGAGCTGGATGTTTTTTATGGCATTTATCTATTGTATTTATTAACGTCTTTTTGTTGTATTTAATTTTTTTTTTCTGGATGACCTACCATAACAGCACCCGTGCTTTTGGAACCTGGGGCACCTAAAAAGGTTACAGTTAACGTTATTTTTTTGTAAAGATAAGTCATATATAAGGTATTATTTTAACTGTTATATATAGAAAATTGCGTGATTGTTTACCATAATCTTGTCAAAGGGCTTCATTTCTCTTCCCTGTCTCTGAAAACGGCTCAACATACATGTATTTAAACCACCAGTATGTGTAACATCGTATCCTAGCAACTGTAAAAAAAAAAAAAAAAGACGTTAAAGCTCTTGAATGCTTTAAATGAGAGTAATTTTTTTCACATTAGATTAAACGATACAAAAATAATAACACGACTTAATCATTATTTTGATTACATTTGTTTTTTACGATTAATAATATTAAGCCCAAGCTTTATGAACTTTTATTTTCACCTTTAGGGGGAAGTGACGTACAATTTCAGCCTAGAATGAAAGAGTCCACAACTGTAGGTTATTCAAATCGCTCACTTGAAAATGCATCTGTGAGATTTACAGAAAATGTCCAAAAAGGTATGAAAACCAACTACGGCATGCTGTTCACACATATGCGACGCTCTGTCTATAATGGGTTACTTTTATTTTGATAGTCAGTCATATGTCATGGTAGTGTCAGTGTTCACAGTTAAACGGTTCTTCCTGTTTTCCGGTCGGAGCGGAGGTTTGTTTATGGGTGCAAAGAAAATCACTAACACAAATATATTTTAACATCTATTTTTAGTAGTCATGTTCATAAAATGTAGTCTAATAGAATACGATGTATGATTAGAATAAAGTGCAATTTATAATGTATTAATCTCGTGGCTTTGGCGGTTGTTAGCTCGCTTGCTAGGCTTCAGCTAGCATCGAAGCTAAACTTGCTTCAAAACGTATCATTTACTTTAAATCAATAGGACAAAAAGACAAGTTTGCTAAACAAAACGTTTGTTGTGTTTAAATCACTATTCGAGCGTCATTAACGTTTCTTTATAAATCAAAATAATGCATTAAATGTCCAAAGGAAGTCCGCTGTGTTGGGCAGCGTCAGTATGACAGAAGATCTCATGATTATGAGGATTCATTTTGGATAATCTCCTTATTTGTTAATTTAGTTTTGTTTATTGACTACAAGTTAATATCGTGTAAATAAGCTATCTAAAGACGTAACAAAACAAAACAATTTAGAGCAGTGTAGAATTATATATTAGTAAAATACACTTACAGAAGTAAGGTGTTGTAATGCTGTGCTACAGTGTTATATTGTTTAATTAAATGTACCCATATTGGGTTTCTGCAGGTCTTTAGAAGTCATAGTTTGACTTTCCATATTTAAAGGCCCTTTAAAATGTTTTATTCATTAGTTCAGGGCATAAATATTGCAAAGTAAAGTTCTTGATGTTTTGTCTTCTAATGCAATGATCTAACATTGTTAAATCAAGATATGAGAAATCCCAGCGTTATGGATGTGACATTTGCAGTAAACATTGACAACATAAAGTCTCAGAGAAAGTATATGTAAACGGTATATTGAAATATCAGTTTATATATTCCAAAACTGCTAACCACAGATTTATGGCATCAGAAAAATATAAATCTGTAAACATATTTTATGTTTTAAATCAGCAAAATAAACATGTTATGGATGTGACCAAAAAATCTGCAAGTTTACAGTATGCAACATACTTTGCAGAAATTCTGTGAATTAAACTGCACAGTCCAAAAGAAAAAATGCTAATCTAAAGGATTAGGAGTTGTCTCTCTGTAGAACAAAAGTGATTAATTACATTTTATTTGACATTTTCTGCATCTATTGAGGAAAAAGCTTTGTTATGGATGTGACAGATGTGAAATTGCCACTTGTGTGACTTTGGTAAATCAAATTTAAGTGTTTGAAATCATTTACAGAAACATTATTGTGTATTTTTGGAGTCCTGAAAATACAAGCCTACACAAAAAAAAGGATTTCACTATTTTGGTGAAAACTATATTTTTTTCATGGTAAGGTTGACATTTGCATGGAATTGCTCTTATATTGTAATGGCTTTAATTATTTAATAACCTTCTTAAAACTTACAGAGTAGTAAAATAACTTTCTTTTTTTTTTGTGAAACCCTTTCAGAAAGTTTTAGAGTGACAGTGTCAGCCACCGTTTACATTTGCTTGCATCTTTTTAATGCATTGAAAATTGATAATAACATTTTTTTTAATTGTAAGCCATGCAGGTTTGGAACTACATTTGAGTGAGCAGATGATATCAATTTAATAGGCTGTCTAAAACAATGTCCATTTCATAGGGAAGCATGTCTGGTGCAGGGGGTGGGAAGCGCCCCTCAGGAGGGGACAGCCCTCCTGGCCCTCCTGAAAAAAAGCTGAAGAAAGAGGAGAAGACTACCACAACGCTCATTGAACCCATCCGGATCGGAGGAGTTTCTTCTACGGTTTGTTAAAATCATTGTAAAACAATTAAACCTAATTATATAATCTACTTTTCAGAGTTTTTAAGATCAGACAAGCTCACAACTGTTTGCACTCTTTTTACACCTGTTTTTGTGTCACCATGTTGTGATTGGATTAACAAAAACACATTAGCACTGTGTGTAAACAGGGCCTAGTATGCTGATTTTGGCTTAAGAAAATTTTTTTTATTATTATATAGCTGCTTTTCCACTATCGTGCCAAACCGTTCTAAGAACTCTCTGATACGGTTATAGTTGCTTCTCCGCTGAGCCTGGAACAGCGTGGCACGATTACAAACCGTTCTCAGCCTGGAATTCTCTGCACGGTTAGACAACCGTGCTGAACTGTGCCGACAGACATGCTTAAAATCATCGATGTCCACAATCCACAACATCCTATATGCGTGGAACACGAACTTGCAGACTTTTTGAACAGCGAGAAAATAAATGCATTTTTTTTTTACTCAAAGCCCAGACGGCTTGTTTTGTAATGTTATGCCGGCTATACCACCTGAAGGATGGTTTCAGCGTGTTGTGAATGTCGGCCATCACCGTAGAAAGTCAAATCTTTTTTTTTATTGTTTGGACTTTTGTTTGAAAGCTATATGAAGTGGCACTGTTGCTGTCCAAGGTACTGTTTTAGGATTTAAATTATAGTATATAAATTCACCAATAAACAAGTCAAATGAATAAATAAAATAAATATGGATTCTTAAATGTCTGTATTGATTTTACTGAAAAAATATTATCAATACGTTTTGACAAATATTTTATAAAAATAAAATGACCGTTTTTCAACATTTATACGATTCAGTTAAACATAAGTTGGACATAAATGGGGCCACTTAACATCTTTTTTGTGTTTTTTTTTTTTTGTTCTCCGATCTTTAATATATTCTGGATAGCTAAGCAAAATATTTTCTAAAACGTCAAGCAGGAATTTGTCTATAGCTTGTTAATTATGAAGAAAAAAAAGTATAAATGTAGCAAAAATAAAAATATAAAAATACAAAGATAAAAAGAGTAGTAGTTTGCTCAATATAATTTTATATCCTGGTATGCTGTGTTTCATATTTGCTTTTTATTTCTCATGATGCATTCATTATTTAATGCATCAAGTTTAAATGGTTATATTTTACCATCAAAATGTATATTTTATATCATTATCAACTTTTGTTATAAAACTGCTGTGTAATTTAATTGATTAGTAAAAATTAATTAATTTAGATGTTATGTTTTTTTATAAGTGAAAGTGCCTGCTCGCTTTTGACAAGGCCTGTCCAAAAATATATTTCTGCCACTAATACAAATCCACTGTTATTGTTGCATTATCATTGTTTATTTTTCTGTTATGTATGGATATTTTATATATATTATTTATTTTCTCTCCAATTATTTTCACTCATCACATTACATTTTGGTCATTTTCCCTCCAATTAAAATTTGCCCAGAGCAACATATGACATCTAAAGATTTTGTGGGGTGGCTGTGTCTTGTAGCTATATTTAGCATAGGAGAGAGTGGCATAATAGTGTTTAGTCATGCGGTTGCTTTCACTTTTACACATAAACATGAAAAAACTAGTTTCGACCTTTATTTAAATTTAATTTAACAGAGGGAGCTGTTTATGTTGCATTACCAAGGCAACAACTGATGCGTTTTGTGTACCTTTCCGAAGAGTTTTGTTGCGGCACGACAGTGGAAAATGAAACCGTATCTGTGCTGTTTGGCACGGAATGGAACGATTCAGCATAAAGTACAGTTCAGTTCAGCACGAAAGTGGAAAAGCGGCTTATGTTGAAAACTATTTAATATTTTTGTGGAAACGTATATCTTTCTTTCCATGTCAAAATAACACTAGTATGAACTTCAAGTCTTTTACTGTCACTTTTGATCAATTCGACACTAACTTGCTGAATAAAATATTGCTGAATTAAATATTGTACATGTGGGTTTTCATCTTTCTGTCATATGCTTTAAAACTTTGTAGACTAGATGGATTCTCTACACTGTCTTTTGGAAGTTCTACAATTTTATTCTTAATTATTGTCTTTTGCAGGAGGAGATGGACATGAAGGTCATTCAGTTCAAAAACAAGAAGCTCTGCGAACGTCTTGAACAGAGGCAGGCTTTGGAGGATGAGTTGAGAGAGAAGATTGAGAAGCTGGAAAAAAGGCAGGCCACCGATGACACAACTCTGCTTATCGTCAACCGCTGCTGGACTCAGGTTTGCTGCTTATTCTTTATTCCACTGCTGTTCTTATTTGCTGTACTCTACCTCAACATAAATTTTTTTATTACAACAGATTATGAACGTTTAACAAAACAGTGCATCAAATGCATGACACTTTCATAACATTTAAAAGTACTGTTATAAAGACTCATTTGAACTGTCTGTTCTCACAGCTGGAAGAAAACATCCATGAGTTGCTGCAGCATGTGGAGCCTAAGGATGCCCCAGCACCGGTTCAAATCCCTGCCACCCCTCCTGTTCCAGCAGACGCTCCTGTTCCTGCTGTAGCCCCATCACCTGCTCCTGAACCGTCTGCTCCACTGCCGGCTCCAGTGGAGGGAGAGGATGGGCTCCCGCAGCCTTCAGTAGCAGCTGAAGGAACGGAAGATCAGCAACAACCATCACAAGAAAAGGAGCAGCAGCAAGAGCAGCAACAGCAGCCTGACTCTGTCGAGAAGTCAGCAGAAGCACCAGTGGCAGATGAAATTCCAGGTAAACATCATGCATAGAATATATAGCGATTTAATGTATATATTTATATGTATATAACATAGTTTATTAATTTATGTTTTCAAAACGTCCTCTGCAGCCTATTTGAAAAGTTTGCTGCATTGTATTTGATACACATTTTTAAAATCTGCTACATATATTTGTTGGTCTAATTTTCTAATTGGATTAATTTTAATTAATTTTAATTACTCATTTTACTCATACTTCTTTTATTACTTATAATGCCCAAGACATTGGTATTAATATTTAATGCTACTTTTGTGCCTTTATTAGCTTTTTTCTTGCCTATTTAATGGGTTAAAAAACTTAAATTATTCCATCTCTACCTGCTGGTGAAAGAGCAGCTGGCGATCTTCAATCTGCAATCTATGGCTTTTCCCACAGTTCCCGGATGTAATGTTGAATTTTAACAGTCAAATTTGAACCACTGAATTTATGGAAGTGAAAATTTGAACTGAAATAAAATGAACTGAAAATTGTCCTTTGAATATTATACATCATATTTTTAAAGGGTATTATTGAATATTTTGTAAGTGAAATCTGGAAATTAAATATGATTTATTGAATTTATAAGTATGAAAACGTGTTTGAAATATTTTTTGTTGAAATATTAACAGCTTGAATAAACAGATATGTTAAATTTCAGGACCTAAAAATACAAACCCTGAAATTCAAGTCATTAAAATGCAAGAACCTGTTAATTCAGTGTATTATTTTTTTTATTTTGTGTTATTCAACAAGCTTTTTAATTTAATACTTTTGGCATTGATTTTGTTCCATAGTGCAGCCCTAATAAGATTGAACCACATCTGAAATAAGCATCATCAGCATATCTAACAGTTCTTTCAAAATCAAAAAGCATAACAGAAAGCTTCGGCAACTCACTGTTTTAAGAAACACTGTGCTAGGTCACATTGAGCCTCTTCATAGCCTCTAACTTTACCATTCACTTCAAATTCTTTATTTCACTTGAAATGAACCATTTCATTAAATTCTAATTTATTTGTTTGATCTTTTTTCTTGTAGCCCCTTCGCCTCTTCCACCTCTCAGTGAGAGCGCAAAGGCTTTTCTGGCCATTCTGGATAACAGCAGTGAAGAGGAGCTCACACTGCAGCTGCAGGACAGGATGCAGTTCAGCAAGGGTGCTGTGGCCTGCATGGTCTGCATCTTTGACCGTCTGCATACCAGCATTGACAAGCTGTGCACTCGAGTCGAGTCTGCTGGTAAAAGAAGTTCATTTTGTGTGGTTCAGTTCATTTAGTGTGGATTTTAAGCAGAAACAAAGCGTCAGTGAATGTTTTGGTTTCATAACTGTGCGACCAATTGCTAAACCTGTGCACTTTGTTCTTATCAGCATGTGAAGATGACAGTCAGCGAGACATAGCTACCACAAACCGCAAACTTCTAGAGGAAAATAATCGTCTGTATGACCTTGCATCCTCTCTTCAAGGGAAACACCACAAAATGTCATTAGAGGTATCGCATTCTGCCATTTTGTCTAACTGTGTTTTGTTTCATTGTCAGAAATACAATACTATTGAAAAGTTTTAGGCGAGCAGAGGTTTATTTAATTGTCTAGAAGACTTTTTACAGTTAAGTGGTTTATAATAAATGCTGCCCTTTTAAATTTTGTTAATCTAAAACTGTATTTTAAAAGTATGTAGTGTCCTTAAGATATGTCTTTGTGTCCGTAGTATAATGAACTGGTTGATAAAGTTACGAGTTCTGAGACTAAAGTGTCTGAGATGGAAACTGCGGTGGAGGATCTGCAGTGGGACATCGAGAAACTCCGTAAGCGAGAGCAGAAGCTGAATAAACACCTAGCAGAAGCTCTGGAGCAGGTAAGCTTTCTGTTCATCTCTTTAGTATTCTGTTTAATGTCATCTTCTCATTTTATATTTTCCACGCAGTTTTTTTTTTTTTTTGCTATCACAGAGCACAGTATTATTGTTTATTTTGAGAAAAGGAATGAGATTGTTATGAGATTGAATTAAGCAAACCAATTATATAGTAATTTGTTAAAATATTATTATACGATTATTATGTGGCACATTTATTATTATATGTTTATGTGGCACAACAAATGTTTATTGGTTATTTTCCTGTATGTTTTTTTTTCCCTTTCCTCCAAATCAGCTTAATACTGGTTACCATGCTACTGGCAGTTCTGGTGGATTACCGGGTGGGCAAATCACACTCAGCATACAGAAGGTAAAGTGTTATTTTAGTATTTATCATGTATGTCTACAGCACTTATTAATCTTTGTTTGAAGAAATTAAATTGTTCATGTTAGTTGACCACACATTAGTTTTACAAATACAAATGTGAGTTTTAATAAATAATTATTGAATCTAATATTCACAAAAATTAATAAGTGATGTATAAAAGGGGGTTCGCGGGGTCTTAAAGTCTTAAAATGTCTTAAATCTCAAGAGCAAAATTTTAAACCTTAAAAAGTCTTAAATCTACTGAAATGTTGTGTTGTAGGTCTTAAATCTTTTTGTAACAGGTCTTATTTTTTCTCTCAATTTTATTACTATTATAGACTGAAGTTATTGAAAGCTATGTTTTGTTGTATTCTTGGTAAAGGTTATAGGATTTGTGAATGGATATATTTGAAAATTAATTAAAAAATCTTAAATTATTATTATTGTATTATTAAATGTATTAAATTTTTATTATTTTTTAAATGGGCAGGTGAAAATCATCTCTAGTTGGCTTATTTAAAAAAAAAATAGCATTTAGCCCTGTTTAAGTCTAAAATTTCAATTTAATATAAAGTGCAGCAAAAATATTTTTAATACTTTAATACTTGACTTTTAATACTTTACGTTTTTACTTTTGTTGAGTAAACAATAATGACCCATATAAAATAGCATAAAAATGTTAACTGCAATCTGTAACAGTAAGTCAGTTTTGTTTAATGAGTATTTCTCTGCCCTGCAGTTTGAGTCTCTGAATGCCGAACTGGAGCAGAATCAGGAACTTGCCAACAGCCGCATGGCAGAGCTAGAAAAATTGCAGCAAGAGCTACAGGAAGCTGTTCGGGAGGGCGAGAAACTAAAGGTGGCCAAAGTTCACTAAAAGCCTTTGCATTGCCCGATGACAATAGTTTTCTTTCATGTCTCAACTTGTTTCCTGTTGAAGCAGGAAGCTGGGTGGGGGCATATCAAAAGGATTTCATTTTTCCTGGTGTATTACTGACCTCTGTATCCGTTTGTAGATGGATCTGAGGAATATCCCAGAGGAAGTGTTGAAGGAGACGCCAGAGTACAAGTGCCTCCAGTCTCAGTTCTCTCTGCTGTATAATGAGTCTCTGAGTGTGAAGACGCAGCTGGATGAAGCCAGAGCTCTGCTGCTTACAGCCAAAAATGCTCATCTACGACAGATTGAGCACATGGAGGTGAGGAGGATTGTAGTTTAAAAGTTATTGCTGGTACAAGATTTTCAGGGCCGACACCCATCCAATCACCAACAATTCGTCTTAATAAAACCGTTAACATGTTTTTTATTTATTAACTAATTACAGATATGATTTAATTATCTTACTGTTATGTTATTTTGTTACTCTTAAGGCCTTTGCACACTGAAGTCTGAAATTTTCACTGCAAGCAGCATCAACTGCCTGCCACACTCTCTTATATTATGCACTGTTTGTCATAAAATTATCTGTGGCTCAAGTGACATTTTGTATTTTGCCTTTCGATTGTAAGGTGGCTTTGAACTGTCAAAAGACTTTTCAAAGCACTCTTTTAGATACGAAAAAGGGAAAAAATTTTTACCTGGTTCAAATTTTTTTATGACAGACAAAGATTTCGGAGGCAGTATGTCAATGCGATTCACAAGTCAACGTTAGATCAAATTTATTTCTCAATGTGTGAAAATTACGGACAAAATTTCGGATTCAGTGTGATTCAATAACCTTTAGTGTTATGAAGTGCTGTTACAAAAAAAACTATATATGTATGTATAACAATATTTTGCTTATATTTTGACACGTTATTTAAAACATGTAAAAAATCTAAATTAACATTTTTTATGAACCAGGTAAAAATCTTTTCCATTGGTCAAACCAAGCCATTTGAAAAATCCTCTGCGTTTAGCCCTAAAGTATAAAATTCAATCTTAATTTTTTTTAAAAGTTCTTAAATTTGACATTTTGAAAGCCGCAGAAACCCTACCTTTGTTAAAATGCACAATCTTTAATGCATTTGATTACTTGAGAATTTTCAATGCAAACCCTGAATAAAGAAACAGACATTTTAATAATACCCTGTCATTATAGACTAATTGATAAATTGTTTTATAAATTCAATTGATTAGACATGGTTTTGACAATTAATTAAAGGAAAATTAAATCTGAAAAAACATAGTATTTGGTATAGATAAAACCGAATTTCTAAGAAAAACAATATAGAACAATGGAGAAGAAATAAAATGTAAGCTAACTAAAAATGTCCTAGAAATCAAGATATCTCATCTCGTCATTTTGCCTTCCAAGGATGCTGACTTCTAAAGTATACCTTAACTTAAGGATCTTTAAAGGTTTGCACTGGAGAACAATACAAATGTACTGACTGAGAACATCCACTTGCAGTGCAATTAGCGCTTTCGATAAAACGATAATGACAGTTTGATAATTGCTCGATAATATTGCGCAAGCATTTTGCAGCCTGCTCTTCCGACTGCCGCACGCCGTACAAGTTTACAGCCATACAGTGTTAGTTGCACTGAAAGGAGTAAGAAAGAAATAAGGTAAAAAAAGTTCAACGACATTAGCCGCATTTCCACTATCGGGCCAGTGCGAGCCAGGGCTTTAATCGTGCCGGGTCGGGCCAATAGCCCGGGAGGTTGAGAAATGAGGCCGAAATCATGTCGCGTTTCCACTGTCGGGCTCACAGATTGTCACGCAAACACCGCCCACAGAATGTCCCCCGAATCAAACGTCACACAACCCGCCCACTTCAGCGGGAATGAGGCAGATAAAGCACACCATAAAATCATCACGAAACGAAACCATTAAAATGAAGACAACCGAAACAAACAAATGACATGTTACTGTACAGCAGTACTGTATTTCCATTCATTACATTTGTTTACTCGCCGACCGACTGTTGGCATTGTGCATTGCTCTCGCCACTAACAGACCCATCACAGTGAGCGCACCCGTCCATAATATAAAGCCACAGAAATTCTCCTTTATAACTCTATATAGCACGTCTTATTAAGTGTTTCCGGCACATGAAGAGCGAGTAGCCTAATAAAATATAGCCATATTTGTTGCGCTCAGCAGCTATTCACTAAAGCTCTTCATTTAAAGTTTCATTTATAAATTTAACCACATCATATAAAAACATAAACAGTCGTTTGAGAATATAGAACACATTTTGTGTTTGGGCTTTCCCCCAATGCGTTTTATATATATTATGAAACAATAAAACAAACTATATATACAATAAAACAAATATTGCTCTGTTTGCGCGATTAGATTAATATCGTCGTATCCAAATACTTTATAAATAATATTTCAAACCTTCTCTGGTGTTTATTGTTTTTAGAAAATATCTAAAATCTTTTTTTATTTCAGACAGGTCTTTGTAAAATGAAAGTTAGGCTATATGTGGCTTTAAACGGTTTGATTTATGTATTGTATATAGGCTACCTACATTGTTATAGCTAGCTTTTGTTTATTTTATATTGGTTTATTTATTTAATGCGATTTTATTTATATCCGATATTTGTAATTCTTTAAATTATATTTCAATATAGCTTAGGCTATTTTATCAAGAAATGATAATATTTTGTTTAAAGTCTACGAAAGTGGGCACGTAATTTGATATGTTTTATGTCGTTCTGTTGTATTTATATTGTGTATTATCTCAATATCTGCCCGCTCGCGGCATCAACAGAGCTGTAAATGGAGCGCTCTTGCCCGGTCTCACACACAAATACAGGCATTTAAACGCGCATAAACACACCTTTTAAACTTGACAAAAACTCTCGAAAACCTTTATTGTCTGCTGTGTTTTTCATATGGTGTAATGATTATTATGCGCTATTGAAACAAAGGAGGACGCAGCAAAGAACGTCACTATAAATTAAAACTATCTTATTGTTTTATGCAGCAGCCTTATATTTAAAAGGGAAACATAAGGGTGACCATATGCAAAAAGACCCCAGACTATAAGGCCAGATGTTTTCTTTCCCTTATTTCTTTATTTGTTTGGCACATGTACTCATGTGCGATCAGAAAACTGCCCGTCTCTCCTTTCACTCTGCCCCGAAGCCCCAGCTGGCCCTCCTTGGCCCAAGGTATTCGGCGGGCCGAAAAAGGCCGGCCGCTGGCCCCAAAAAAGCCCCGCTTTGGCCCGATTAAGCCCCGGAAGTGACAGTGGAAACGCCACTGGCCTTGGCTCGCCCTGGCTCGCTCGCTTTAGGCGCGATAGTGGAAACGCGGCTATTGTTGACAAGAAACGTCACTATTTCATGAGCTACTTAGTTTTTCGCTATCCGACACAAAACAGAGCAACGTGAACCGCAAACTACTTAGACGACTCGTGTCATCAAAAGCAGGCAACACCACGACCTGTTTCACCATGTAAAACAAGACCACCCTTATAAAGATGCTAAGAAATTACAGACATAAACAAGTGTTGGCAAACCAGCGCAGCTACCCAGCAGAGTCTCATGTCATCATTTTCGAAAGCCTTACGAGAAAAAAACCCCCTGAAAAGACAGACGGACAACACAATCTCAATCACATCTCAATGAACACTTGATGCTTGCTGTAAACTACAGCCTGCATCATTTAAGGGTATTTGTTAAGACAATAATAAGATCTTTTGATGTCAAGCTTATGTTTCCTTTTTATTAAAATATTTGTTTTGAAATCTGTAATACCACAATTGTCTCTCATGGATGGTAAAAGAACCAGCCTTTATATATTTAAAGGACATAATCACAGAGGAGAAATCAGATGCTCAAGATATAATCTTTAAAATAATGACATTAAAAATGCAGCAAATATATGACAGACGTTTAGAACAGCAACAGCTTTTTTTCCACGGAGCCAAGTATCATCCACCCGCAGTTGTTTAAGGGGGACACGAACTAAATAAATATAAATATATTTCCTTGAAAATTTATCTTTTTGTAATGAATTTCATTTTGTATGATGTGTAACTTAATTTTGATGTATATTTTGTTGGTCAGATATCTACAGCATAAACAAGAGGAACGAATAACATCTGAGGTGAAGTGCTTTAACACAAGCCTGCTATATGCTTTAGCGCCAAAACAATTCATAAAACTATTTTTATGGTTTCATTTTAATTCATTATCTAAGCGCGGTCTGAGCAGCATGAACTGGACAGTCTTTTTGCAGCACTAATAGATTTCTTGGGTTACCTTGGGAGAATAAACTTGGATGGCGCTCAGAAGCTCGCTGTGTAAACGGAGGCTCCCCGGCTCGCTCCCCGGATGTTTTCGTTGTGATGCGTGATTTGTAAATTGAGAGTCTGCATACGCCTATTTGTGCTAGTCTGTCAGACAAATTTGGTTAAAACACGCGCGGATATATCAGAGATATGCGCATAACAAGGTTTTATGCAACCCGCAATATGGGATGTCAAGAGGGTGACAGCATAAGATAAACTGCACACACTTGATGATGTAATGCGTGGATGCGTCTCAGCGCAAAGCATAACTAAACCTTTACATGTCCATGCTTAATCAGTCATCGATAAGGTTTATCAATTAAAGCGTTATCGACAATCAATAGATCATTAGCATCCCTAAATAAAATACATTAAAGTATATTTCACCCTAAATTCACCATACTCACCATAAAAAGGAGAGTTCATCCAAAACTGAAAATTCTGTGACTATTAACTCACGTTGTTCCAAACCAGGTTTATTTTTTTTTCTGATGTTGAACAATAATATCCAATAGCTTGTAGGTAATGTCTTTGGTTGTTGAAAACTTGAACAAGTAAATGCTGAATTAAGATTGTTCTTTTGTTTAGTATTTTATTATTTATATTGTCAGACAGCTAAAACATTTCACTAAATGTGTTAAATCAGCTGCACAAAGCGATTGGCATGCTGAAAATCTTATATAATTGATAGATATAAAGATTTTACATTTATCGAGATAAATATCGATATCGACTGATATGAAAAAAATTATCGTGATAATTTATTTTGCCATATCGCCCAGCTCTAAGTGCAATAAATGTTTTTTTGGGGAAATTCATACATTAAGCTATTCTATGTAAAGTGAGTTAAAACAACAGATTTATTTTAAGTTGGAACATTCAAACTCTAGTGTTCCCAATACAGATGGTTCCCATGGTTCTTGTAAGTATTTGAGTTTCAGACCTTGAAAGTTCTTCAAAACATACACAGGACTGTGAAAGTGAAATTGAATTTGCGTATGGGTTTATTCTTAAATTAAAAATCTTAAATTTAGATAACACTGACATGAATAACTCACATGAATGAATATATATCATATACTGACATAAATAATGCACATTTTGATCAATATTTCAGAAACTGCATTTAAATATCCTAAGTGTAAATAAAATGTTAAGTACAGTAAGGACACAACATATGCCAGGTTTTGAATTACAATGGTGCTTTATTTAAAATTAATCATGCTCTTAAAAGTCCTTTGAAGCTGCTGATTGTGAAAGCTTGGTATTACAGACAACCCTGTGGGCTTTGCTAGACATTTTCATTTTAAGGCCATTCTGACGTTTTGTGTTCTCTGTGATTTATTCCTCAGTTTGTTTAATTGAAGATCTCAAATGTACATTTGTTAAACACTGCTGAAGACATGTGGAGGTTATATCCTGAGTGTGCTTCTTGTAAATGCTTGAATGTATTTCTGTTGTACTAGAGCGATGAGTTGTCCCTCCAGAAGAAGTTACGCACTGAGGTCATTCAGCTAGAGGACACACTAGCCCAGGTCCGCAAGGAGTATGAAATGTTACGGATTGAATTTGAACAGAATCTTGCAGCCAATGAGCAAGCAGGTAACGTCATTTCATTTTATTCTTTATGGTTGACATGCTCGGCAGGTTCAGTTCAGTGGGATACATTAGTGGAGTCTTTCCCAAAGCCCATTTGTTTTACAGTAACCAAGGCTGCAGCAAGGAAGTCCGTGGGGGCGGTGTATCCTGTCATCGTTTCCCTGATTGTTCGTGGTTTTGGCTGGGGTTTACTTTATGCTTAGCGTCATAAAGATGCCTGTCTGTCATTGTATTTGACTGACTATCAGCATCACCATCTCCTTCTTTCTTTCAGGCCCAATAAACAGAGAAATGAGACACTTAATCAGCAGTCTGCAGAACCATAATCATCAGCTGAAAGGAGATGTGCAGAGATATAAGAGGAAATTACGTGAAACACAGATGGAAATAAACAAGGTATTGCTCATACTGGCTTTCATTGACAGTTTTATGGTTTTTCACCATTTCTGTTTTTTGGCTGGAAACATACAGTTACAAATATGTTTTTCCACCATGAGAAAACAAAGAAACATACATTAACGTCGTTGTTACATATGCAGAATGTGTGTCTACATATGCTGAAAGAGTCTTTTCATATTAAAGCTAATGAATGAATGCAATTGTATTGAACTTTTAACAGTGCTATACACCCAAAGTGCTTTATTCATAAATAATTTAACAAAGCTAACCATTACTTAATCTTGCTAGCTAATTATGATTAATGATACCAAAATAAATTTAATTAAGTTTAACCCTTCAATTCACAGTTTATGAACAAATTTATTATATATATTTTTTTCTATACATTAGATGAACAGACTTTTGAAAAATTGATTATTACAGGTTTATGTCAGTAATTAAAAACAACATTAATTTTGATGCATTACTATTTTTGTTTTTGCAGTGTCACTTAAAATATATCACTAACAGATAGGCAAACAACTGTTTATACATAGAAAACAAACTTTGACTTACATACTAAATACACACATAATTATACATAGATTTTATTACACCAAATTTTCAATTATTTATTACAACAACTCCAACTGAGAAAATGGTGCCAAAATAGTTAAATACTACTAATAGAAAAATTAAATAGCCTTTTTGTTCTCAAGGTAATAGGGTTGTCACGATACTGGAATTCAGTAGCAATAGATACTGAAGTTTTAAAAACTTGCATTTTCTGCAAACGTTCTTAAACAGCGCTGATTTGCCATTGTGCTTACATGCTCAACAAAAATGTCTGTGATTGGCTGTGAAGGTCTTCGGTTCATCGAACTCATCGCTGTTGACTGAGTGTAAACAAAGATACAGGGACATTGAAGCATTTTAAAGGCGTGAATCATCAGCATATTGCTCTTATGTCAGCTTATAGACAAACCAGCTGATTGACGTTGACCTTCCAGTGTCCGTGTATCTGTGTTTACACTCAGTAAACAGCTGTGAATTCGGTGAACTGATGACCTTCATGGCCAATCACAGTCATTTCTGATTAAAGGCTGATTTATACTTCTGCTTCAAATGCCGGCGTATTCTATGGCGCTGACGCATAGCCCTTCGCCGTGGCCGTCAGCGTTACTGACATGCACCTCTCAAAAAATGTAACTACAAGTCGCAACGACGCGTAGCGCAAGCTCTGTGATTGGTCGGCTTGGTAGCACTGACGAGTCTGGTCGGGACTGAAAGCCGCGCGAGTGGCGCTAGCCCAATGGAGCGATTGTTTACAAGTGTGGAGTCCTGTGAAGGAGCTCCGTATGGAAAGTTTAGTTTTGTGTTTACCTCATAGTTAAAGTTGTTGCACGTCCGCCAGTTCCTGCCTCAAAATGAGCGAGTTTGAGCCACTTGTGCATCCAGGAAGTGTTCAGGAAAAGCAAAACAGCAGCGAAGAAACTCGACACAGAGGAACATTTACACTTCACTGCCAACTAACGTTTCGGAAGTGTTAATGCAGACCAACAGAGACAGTGTGCAGAAGTATAAATGCACAGCTACGCGCATTGCATGCGCCGTGGGTTACGCCGGTTACTTGACGCAGAATTATAAACCAGGCTTAATACGTGAACACAGTTTCAAATCAGCGCTGTTTAAGAAAGTTCTCAACAGCGTTCAAATGTTCACAGAGTTTTTAAAATTTCAGTACGGATTGGTAACTTGATGGTAACTTGTTGTAGCTAACCTAAAATGAAATGCATAAGAAAGTTGGTGGTTCATTCCACTGTTGCAACCTCTGAAATAGAGACTAAGTCGAAGGAAAATGAATGAATGTTTAAAAGTGACTCATTCCAAACCTTTTCCTAATAAATATCTTATTTTCTTTATTTGTAAAATACATTACTTTGATCCAATCAGTTCTACAGATTTCTCAGGATGAAAGTAAAAAAATAAAATCATTGCGCACCATTCAGTGCACTTTTATCGTATATGTTGAGCTGTTACCGTTTTCAAATGATCGTATTTTCATGAACTAATGTAATACTGTCGCTCCTGTTGTTTTTCAGTTGAAGTGCCAGAGTGGAGAAGCAACTGCGCTGATACTGGAGGAGAGTGTGGGTGATGGAGGTCTGGAGGTGAAGAAAGAGGAAGATGATGATCAGGAGGAGGAGGAAGAGAGGAGGAGAGAGCTGGAAAGACAGCGAGCACGTGAGCGAGAGCGGGAGGCGGAGAGAGAGAGAGAGCGAGAGAGAGAGCGGGAGAGACAGCGCAGTGAGGAGCTGAAGAGGAAGGACTCAGACACTCTCAAGATGCTCAGGGCAGAGCTCAAGTATGTGTCATTTTCTGCCTACGTCTGCTCTATTTTAGGCAACTATAATATCACATATTATGTAGCATTTAATGAACTTTGGATCTGAGTCACCCACACATCATTTGTGTCATGCCAACAGAAAAGCTCAGGAGTCTCAGAAGGAAATGAAACTTCTGCTAGACATGTACAAATCGGCACCAAAGGAGCAGCGAGATAAAGTGCAACTCATGGCTGCTGAAAAGAAGTCTAAAGCAGAGGTAAATGGGCTTGGCTGTCTTTCTGTGTGGCAAAACCATTAACATGCAATTCACTTGGGGGTGGTCTTTCCCTTAATGCTAATGTCAACATTGCCTGGTAGGTGGAAGAGTTGAGGCAGCGAGTACGGGAATTAGAGGAGAGGGAAAAGAAAGAAAGCAAAAAGCTGGCAGACGAAGACGCTCTACGCAAGATTCGTGTGGCCGAAGAGACCATCGAACACTTGCAGAAAAAGCTGGCTGCTACTAAACAGGTGAAGTTAGTTGTTGTGTTAGAATCTTTTTAGAACAACGTCTGTAATTTTGAAGCAAATGCATGCAAGGTTATCTCACCGTACCCATGCGCACCTTTCAGGAGGAAGAGGCTCTGCTGAGCGAGATGGATGTGACTGGACAGGCGTTTGAAGACATGCAGGAGCAGAACAGCAGGCTCATGCAGCAGCTGCGAGAAAAAGACGATGCCAACTTTAAACTAATGAGTGAGAGAATCAAATCCAACCAGATTTACAAGCTTCTGCGGGAGGAGAAAGAGGAGCTGGCAGACCAAGTGCTCACTTTCAAAACCCAGGTGCGCAAGAGAAAAAAAAAATTATACAGGGGCCCATTCTGATTAAGGCCCTTGAAATTTAAAAGGGGGCGACACAGACTTTCACAGAAGGTGGGCTTAGATTTAAGGTGTGCCCAAGTCAGTACATTGTTCAGAGGGCCCTGAATCCATAGCTGCACCCCTGCACTTACATGTGCAACCAATTTTTATAATCATAAAGTTGTGGGTTGTATTAACTTGTTGACTATGGCTTTGTTCAAAACATCCCAAAAGTAATTCTTGACAGACATTTACTTGTGCCTTACAGTGGTCTACTGATTGACAGCTAAATGGAGAGCATTGGTGTTAATAAAGTCAATACTTAATTATTACAACATCAATATATTTTACTAATTTCAAGAGTTCACACCTAGCTGATGATTAGTTACAAAGTATGTTTGGTGTGCTGGCGCAGGAGGGAGTCGTGAGCTGATAAGGTCTTCGAGCCCAGGGCTTCCTCCCTTTGCATGGCGAGAGGGGAGTTTGAGCTCAGGTAGTTCTCAGAAACTTCCCTGCTGTAGTAGCTAATGAACGGATAGGGATTGCTATTAAGATATAACTACCTACTAGGAGCACATCTATGATGCCGGTTTTGGATTTAGTCAGTTGATTTAGGTTGTGTGTTTTTGGATGGTGAGAGGAAACCAGGGGGCACAGGGGAAACCCACGTGAGTACGGGGAGAACATGTAAACTCCACACAGAAATGTCGGCTGGCTTGGTAAGGACTAGTAATGTTCTTGCTGTGAGGTGACAGTGCTAACCACTGGGCCACTGTGCCACCCATCTAAGAAAGGAGGAGCAGTAGGGGCGGAAGAGGGGATTTCTCTAAACGAAGATGGCTGTGATATGGAACTTAAGGTATTTATAGAGACTAAGGAATCGTCTAATTGGTGAATCCTGAATTGGCTAATGCATGACCAGCTGTGTTCAATCAGAAGCGTGTGCTCCTCTTGAAATTAGTTTATAAATAAACCACACAAAACGAAAAAGTGACCAACAACCTCAACTTTCAGATGCAAGTTTATTAATTACCTCACAAAATTAAACACACTGTGGGCAGCGAAACCGTTAACTATATCCTTTTGATGCTTATGATATCCGATAATCCTTTGAGATGTGTAGTTAATTCATTATGTGGCAAGATCATAAGATTATATATAATTAGACTTGGTCATAGTCAATTTTTGTTTGGAACTTTAGTGCACAATTAACGCAATATATGAATGGCCCGTATGATTTCATTTGAGCGAGAATGATATCGACTGCAACTTCCTGGCGTACATCATTCTTACAAAGTAAGGATACACGAGCCTGATCAGGTGACTTGTAGTGAACTGAACCGTACTGCTCAGTTGAAAAGAGGTATTAAAATGCATCCTTTCTCACTAGCTATTAAGCATGTTGTTTAGGTTAATTCATTCACTAATACAGTGTTTCTTTACCACGTTCCTGGAGGACCAACAACACTGCATGTATTGGATGTCTCCTTTGTCGGTCACACCCATTATAGGTCTTTTAGTGTCTGCTAATGAGCTTATGATCTGAATTAGGTGTTTTTGGTTAAGGAGACAAGGAAATGTGCAGAGCTGGTGGTCCTTCGGGAATGTGGTTGAGAAACACTGCACTAATAGATATGTGTCACTAAGTGGTTCCCAACAAAGTGTGATCAAACAAGAGGATAGACGGGTGATCACAAGAGATGCATGATAACATTAACTGAAAACTGTAAGGCATTTTAGCAAACCACTTAGTATCAGATCGATGAAAAACTCTGTTAATACCAGGTGTAAACAGGGCCCTTAACTACCTGTAATTCAGGGTAAAGTACCCGAAAGTCTAAAGCATCATCCCTACAAAAAGCAAATGTCTAGAAAAAAAATAATTGTGTGAATAGTTTGTCCATCCCTGCTTGAATGGAGGCCTCTCATGTCTTAAGGCAAAAAAGCCTGCACATAAAAGCAGTAAACAACTTCTGTTTTCACAATACTGCTGTGATTGCATCATCTCCTTTTTACTGCCCTTCCCAGGTGGACGCTCAGCTGCTGGTCGTACAGAAACTGGAAGAGAAGGAGGGCGTCCTGCAGAGCACGCTGGCCACGCTGGAGAAAGAGCTGGCGCTGCGCACTCAAGCATTGGAGCTCAACAAGCGCAAGGTAAATCCGGAAAGATCACAGACGCCCACCTCTGTTCTCATGTCCATGACAACCATGACTCAGCTTAACCAACCATTAGTGCACATTTCCAGATGTGTGTGTGTGTGTGTTTAATGCTTGTCTTTCTGCATGATGGCTCAGGCTGTGGAGGCGGCCCAGTTGGCCGAAGACCTTAAAGTACAGCTGGAACACACTCAGACCAAGCTGAGGGAGATCCAGGCCTCGGTACTAGACAACCGCACCGCCCGTGAGAGGGAGAGTGTCAACCTCAAGAAAGCACAGGTACATGGGCATGCGTGTTGTAGATGTGTTTGGGATACAGATGAGTGGGAAGAATGTGTAAAACATTGGTGTTCTGTTGCTTATTTCAGGAGGACTTATCCAGACTAAGGCGCAAGCTGGAGAAGCAGAAGAAGGTTGAGGTGTACACGGATGCTGATGAGATTCTGCAAGAAGAAATTAATCAGTATAAGGTGAAGATTTGCTCTTCAGTTATTCATTTGATGTATGTAATCAAAGGTTTAGGCACAGTAAATACTTTTTTTTTAAATTCTGGTTCAAAAAGGATATGATCTATAGTGATTGATCTATAGTATGGTGTAAAATTGACTTCATAATTTTACAAGATGTTCAAGTAATTGCTGTTTTTGTTGTTTTGAATAAGATTTACCAAAGAATCCTAAAAATATTCTGCTGGAATTTCTTAAATGACATTTAACACTTATTTTAAATTGTAATCATTTTTCACAATAGTTCTGTTTTGTGTATGTTTTTAATATTGTTATTATTATGTATATAATATACACTTACCAGCCACTTTATTAGGTACACCTTACTAGTACCAGGTTGGAGCCTATTTTGCATTCACAACTGCCTTAATCCTTCATGGCATAGATTCAGCAAGGTACTGGAAATAATCCTCAGAGATTGTGGTCCTTGTTGATATGATAGCATCACACAGTTGCTGCAGATTTGTCGGCTGCACATCCATGAATCAAATCTCCTGTTCCATCACATCCCAAAGGTGCTCAGTTGGATTGAGATCTGGTGACTGTGGAGGCCATTTGAGAACAGTGAATTCATTGTCATGTTCAAGAAACCAGTCTAAGATGATTTGTGCTATATGACATGGTGCAATATTCTGCTGGAAGTAGCCATCAGAAGATGGGTACACTGTGGTCTTAATGGGATGGATATGGTCAGCAACAATACTCAGGTGGGCTGTGGTGTTGACACGATGCTCAAATAGTATTAATGGACCCAGATTTTGCCAAGAAAATATCCTCCACACCTTTACACCACCAGCCTGAGCCGTTGATACAAGGCAGGATGGATCCATGCTTTCATGTTATTGATGCCAAATTCTGACCCTACCATCCAAATGTTGCAACAGAAATGGAGACTCATCAGACCAGGCAACATTTTTCCAATCTTCTATTGTGCAATTTAGTTGAGCCTGTGCGAGTTGTAGCCTCAGTTTTCTGTTCTTAGCTGACAGGAGTTGGCCCTGGTGGAGTCTTCTGCTGATGTAGCCCATCCGCCTCAAGGTTGGACGTGCTATGCATTCAGAGATGCTCTTCTGCATATCTCATTTGTAATGAGTGGTTATTTGAGTTAAAAGTAGTTTACCAAAACAGTGAAAATTGGCGTCACTTACACTTTTCAAATATGAACTTTTATAAGCAACTATTTTAAATGAAACCTGACATGTTTATGTCCCTCTAGTGAAAAGAAAAATGCATAGAATATTATTATAAGACTTGTTTCATTTGTATTAGACTTTTTTTTTCAAACACCATTATGACCTTTTTGCATCTTTCAACATCACTCTAGATTGACATTTGTCACAGTTCTGTCACACCAAAAATTTTACATTGCTGTACTTCATTGGTTATTATGGAGGACATGAATAACAGTAATGAGGAGTATCACAGCGACAGCTCTATTAAAATATATATGGCTCCCATTTTACTTTATCGTCTTCATCTTTCGCATCAAGTTTACAAATTTTTGTTCTTTCTTCTTTTTATATAATGTTAAGATTTAATTCTCTAAAGAATTTATATTTGCACTGTTCAATTTGTATGTCATTATAATGGATTAAGCATCTAAACATTTGACTGGAATAGAAACTGTATCACTATTATTTGTGCCTAACCTGACTTTTCTATCTTTTCTAGGCTAAATTGCGTTGCCCCTGTTGTAATACTCGTGATAAGGAGACGGTCCTCACCAAGTGTTTCCACGTCTTCTGCTATGAATGCTTGAAGACTCGCTATGACACTCGCCAGAGGAAGTGCCCCAAATGCAACGCTGCATTCGGAGCAAATGACTTCCACCGTATCTACATCACTTAATTCACTCTGAACCTTTCTGGTGGACTTTTTAACATTAGATGGGAGAAAAAAAGAAGGGATGGAAGTGGTCTTGAACAGGATTACCATGGTGTGGTATTTTAAAATGCTCTAAAGGGCCGCTTCCAGTCTCATCTGTGATAGGTGGTGCTAGTGACCAAACAGACAGTGACAGAATGGAAACAGTTGTGAAGTAGTCATGGTCTACAGCACGTAAGCCATGCTCCTTCATCGCAGAGGAATCCATTGAGTTGTGTGTTTTTCTGTTTTTCTTTGCATTTTTAAACTTATTGTCGACTCCCCATGAAAAAAAGAGAGGAAAGACTGTATCTGCTTCTAAATATCATAACTTTACAGAACATGACTGACTGATGTTCACACAAATTGTTTTGTTTTGACAATTATGGCCTTATCCGTTTAAATCACACAGTAACTCTATCCAGAAACACAGCCAGTTTCCATGGCGACACTCAATGTTACTGAACCCCTTAAAGTTTAGCAATGAACAGATGTGATGGTACTGGGTGGAAAGAATAGACATGCATAAAATTAGAAACATAGATGGTGTTGCAGTGACTTTTTAAAGGCAAAACAAACATATTCATGCTAAAGTAAACGTCTCAGCCGATTTAGCTTTAGTCCGGTACAGTATATACCCCAACCAGTTCCAGATGTATCCCCAACATGTCAAACTACTGCACAGTTTCTTTAAATAATAAAAGCTGATACAGGTAGTTGTGAACACTTTCTGCTTTGATCTCAAACTAGACAGCAGTTTCCCCTTTGCATTTAAAAGCGAGTGTATGGTTTGTCATGATTGCTTCAAAAATGAATTTAATGATGTTATTGTTTTACTTGGTGGAAAATATACATCAAAACTGGACTTTCCAAAAGCAAAACTCAGAATTACTAGTCTATATGCTGTCTTCCAATGCAATGCATGTTTTTTCAGATGGTTTAAACAGACGTGCTTACTATTAGAAAAGACTCGCTAGTGGAGTCCCGAAGAGGGGAGGGGGAAAAACACGTTTTTTTCTCTCTTGCAAATTTTTGCTCGGAATATATATGTAAATGTTTTTCATCACATTGCGCAATTGACCTTATGTTATTCCCCGCAGCCATGGTTTTTTCGTTCTTATCATATTTATAACCGTCTTGCTGCTTTTCCTCTCAGTCTGCGTTGTGTGAGTCTGCCAAACACTGAACTGTTGTTTGCTCTCTTGGACCAGAGACAGTGAATTACGTAGTTGGGTGGGGTGACTTTAATGTGCCTATTTTGCTCAAACATACTTTGTACGAAGAGCCTGGGGTCTCTCGTGCTCTTACAAAAAAGCACTTATTTTCCACATGTTGTGTTGGTTTAAACGCGCGCTGCTTTAGGTTGTTTTCCTGGTAAGTTAGGTCTGACATCATATATTCACGTCAATATGACCGCCGCCGATATCATAACGTCGTCGATTTCCTACTACAAGAAAATTGGTTACTCTTCCACTAAATGTGTCACTTCAAAGTAAAAACGAAACTGTTCGCAGACAACGAGTGTGTTGTGAGGCTGCCATCTACGGTGTCCCACTCGTGTTGTGAATACAGAGATTGTATGGCCGTGTTTCAAAAGTTGCCGATGTACACTTTTGAGAACTGAGCTTCGTTTTCATATGTGAAGGATTCCGCTTTACAACACAAGCCGGGATTCTTGACTGTTATACTTTTGCTTAAGTGCATTTGAGGAACGTCAAACAGAAATATTTTAGCCATTCATAATATCTTCATTCACATTTCTGAAAGATTTATGAATCAATGTTTCTGATTCAGTGAAAAGAATCGATTTATTTGTGCAAAAAAAGGCATGTTGACAATGTTTTGGGTTTGAAAATAATAAGTTCATCGTCATTTATTCTGAAATCAAACAACAGTGTATTTTTTAGGGTAATTTGAATTCTAAGTACATTTGATTTCAGAGCCAATTACCAAAAGAATTCTGATTCTAAATGTTCTAAATATTATGAGAAAGAAATTAAATTCTTATATTTAATACCAGCAGATGAAACATTGCATTGATTCGGAAGGAATTATAAAAGTTTGATTCATTAAAGTTAATTCGTGTGTGAAACAATGGAATATGCCATATGTTTTTATCTCATTCAAGAGAATTAGCTCAGTGTTCATAGGACATTCTGCCATTTATGGAAGCCCGTTGCCGCCACTGACTAATAAAAAAAATATATATATATATATATATATATTTGAATATAAAGTCAGAATTCTGAGTTATAAAGTCACATTTCTGAGTTATAAACTCAGAATTTCAAGTCATAAAGTCAGAATTTCAAATTATAAAGTCAGATTTCTGAGTTTATAACTCTGAATTTTTACTTAATAGCTCAGAATTCTGAGTTGTATTACCTGAAATTCTGACTTTATAGCTAACTTGGAATTGCGACTTTATAACTTTCTGACTATAAGCTGGAATTCTGACTAGGTAACTTGGAAGTGCGACTTTATAACTTTCTGACTAAGCTGGAATTCTGACTAGCTAACTTGGAATTGCGACTTTATAACTTTCTGACTATAAGCTGGAATTCTGACTAGGTAACTTGGAAGTGCGACTTTATAGCTAACTCGGAACTGCGACTTTATAACTTGCAATTCTGCCTTTATAGCTTGGAATTTTGAGTTTATAACTAGCTCAAAATTGCGACTTTATTACTCAGAATTCTAACATTATAGCTAACTTGGAATTCTGACTTCATAACTGCGAATTGCAACTAAAACTCAGAATTATGACTTTATAACCTCAAATTCCGACTTTATAGCCAACTCGGAATTGTGACTTTATAACTTATTCTGACTTTATAACTTGGAATTGCGACTTAAATTCAGAATTCTGACTTTATCCCTTGTTATTCTGAATTTGCTCAGAATTGCGACTTTATAACTCGGAATTCTGACTTCGTACCTCATTTTTCTAACTATAACTCAAAATTCGAACTTTTTTTTAGTATTTTTTTTTTTTGTCAGTCAGTGGTGGAACGGGCTTCCATAGACCATTCTATCATGCAATGCAGTGTGAATTCTTTTTACAGAACATTGTTTTAATGTCCTAAGCTGAAGAACCTTTTGAATTTTTTTTTTCTGGATAAGCTACAAGTGTTCTGGGAAATCAAGACTGGGCAAAATTGTCTCATAAATGTGGAATCAAAGAGTAGGCCTATAAGCCAAAAGATTGAGGACTAAATGCTTTTGATACAACACAAGAACCATGCTTATTCTCATTCCTTCTGAAAGCTACCGAGCAAACAGAACGTCTACATGTGGTTCCCATTTTTTTTTTTTGGGAACCAATCTAGAAATTCTGGTGATGTTCTCAGAAGAACATACATGGACCATGTTTTTGTATTATTTATTTAATCACATTGCTGGAGAGATTTTTTGTACCAACCTATATAGAACATAAAACAGACAGATTGATGCACTCCTAGAGAGAACATTCTTTACGTAAAAGAAAACATCACTGACAAACTAGAAAACAACCTACCAAAAAGTAACTCAAAGTCAGTGGCTTTGTGGAATGTACAGTAGTATTTATTTATTTTTTGCTTTTCATAGTGTTTTATTTTTAGCCACATTAATGTATAGCACTTTATCTTTTTGTTGTCAAACTTGTACATTAACGGAAATATGACACGTCTCTTAATTGTAAATGTCACATACAGAGGAAAAATAATAATAATAACAGGAAAATCAACCAAAAATGTGGGTTTGCATGAATGGGTTTACATGAATTATAGCTATTACACAATAGAGAAAAATCTATTTGACAAGGGTTTGTGTGTCCTTGAAAAGGTTGTCAATGTATAAATAAAACGGCACTTTTCTCATTTTAAGTAAGTTTAAAAGAGGTAACGAGTCAAATTCAGCAAGAAAAATATGAAAAAAAAACAAAGGAGATTTCTAGAAAGCTGATTATAAATAAAACATTTTGCATTCAGTACAAAAAGTTAAGAATGCATTCAAGAGACAACAACAAATTAGGATTTTCATAATAAAACAATAACATGTCTGAGGACAAAAGTGTGACAAATTTGTAAACTTAAAAACATAGGAACTTACAAACACAAACAAAAAAACAAACAAATGGGGAGCTGTTTCTTCAACATGTCCACAAAAAGATAGAACACAAACAAGCCAAACTTAACGCCATTAAAACAAACAACTTAAGTTCTCTGTTTTAAAAGTAGTCGGCTTTCTACTTTAATTTTAAGTCACGTTAAACGCCATCTACAAAGACAGCCCACAAGCTTTTGAGACACAGCCACACACAGAATCTCAGTACAGTACATAGGAAATGACTCATAGAGGAGTTGAACCCAACGCGTGGGTGTGGGCGCTATTAAAACAAGACTGAAAGTTTGGGGTGGGTCATTCACACGCGCTGCTTTTGCTATGCTAGAAACCCAGTTGTGGATTTTAATCTCTTGAAATCGCTGCGGGGATTTCAGTCCATAGAAAACTCAATGGATTCCAGTGCTACGTTGCGGTGTCTCTACTGGATTTCACTAGTGTTCGCCACGCTTATAAATGGAATAAACGCAGATAAAAGTAAGGATATTCACATTTACTTGCTTAATATCTTTATTGTATAACTTAACATACGTGTGAGGTTTGTTTTTCCGTTGATATGTGAAAGCTCCAACCTCTGTGTGTCATTTGTCCTCTTGCTAAGAACATGGACTTGAAGTCAGTGGAGTTAATGACGATGAACTGCCTCATTCGTAATAGCTTCCTTTACTAGTTACAGTTCCCACCGGTTCCGCATTCCAATGCTCTTATTTCACTCCCGCCCGCTCCATGGGTCGTATTGTGCCCAGCTGAGATCAGTGCAACACAAGAAGCTTCAGCTTTCCAGCAGGAACATGAGGCTTGCACTGCCTTTGTTACTCTGGAATGTGTATGTTACTCCTGGAACGGGTTTAAATGTAAAAACACAAAAAGAAGTCTGCTGTGGAAAAGGCATTAGGCATTGTCTTGGGTTAAGGTGCCCACATTAATGTCCTTGTTGTAGTTAATGCCTTTATTTAAGATGTGTAAGGTTAAGAGGTGTTACATTACAGCAAGACAATATTATTCATAGTCTTATAGATGTAACTGTGCACTTCAAAACATGCTTAGATCATCACAGTTCTCTAACAGAGGGGCCGAGACCCACTGGGGCCTCAAAAGCTGCCAAGGTGGCCTCAGGAAATTTTCATAAAACAACATGAAAAAATGTAATAAATAAAATATGAACAGTTTTACATCCAGCCGAGTTCTTCTGGTGCATATTACCTCAGTATTTATAGCTGACAAGTGCTTCATATTATATTATTTTCATTTACATAAAAAATGTTTTTGGTGTATGAAAATCTTGCATGTGGGTCACAGAAGAGACATTTAAATAAAGGCTTTTAATATGTTATTAAATTCATTCATTCATTCATTTTTCATTGGCTTATTCTCTTTATTCATCAGGGATCGCCACAGCGGACTGAACCGCCAACTTTTAATATGTCATTCAATTTGGAATATAAATTATTGCTACATTCAGAGACGGGCAGTATGCATGATACATGCATTTCAAATACGCATTTTAAGTACAAAACAGTATTTTGTCATTTGTATTCGATAGGGCTGATGAAAATGGCTTAAAATTTTGTATTAAAATACTTTAGTGTCTTTTATTTTTGAATTTTTAATAATACTTTGTAAGAGGTCTACATCAAGACATCATATACAGTTAAAGTCAGAATTATTAGCCCACCGGAATTATTAGCCCCCGTTTATTATTCTTTCCCCAATTTCTGTTTAACAGAGAGATTTTTTTTTCACAACATTTCTAAGCATTATAGTTTTAATAACTCATTTCTAATAACTGATTTATTTTAATTTTGCCATGATGACAATAAATAATATTTTACTAGATATTTTTCAAGACACTTCTATACAGCTTATACATTTAAAGGCTTAAGTAGGTTAATTAGGTGAACTAGGCTGGTTAGGGTAATTAGGCAAGTTATTGTATAACGATGGTTTGTTCTGTAGACAATCGCAAAAAAAGTATAGCTTAAAGGAGCTAATAATTTTGACCTCTGATTTTAACTGTAAATGCACCCTCTGATTGGTGCTTTGGATGTTATTTACTTTTTCATTTAAAGAAGAATTGTTTGTCGTTAAAACAAACAACATAAAAATAAGTCCTTGCGATTCTTACAATACGTCATTGGCTATTTCAAATACCAGTAGTTGATCAGTAGGTCCACTTTATAGTTAATGAAGAGAAAAGATATCGGCCTTAACATGTCAAGACATATGAAATACAAATATTTAATAATCAAAAACTCCTAATACAACTCGCTACATTAAGTATTGAAGAGTTCGATGACAGAAAAAAAAACAACAACAAATAGATTTTTGAAAGTTTCTGTGAAATTTAAATGAACTTTATTTAAAATATTATTATCTTAATATTAAAATATTAAGAGGTTGAATAATCAATGTACAGAGATGATGCCAATTTTATTGGGTCACATTTGCTATAAAACATTGTTTACTTCACTATGTCAGTTTAATGGGGAAGGCATTGATCAAATAGGTTTAATTGATGGAAGATTGGCTAAGAAATGTCATGCTCCATTGTAAAAGTATTTTGTAGTAATTTTAAAATACAAATACTGTATTATATTTTTATATACGTTGTGGCTGCCGTATTTAGTAGTTTATTTTGATCCACTTAAAATTAAAGTATTTAGTATTTAAAATACATTTCAATGTATTTGTGCACCAACCCTGGTTACACCGAATGATATTTTAGTGGGTGTCTTCTGTAAATCACCCTAAAAACGTAGTTCTAAGTAATCACTATGCTTACTTAAATTACATCATCAGAAGCTTGAAAACCCAGAAAGTGTTAAGTGTAAAACATTCATCAGAATTTATTATTCGGATGTACTGATATCCTGCATTATCATTAATCATGAGGTTTTTAAAGAAACGCCTAGTCCTTTTGGCTGAAGGACAATATGAGGAACCCATGTAGGGGGGCCTTCAAATATTAACTTTGACAATGGGGGTCCTTGGATTACAAAGGTTGCGAAGCACAGACATTGGGTTGAAATTCAAGCTGATGTTTACTGATCATTAAGCTTGCTTGGGTGTGCATGATAAAACACACAAGGCTTTGAACATATTTCTGTCTATTGCTCAAGGGCGCAGTGGTGATAGAACAGTTTGTCTGTCTTTATTGGAGCGACCCACATTCTCAACCACAGCCATCAGATAAGAGTGCTAAAGTGTAATTCTTTATATCCTGTACACGTACATCAGGTTTTACTATGCAAATAAACGCTTTACCGTATATGACATGAAAACATGCTAAACTTTTTACTTTAAATGCAGAAGACACAATTGAATGTGCCATGCACCCTTGAAAGTATCCACTTAGGCTCATTCATTCATTTTCCTCTGGCTTAGTCCCTTTAATCATCTGGGGTTGCCAAAGCGAAATGAACCACCAACTTATCCAGCATGTTTTACACAACAGATGCCCTTCCGGCAGCAACCCAGTACTGGCAAACACCCATAAACACTCACTCACAAACATACACTACGGCCAAATTTATTTATTCAATTCACCTATGGCACATGTCTTTGGGACCCAGAGGAAACCCACGTATACAAGGGGAGAACATGCAAACTCCACACAGAAATGGCAACTGACCCAGTCGAGACTTGCTGTCAGGCTAACAGTGCTAACTACTAAGCCAAAGTGTCGCCTATTAAAGGCTGATTTATACTTCTGCATCGAGTGATCGGCGTGACCCATGGTGCCTACCTTGTGCGCTACCGTGCACTAGCTGGCTAAAAGCTTTTGTTCCTCTATGTCAAGTTTCTTCACGGGTGTTTTTTTTTTCTTTCTGAACGTTACCTTAATGTGGAAGTAGCTAAAACTCGCTCATTCATAGGCGGTAGCCAGCAACAACTTAAATCATAAGGTAAACACAAAACAAAAGGTTCCATCTGGAGCTCCTTCACAGGACTCGACACTTGTAAATAATCGCTTCATTGGGCTCACTGCTCTCAGCACCACCCACACTCGTCACCACTACCAATCACAGAGCTTGCGCTTCACATCATTGCGATGTGTAATTACTTTTTTGCGTGGTGCGCATTAGTTTGGTCAGCCACGGCGAGGGCTATGCAACCACTCGAAGGTCGGCAAAGAGCATATGCGTGTGTGCGCTTGACGCAGAAGTATAAATCAGCTTTAAAGCTCGGTACAATTACAAATTGATGATAATTGATGACATATCGATCGATGATAATTGATCAATGTAAAATGCATGCCAGGCCATCTGACCTCATACGCAGTTTTCTATGTACAATTGTTTGTCCACCATTGTTTTTTTGATTGTCAAATACTCTCATGTGTTTTTCACTAATAGACTTTTTAGATGACAACAGCATCATCAAAAATATATAAACATGGACCTTTTTTTCAAGATGCCATGGTCATGCAAACGAACTAGCAAAATGCTTTTCCAAAAATGTACTTTTTAAGTTGAAATGTACCTGTGTGAGCAGTGCACCACATTTTACATTTAGGGTTTTGTTTATACTAAGTCAACGGTGGACTACAGGACTGTGTGTGTTCAGGTGCTTAGTCATGTTTCTCAAGGTGACGTTGCCTCCTACTGTCTTAGATCCATTAGATCCTACTTTTCTTAGATTTATTGCAATGGGATTGCTTTAAGAATGATGTCTTCTATTATTTAAATGCACAAATGTGACCCTGGATGCCAAAACCAGTTATAAGTGTCAATCATCTGAAAGGCACTACCTGAAAGCTGAATGAATAAGCATTTTAATAGTGTATGCTTTGTTAGGATAAGACAATATTTGGCTGTGATGCAACTATTTGAGGGTGACACAATGGCTCCGTGGTTATCACTGACGCCTCGCAGCAAGAAGTTTGCTGGTTCAAGCCCCGGCTGGGTCAGTTGGCATTTCTGTGTGGAGTTTGCATGTTCTCCCGGTGTTTGTGTGGGTTTTCTCCGAGTGCTCCGTTTTCCCCCACAGTCAAAAGATATGTTGTATGTAGGTGAATTGAATAAACTAAATTGGCTGTAGTGAATGTGTGTATGGATGTTTCCCAGTACTGGATTGCTGCTGGTACAGCATTCGCTGTGTAAAACATATGATGGACAAGTTTGGCGGTTTATTCCGCTGTGGCGACCCCTGATCAATAAAGGGACTAAGCCGAAGGAAAATCAATGAATGAACTGTTTGATAATCCAGAATCTGAGGTTCAAAAATATTGAAATACTGAGAAAATTACCTTTAAAGTTGTTAATATGAAGTACTTAACAATACATTTTACTAAACAAGGATTAAGTTTTGATATATTTTCAGCACAAAATTTAAAAAATATATTCATGCAACATGATCTGATTTTGCTATAAAAGAGAAGATGATAATTTTGGCTCATATAATGTATAACCAAAACTATACCTGTGCAACATAAGACAAGATCCAATGTTGAATTCAACATGAATAAAAAAAAATGGTTATTGTAGTTAAATAATCATAGTTTAACCATGGTATCTTTAGTAAAACTGGTTTCAAATGGCTTTGTGGTAAAAAAAAAATCTTTCAAACAATGAAACAAACAAACCCCATACATGTTTACTGTATTAAAATCAGTCAACAGCAATTCTCACACCTTTAAATTGAGTTGAACTGGCCAACAGTTGACGTCTGATAGCAGTTGAGTAAGCAATGTATTTTCACAGTAAATCAAAGCATTTTCAAAAGCAATGACACCTCCTCTGTCTTCATCAGAATCAGCCGGTGCTCGTCATGTGTATGACTGCAGGTGATATTGGCTTGCAGATGTTTATCGTCAGCGGACCGCAGCTGTAAGCTTTTGTGACTTTCTGTGGTACCTGCCTCACCGCGTTTTCCCTTTATGAATCTCCCCTGATTACAAGCATGTGCGCAAGACAAACTTTAGCCCCGCAGCTCTCACAGATGACGCTTTCTTACAAGCCATTAGTTCTCTTAAAGTCACTTTTCCATGTCCTCAGTTCTCGCCGTGGGACACTTTGCATGCACTCCAGGGCCACATCATAGTCTGGCCGTCAGCTTAGACTTGCTTACGCACGCAGAGCATGAGTAATACCGTTTCCCCGCGAGTGCAGCACCACATCACTACAACGGAATTTCCCAGCTCATTTCATATGAAATAGAGGCGAAGCAAAGAAAGCTCTTGGATGTAGCCCTTATTCAGTCGTCAAACGTAGCCACATGCGAAAATCCAAACCCATTCGAAGTTATCAGGAAACGTGTTTTTATTGTCAGCGTCGTTGTTTTCTGCTACTTCTGTCTGACACCTTTTTAAGTGTGAATCCTGTCTCTTTTTTGTCAGGTTCAGCTCTCTGTGCGAAATCTGAATTCTGGAACAATGATGCAGCTGTGTGTGTGCCTTGTTATGAGTGCAAACAGTACCCAAAAATTCCATCATGCGACACATGTGAGTATTTTTGATCAAAGTTCACGAATGATTCGGTTTTTGCATCATCACGTGACTAGAAGATCTCTGTTGTATAGACGCCAATTTCAAAAATAAGAAAGGACCGGTGTTCTGTCGATTTGTCCAAAAAGTAGGTAGCACATTTTAAAAAACATAATATGCTACTTCTCAGATTTTGCTACCCGTGTAAATTGTAATGTGGAGTAGTGTGATATGAAGCTGTAATATCACTCTAATCCCTAACCCCAACCTCAAAACCACTCTCTGAAATAAAGGTACAAAAGCGATCACTGCGGTGGTACCTATTTAAAAGCTAAACATTTGTACCTAAAGGGTCCCTATTAATTCCTCAAAGGTACATATTATTACCTAGAAAGTACAAAAGTGTACTTCTTAAAATGTTTAGGTACAAGTATAAGCTTTTGAGGTAACAATAGACCCTTTAATACAAATGTGTACCTTTTTAAAAGGTACCACTCCAGTGACAGCTCTTGTACCTTTATTTCCGAGAGTGTAGCATAATCTGATGGGTAGGGTAAAATGTGAGGACAACGGCAAATTGTGCCTTTTATCCTTAAGCTTCATCTCCACAATTTGGAAGAAAATACTGAAATTTCATTTACAATTCTGAGAAAATCTGAATTTAAAAATAACAACAGTGACTCAAGTGTGAATTTCTTGTTGTTCATATTTAGCAATTCTTAGTTTATTAAACTGTAAAATTATCAAGTTTATATTAAGATATAAACTTGTAGGATAAAAACTTCATGTATGTTCATTCTATTAAGTTTCATTCTATATTTTAATCTGAATAAAGATTAATACGATTTGCTGGAAAAGATTCAAAGACCCAAACCAATCTTTCCATCACTATACAGCATGAGCTTGAACACTCATGAAAATGCACTGTAAGTTGATGGTTTTGCAATAGGTCAGAGCTTACGTACACAGAAGGAGTGGTCAGATTCTTTCTGTATGATCCGAATAGCTGGACGTCTTCCAGTAACATTGTCCTGTGTTTAAGGCCCACCCATAGAGCCTTCGGATTCCTGGAGGGTGGCAGCAATTACCAGTTTATCTGTCCTGGCAGCCGTAATTGTTTTTGGAGCCTTACTCATAGGCGTTCTAGTACATCAGTGCAGGTCCAGGAGGACCTTACGGGGTGAGATGTTAACATTATAGAATCTTTTTAACAATGAGTACAAGACTGAGAAGTAACAACTTTTTCTGTCCACAGATCCAATTGAAGAGACAACGGGACCTCTTTATGCAGTATAGGTTCTTGAAACATTTTTTTGTTTTTGTATGCTTTGAAAGGGATTTCTTCGGTTCATGTGCGATCTCCTAAATGTTTGCAGCTCATGGACCTCAAGGTGACAGCATATGGAAATGGACTGTTACTCCAGTGAATTAATGCTCCAGTCGGGGAAGCATTGGCTGGTACCTCAACCACAGAGTATTCTATGAGTAGCATCTAAATTGTTTAATTTATTTCATGTTATGCATAGCGAATAGTTATGCACAAAAGCTGCACTGAGACCTTGTCATTCACTGTGCAGAATGAGTTCGCAAACCTTAGGTGCTAAGTGACACAACTGACAGCACGACAGCATTTTTTACATTCCTTTTTTTTTTTTTTTGGAACACTTAAGATGCTTCGACGGGTGTTTTGCAGAATTTAGTTTGAGGCCATTCCTGTTGCAGTTATAGTGCATTTCCACTTGATTAACTCCAATTTGTTTAAGATAGTACTATTTTCCTTCTTTTTTTTTTTTTTTTACACCAATATGCCTCCTAAACAGATTTAGCATGGCACATAGCCATTTGAATGTATTTGTATACTTCATTTGTACAGTTTAGTTATATATTTTTATAGTGTTGAAATACTACGCACTGTAGATGTAGCCCTGTGTACAACGATGTTCTGACACTGACCGGCTCAGCAGCCCGTCTATGGCATTGATGAAGACTCTGGAGACAGAGGGAAACTGCAAAGACAAAGCAGCCGATGAAACAGAAGAATCGACAACTGACAATTCAGATTCTCTCTATCAAAAAACAAATAGCCGCAGGTGTCAGAATCTTAATTTTCCTGCCTTTATGCACATACGAGATTAGATAGTGATATTTACATACTTGTATCTACATTTAATCTCCCATGTCTAATCGTCTTAGTAAAATGTTACAAAAGGATAGAGTCATCCATTTCAGGTGTGTAGCTAGCAGTGGGCATTAGGAAATGTATGTATTTTTATACAGGAGATAAGAGTAATTTTTATAAAGCGTATAAGACATTAAATGTTTGGATGAAATCAAACAAGAACAGGTGAATCTCTAAAACCTACCAAGATCATGTCAGGGGTTTCATTTCACCCTAGATCAGGGATGTCCAAACTCGGAGGGCCGGTGTCCTGCTGAGTTTAGCAGCTAGCTCTCTGCAACTCGCACATGGTTGCCCACTAAAGCTAAGCAGGGCTGTGCCTGGTCAGTACCTGGATGGAAGACCACATGGGAAAGCTAGGAAGCTGCCGCAAGTGGTGTTGGTGAGGCCAGCAGGGGGCGCCCAACCTGTGGTCTGTGTGGGTCCTAATGCCCCAGTATAGTGATGGGGACGCTATACTGCTCAGTGAGCGCCGTCTATCGGATGAGACGTTAAACCAAGGTCCTGACTCTCTGTGGTCATTAAAAATCCCAGGATATCCTTCGAAAGAGAGTAGGGGTTTAACCCTGGCATCCTGGCCAAATCTGCCCACTGGCCTCTGTCCATCATTGCCTACTAATCATCCCCATATCATAATTGGCTTCATCTCTCTGTCTCCTTTCCACCAATCAGCTGGTGTGTGTGGTCTGGCACAAAATGGCTGCCGTTGCGTCATCCAGGTGGATGCTGCACACTGGTGGTGGATGAGGAGATTCCCCCTATTTGTAAAGCGCTTTGAGTGCCCAGAAAAGCGCAATATAAATGTAAGGAATTATTATTAACTTGCTTCAACACACCTGCCAGGAAGTTTCTAGTATGTCTAGTAAGAGGTTGATTAGCTGCTTTAGGTGTGTTAGATTAGGGTTGGAGCTAAACTCTCCAGGACCAAGTTTGGACACCCCTGCCATAGATATAAAAAGTGTTTTCTTTGCATTACAAGTCCTTAAAAAAATTAAAAAAGGGTATTTTCCGCTCCACTTCCCTAGGAAGACTCAATGTACCTCATTGCAATCACTGCCATGTTTGTTATAAATCCAGAAACAAAGAAACTAGGGCAGAATCTTGGTGAACATAAACCTGTGAAGCATGTTTAGCGCTGTCACAGTCTAGAGGTAAGCTGTTTGTGTATATGTGCCTTTACTCATTCACAATTACTCCACAGACTGCAGAGGAAACTATGTATTTTAATGCAATAAAGACAACTAATACAATATGTGTGTGTGTATTTTGTCAAATGGATGCATACTTAACTGTATCACATTCCAGTCGCCACACTTTCAAAGAAAATGAGATGCCATTATACACACCCCATTGAATCAATCCTCATTTGCATGTTCTAAAATAGCAATGTAATGAACTGCGACTGCAAGTGTTAAAGCAGATAAGACACAAGCATACTGTTATATTGTTTTATTCAGTTCAAGAAAGTGAGGGTATCAACACCTACAAATAAACAGTTTCTGCTTATTAGGGTCCCTACTCGAGAAAGAGAAACATTGATCATGTGAACAAAAATAAATATTTTATATTTAAGATATACGCAACTGATTACAGTGAGTCTCAGTTGTCAGTTTAAGTTGTCAAATGCAATTAAGCCATTAATATGTGAATGTTTACGACTTCTACTCTTAATTAATCAGTAAGTACTGATCTATAAGCTTAAAAGAAAACCATCTTACAAATAATTTTTAATCCAAGAAGGGCGGTGATATGAAATGGCACATTGAAATTCAATCTGGCATCAAAGACAGACATAGAAGCCTTGATGATAGAAGCATCAAGCTAAACGTATTTTCTTACATTGCGTCTAGTAAGTTGCGAGACCTGAGCATTTTAAACCTGTTGAAGTGTTCAGTTGGTGAATTTCTGCCCTAACAGAGCCCGACCGATCATGGATTTTTGGGTCTGTTCATTTAGTTGTGCTCCAAAATCTTGTGAAGAACAAACGCCCACTTCATAAAACGTTTACTAGAAAACTATGCACTAAGAAAATTGAAATATTTCAGTTGTTATTTCAAATACACTGTTGCGAATGTTTTTAGAGGTATTTCTTAAATGTTTACAACCATTATCTAGAATACCTACATAATCAACCGACCTAGCATTTATTACACATTTAATACCATGCATTGTGTACCACGTATAACAGTAATAAAGACAAGTATGCTTAAGGTATAAATAGTTATTTTTTAAATAAATAAATATCTTTGAGATTTTCTACAGGACAGGCCTTAGAGAAGGTTGCTGTTTAACAGCCTTACCAGAGTAATTCATTATGAAACTGAAGGAACATCATGTGTACATTGGTCTTAATGAGACAATGAATTGATTTTAGCACATCTACCATGAGCAGTACGATAAATATATAAAACCTCGAAATATGGAAGCACTTAATACAAACATAATGAGAAGGATAAATTGTATCCTTAATCCTCATAATACCTTGTTTCAAGACAAAAAACCTTGTTCTGTTCAATAACACCAAATAATCGGTCGGACTCTTGAAGGCAGCACTGGGTTAGAGTCTGGACAGAAGTACTCATCCAAGCTCTCAGTCTGAGACTCATCATTGTACCTTACAATTTGTGCACTGTGTGGGAACACAAAACATGAAATAAAATAAAAAATCTAAAATGGTCTCTGACAGGCACTGTCACTTATTCTAAAATGTCTACAGTATTACTGTCCCTACCAGAGGTAGTATCTTATCAATGCCAGTCTTAAGCGTCCGTTAAAGAACAACATTTGAAAACACTACAGTAAAGGAGGCAAGACTCGCCAAGATCAGCATCTGTGTGCGACACTATCTGGACAAGTACAGCAGAAAACCTGACGTTGTAGGATTATTGGCATTAGGCCTTGGGTGGAGAAAGAGTCTTGTACTAGAATATTGTTTTGAAATCTTCCCTTTGAGCAGTAAGCCTGGAGCGTGGCCTTAGAGGAAAGGGTCCACACCCAGTCCCATAAATGCATTTTCATCCATGTTGAAGGAGGATTCGTAAGTCTGTTGGGTATTCTGATGCATCTTTTGATGGTGCCGGAGGTTGGACTTGCTAGAGAAACGCTTGTCGCAAAGGAGACAGGAGAAGGGCTTCTCTTTGGTGTGGATACGCCTGTGGCAGATAAGCTGGGTGGAGACCCGGAAGGCCTTGCCACACTCCAGGCACTGATAGCGTTTAGGTTCAGTGTGAATGCGCCGATGATTCTTCAGTGCCATGAGATTGGTGAACTCCTTTTGGCAGACGGAGCAGAAGAAGGAACCCATTTTGTGACTGTTTTTGTGGTTGAGCAGTGAACCAGCGTGGCGGTAAGTGCGCCCGCAGTGCTCGCACACATGACTCTTCTCCTCCCTATCAAATCCCTCGCTACTTTCCTGCTGGTCTTGCGGCTCAGGGAATCCATGGACCCTGCTGAAGGCTGAATCGATCTTAGGAAGGCTCTGAACTCCAATCTGCTGATCCAGTCCTGCGTCCCAATCTAAACCCTGCTGCATCGCCATACCTTGCTCTTGGTGTGACTGCCCTTGCAAGTTGCCATGGAGCTCCTGGTGCTGCTGAAAACTAACCAGGTTCGGGAAATTCTGTTGACACACACTGCAGTAATAGGGGAGTCCCTTACTGTGCACCTCCATGTGGCTTTGCAGGTGCGCAAACTCACAGAAGGTTTTCCCACAATCGGGGCAGCAGTGGCGAGCCATTTGAGAGTGACTCTCTAATTCCCTAGGGTCTGTAAATGTTTTGAGGCAGAGAGTGCAATTCAGGAGGTCAGCAGAATGAGTTTTCTTGTGGTTGAGAAGGGACCCAGCGTGTCTGTATGAGCGTCCGCACTGATCACACCTGCAGCAAAGGACAAGATTGGGATTAGAATAAAATAATTTAAAATATAGGTTACGTGTTCAAGAAAGGTAAAAAAAAAATTAGATGGCTCACGTATAGCATTTATCAGAGCTGTCTTGATTTACATCAGACTTTGGATTGCCATTTCTGTAACAACGATGTCTCTTTAGCCCAGACTTTCCCTGGAAGCTTTTGCCACACGTTTGGCAGCTGTAATGAGATACTCCCCGTGCATGGATTTTTTGATGGTTGTACAGGATACTGGAGAGACGGAAAGCTTTACCGCAAGTAGGACAGACATACTTTTTCTTTTGTGTGTGAATGCGTGTATGGTTTCGTAAAGCCATGGGATTGGAAAAAGGCTTGGCACAAAATGAGCAGGTGAAGAGGCCAGTTTTGTGAGTGTTCTTATGGTTCAACAAGCTACCGGCATGACGGTAACTGCGACCGCAGATGTTACACTTGAATGGTCTTTCCTCTTTTTGTACGGCAGCTCTGTGGTTGTCACTCCCTTGGGGGCCTAAATCAGGCACAGGCACTTCGCTACAGCTGTGTCCTTGAAGTAGTTCATGATCAGGAAACACAAGACGGCAATGCTTGCATTTTAAATCCTTTTCTTGTTTACGACCCCTGACCTTTCCTTTTGGTGCTGCATTCCTCTTCTTGGTCGAACAAGTGTGGTTGAGTAACTGTTTGTTTCCTCTGAAGGCCTTTCCACAGTCTTGGCAGCGATGTCTTTTGACAGCAAAGTGTATTCGTAAATGGTTCTTCATTGCTAGCTGGTTTGAGTAAGTGTTGTTGCACAAAGCACAGTAATATTCACCTGTCTTGTGAGAGTTTTTGTGGTTGACCAAGCTTCCTGCATGCCGGTAGCTTCGCCCACATTGATCGCAGACAAAAGGACGAGGGTCCCTGGGATCTCGTTTCTGGGCCTCTTTTTCTTGGCTAGACTGATCACTGGTAGAGGTTTGCCGTTGTTTATGACGTCTGCTCATTCTCTTTCTGCTGGGATTATTAAGTGACTGCATTCCACTCACTGAGGCATTCCCGCTCATCTGCATCAGTGTCTGAATTTGTTTGTTGAGTTCTTCAATCTTTGCCTTGTTTTCCTGATGTACCCTCTGGTGGTTCAACAGTTGTTTATAGATTTTGAATGCTTTCCCACATTCTGCACAACGATGTCTGGTAGAGAAAGAACAAACATTTTAATGAACAAAAACTTGGTCCTAAAACACTACAGATGAAAGCATGATGGTATTTTGAGACTTCAAGATACATTAAAGAAAAAAAAAAACTTACTTTTTAACATCGAAGTGTGTCCTCTGGTGATTCTTGAGGGCCAGCAAATTATAAAAACGCTTTTGACAAACAAAGCAGCGGAACACTCCAGTATTATGTGACTTCTTATGATTGAGCAAAGATCCGGCATGTCTGTATGAACGACCACATTGGTCACACTTGTATTGTCGCTCTCCATGTAGACCATCGAAATTATGGATCTGAAATGTACTTCGAAGAAGTGGCTTCTTGACACTTTTTTCCCTCACTTGTCCATCTCGTTGCCCCGTGCAATTGTGGTTATTGAGGTGATATAGATCGATGCAGCTAAAGCCACATTTCCCACAAATAACACTTTCCATTTCCACTTTTGGTTTGAGCTCATTCTGATGATCTGATGCAAATTGTTCTTGTGGATTACTTTCAATGTTGCTATGCAAGAGTTGGTGAGCTTGTAGGTCCTGTTGCTCTGCAAAGCTCTCTCCACATTGGCTGCAGATAATCAGACCGCAATCACTCTGCTGATTTTCACTCTGTTCATCTCTCTTGACCTCCACAGAAGAAACCAAAGATGGGCCAGATGCTGAAGGTGCGTCATGAGTTTGAGTATGAGTTTGAAGGTGGCTTCGCAGGGCACTCATGCTAGTATAGTGATTCCCACACACAGAGCACTGATACATCTCTTCATCATCCTCTTCTTCATTGTCTTCACACTCAGCTTCATCTTCACTCTCACTCAACTGATCATCAATGTTGTCGTGAAAGGTTTGCTGATTAAAATAGGCCTCAGTTGGACCGTCATTGTGCCCAAAACCAACATTCTCCCCTGACTCCCCCAAGAAATTCTGATGTTTTGTTTCATGAAAGTCAGTTTGACTGGATGAGCCATTCATCATGCTCTGATACTGCTGATTCAGGAGGGGACAGTCATGTGATTTGATTCCTGCAATATCGGTAAATGTTTTACCACAGTCTGCACACATGTGCCTCTCCATGATGTGTTCATCCTGAGGTAGTTGCTCATCAGAATAGGAATTGTCAAACTGCTCATTAAATTCAGTAGAATCAGTCTCCTCCACATACTCCTCATTAGAATCATCCTGCACAGGTAATACCAGTTCCTGAGGAAGGCCTAAGATTCCACTTTCATCACCCTCCTGTGATGCAAAGGTGCCCTGATGACTCTCATGTGTTAAGGGCTCTGAAGAAAGCCAGTCCCCCTCAGAACTAGCAGCCAAAGATATGGGTCTGCCCTTATGGATCCTAAGGTGGCTTCGCAGAGCCGCCAAATGTGGATAGCTCTTGCGACAGATAGAACACTGAAAGATTCCAGTTTGATGGGATCGTTTGTGATTTATAAGACTGCCTGCATGCCTATAGCTTTTACCACAGATGTTGCACTTGAAGCGGCGATCAGAACTGTCAGTTTCTTCTACTTTGATGTTACTAAAATCCTGTGCTGAACAATCAGGATCGAGGTTTTCTGATGGTGGGGTCACCGGTTGTCCCTGAGCATGTAGAGTCAATGAATCATCATCTAAAGAGTTGGGTATGTATATATGACCATTTTCTATGGGGCCTTCTGATTGGTCATAATCAACAGATTTATCAAGTAGTGGAGGCAATGGTGGAGTGTCACTAGAGGGGGGATAAGGATTAGATTCTGGGGAATGAATAACATTATCGTTGTAAGAAAGATTGTGCTCCTCTGGTAGGTTGGTAGGGAGCTCAAATGACACAGAGGAGGAGTTATGCAACAGAATGTGATTTTGAAACTCATCATCGTTAACAAAAGCAACTTGACAAAGGTGACAAAAATGAATATTAGCATCACCATTCTGTGGCGTAACATCAGGGACCTGCTCCTGCTTGCAGTCAGTAAGAGCAAGTTTAGGGTTCGGCGCACTGTGGCGGCCTCTGGTTTTACTGTGGGTTCGCTGGTGACTAGTAAGTGCAGCAAGATTGTTGAACTGTTTAAAACAGATTGGACACTCAAAGACTCCCATTTGATGAGTCTTTTTATGGTTTATGAGGCTACCGTGATGTCTGTAAGTCTTGTCACATAAGTCGCATTTGAATGGCCTGCCTGCAGCATCATCGTCAGCTGCTGTGTCACTTTCTGGGGTGCAGTTTAAAACATTTTCTGACACAAGACCGTTACTTTGGCTGTTCATTGGAGCAATATTCAGCTTCATGTCTGGCTGCAAATCTGGCATAATGTCAAAATCTACCTCATCAAGATGCAACTCATCAACTTTATCATCATTTTCGACATGACTTTCTGCAAAACTTTTTGCCTTGACGTGAGACCCTTTATTGCTATGGACCTTTTGATGGGTGGCTAGCTGAGTTGCTAGACGAAAAGCCTTTCCACATTCAGTGCAAGCATATTTCTTTCTGGACGTATGAATGCGCAGGTGGCTTTTGAGAGCCAATGCATTGGAGAGGTTCCTGGAGCATATAGGACACTGAAAAGAGCCCACCTCGTGTGTTTTTTTGTGGTTAGCCAAGCTGCCAGCATGCCTGTAGTCTCGCCCACATTCCTCACACTTAAATTTGCGTTCCTCTTCAAAGTTATGAAAAGTGTTTGTATGCTCCGAAAGACTGGGCATGCTTGCACATACTACACCATAATGTCTACGCGAAATGCCTTTGGTCCGGCCTGGCTCTTGCATAGCCATAATGGTACAGTATATTGATAAGAAATGTCAATAAAAGCCAGTTTGAATGAGTGTGAGAGACACAACTGTCCTCACTATTAGCAAATTGACTTGTTCGGTGAGATTGGAATGCAGAGGCAACATTCAAAAGATCTGCTGAGAATACGTTCCATTCCATTCCATTGGAAAAATTTAACTGGGAAGATCCAAGTGCAGGCACTGGATAAAATCTGAAACAGAAAAACCCATACATTATTTACTATTAAGTTCACACAGGGCAGTTGCATAACAAGAAAGTAAATAATGATGAAAAGCAAACATTGCTTTCTAAAGTCATGACAAAAACATTTAGTTTACATAACCAATAAACCAATAAGTAGGGTCAGACAGAATCTGCGATATTTTTTTTTTGTTATTTCTGCACAGAATTTTGAAAAAAAAAAAAAAAACAATCTGCAGATTTATGCTGAACAATTTTGGGAGTATTATACCTAAAAGTTTGATATATGAAATAAAGAAATAATACATTTTTAACTTTTATTTAATGTGTACAATGCAAATCCAATTACATCTGTGTATTTGGTAAACAAAGCAAGTCTTCCATATATTATACCTACCAAAAGACAGAAAATATTACTTTAAAAACTGTTTTGCAAATAAATCATGTGAATTTTCATTTTAGTCAATAATAATATTCCTGAAATTAATTTCAAAACTGAATAAATATAAATTCACACTCATTTATGCTAGTAAATAAATAGATCCCATGGGCTAAAAAAATTGCAGATTTCTGCGCACGCAGATTTTGTGGGCCTAATAAGAAGACATTATATGCAATAAACTAATTAAGAAAGTAGCCTAACAGGTCAATAACACACAGCACTGACTTGTAGGGAAATTCTATGTATATAGTACCAATATCTGCTTGGCCATATGTTTTTCCAATACCTGTATGACTTCATGATTAAGTACAGTTGCCCACCATGGTCAAGGTTAAAGAGCCTCTAAAGTGATAGTTCACCCAAGAACAAAGATTCTGTAATCATTTACTTGCTTTTTACTTGTTTCAAAACAAGTTTACTTTTTTTCTACATACAAAAGATGCTGAGCAATTCTATGCAAATGTTAAACTCTCCATGAAGTTTCTGCATTTTTGTGTAAGGAAGTATCTTACAGTGCTTAAAAATACTCAAATGTGTCTGTTAATGTTTTTAAGCTATATGATTTACCAAAATTACACAAGCACCAATTTCACATCTGTAACATCCATAACAGAGTGATGTCACATCCATAAGAGAGCTTAAAATAAAACCAATCCTTTTCTTCTATAGGGAGGCAACTCTTATCCTTTTGATTAGCATTATTTCTTTTGAGTTGTGAAGTTTATTTCACGGAATTTCTACAAAGTTTGTTGTATACTCTAAACTCTTTTTTTTATCACATCAATAACGCATGATTATTTCCCTTATCTAAAATAGAAAAAATGTTTACAGATTGATATTGATCCTTTATCTCTATAGTCGGTTGTTTAAGAAAACAGAAACAGATGTTTCTATATGTTAATATATACTCTCTGTGAACATGTTTTAAGATTTTACTGCAAATGTCACGTTCTTAAGGCTGGAATTGCTCAGCTATTTTTAAGAAAGCTGTAAACACTGACTTCCATAGTATTTGTTTTTCCTACTATGAAAGTGGATTACTACATGTTTCCATCTTTCTTACAAATGTCATTTTTGTTTAAGAGAATGGGATAAACTTTTCCTTTAGCATGTGTTTTTAATTGTGGAGGCAAAATTGTTTGTTATTTTTTGAGGATAAATGCGTTCCATAACACATAACACGCCCTCCCTCCCTCAAAACAAGCTTGGGAAAAAATTGTGGCAAACCATAAATTCGGTTATGAATTAGTTGTCCATATAAATAAACATTTACTTGATGTTTTAATAACACTCATCAGTTAGCAGAGAACGTCTTTGAGCACTGATTAAACTAACCTTAAACTGTATTACACTGTATTACATTAGTAACGTTTCATGCCGGAGATTTTCTATTGTCGAATTAATCGCAAAACCGTTTAGTCCGTGCTGTTATTCACCTTTGTCTAATTTTAAAACGTACAATCATTTAATAATAACGGTATGAAAGATCAACGAACAGGCTCCAGCAGTTAAGGTGACAGGCTTCCTCACACAATGGAGCTCTATTGACACAGTAAACACTTCCCCGGTACATTAGCCAAGCCGCTAGCTTCACAAGCTCAATCTTCTACACAATATATTCATCAATCGTTTAAATACGCCTTTAGTCGTGCTCCAAATTAGTATAGTAGATAATATAAGTGTTCTTTTCTCAAGATGAGGAGAATAACGTGTATTTTTTGGGAGAGGCAGTAGCATCCCATTCCAATGCGAGCTAGTTAGCATTTGGCGGCTAGAAACTGTGGCTAACAGTTCAATCGAACACAAACAATTAATGAACAGATGACACTGGCGATATACGTACCGAATGTCGCGGTCTCCTTTTGTGGTGTCCGCGATTAGATGTTGGCACTCCGTTCACTTTATTTTAGTTTCAGGACGGGCGTGTTCGTCCCCTCTTTTTCTACCAATTGTCTTTTCCCCCATCCCACTCAACTCACTTCCTGCTCTTGTTGCTAGGAAACAGGAAATGTGCATCAGTGAAAAAAGTCCGTACGTTCCGTTTCCTTTGACATTCTTTTACTTGAAATAAAGAGCATTGTTCATCATTTCCACCGCCTACGCCATAAAAGAGATCGTTTTAATGAGTGTAGTTTTAACACACGGGAATTCAAGTTCATACGTTTCCTAAATATTTGCTTACTAACGTTGTATAAACGTCCGATAATGATTTGTAACTTAGCCACCCACATAACTGTCTTGAATCATTAATGTTACATATATCTACATTGAACTATTGCACAGATTCAAAATCAGCTCTCAAAGTTGATCAGATTACTTCTATAATGTTATCTACCACAGAAATTGCCGATAAAGTTACCTCTTGTGGTTTGTTCACAGCAGTTTTCATCATTAAAAAAGCTAAACGCACAACTTTTACAATAAAGTTATTCAAAACAAGTGTTTAACTAATACAACACATTACAGGAACCACACCATTATCATTTTTATCCATTTAACATTTATGTTATATAACCGTGTATATGCACAAAACAACTGCATATCCACGTACGCTGAAGTATGCATATTTCCCCTCCCACAGGCTCTCTCTCTCTCTCCACCCCATTTTTATCCCACTCACCATCCACTGTAGTCCGCGGAAACTCTTCAGTAAGAACGCTAAAGGAACTGAGGTATGGATAGTTGCGATATAAAATAATTCAGATCATTTTGGAGGGATTCCCCAAGTGGCGAGTGAGGAAGTCATGAAGGCTCACATATCTGCGTTGGCTGGGTAATTTCGTCATGGTCCTAAAGCCGCCGACCTTCTCCCGAGATTGAGCGATTTTACAATTCAATATCAAAGACACGCGTGCAGCCTCTTACGAGAACACAAAAGGTACGTAATGTGAGCTATAATTATTTGAGAGGGATGACGAAACATAAACGATATCCTATTGTGAAAATGCCGTGATTTTGATAAACTGACAGAAGCGACTGCAAATTGCTTTGCACGTTCAGCGGTCCTAAAGCCAGCCATTTTGTGTTATTGTGCATTCTAAAATACTAGATGTAACTATGTGATAAAGACGTGTTTGTTTGCTTTTTGAATTGCCACTGCGTTGTATGTGCATTAATTAGATTTGGTCATGGTTGCCATGTTTCATTGCTGCTAACATCGACATGTAAATCCGTTTGTATACAAGCAGCACAGATGGCAACTTCCTTTGAGAACAAGAGCGTCTTTCCCAATTGTCCCTGAGGTCCTAATGCCGGCCATTTTGTGTTGCCACCCAATCTCATCGTATTTAAAACATTTCTATTAAACCATTTGTACTAAAATACTACATGCTAATTTTATTATTTATACTTATGCTACACACTCAAGTAAACACTCTTGTGTTAAAACACATTAAGTTAAACCTGCAATAAACTTGTCATTTCAACACCATTGTTCTTAAATTAGACAGAATGACTAACTTAAATAGAAATGCATTTTAAAAACAAAATTAACAATAAGTGTATTGGTACTTTGACAGAAACTAGAACTGTGGTAGCTAGGTTTAGGTAGAAAGGTAAAGTGGGCTTTATTCGGACATTAGCTTAACTGTGCCCTTATTGTTTACCCATCTACTTTGAATATTCAATCTGAAAGTGCAAAAGTATGACTTTAAAACACCATCTGCACTATTTAATTGACTGTAATCAATGATGTACCTTAATAATCATTGGCTGCTTATAGAATTTTCCTTTTCAGAATTTGCAAAGAATACTTTGATGAAATTGTGTTATTACAGGGTTCATACGGTCATGGAAAACCTGGAAAAAGTCATGGCATTTTCCATGCCTGGAAAAACTTTAGAAAAACAGAAAAAAACAAAGTTTTGGAAAAGTCATGGAAAACGGATATCTGTATAATTGAATATAGGCTTTTTACTTATTTTCTGTCCTTGGCCAGTCACATACTCTCACATTATTAGCGCTGTGTAACCATTATCTAAATCAGTTTTACATAGATGTAATTATAAACTGAAACTAAATAGACTGTTGCATGTTTAACGATATGCTGTAATAAATTTGAACCTGCTTTGTTTTTCTTTTACCACGCATATGCATTGCATGAAACATTAGGCCATGAAAATTTACTTGAAAGTCTTGGGAAAATTATGGAAAAGTCATGGAATTTTAGTAGTAAAAATGTGTATGAATCCTCTTATTAAGAAGAAGGTCATAATGTGTATATAAAAAAACAACTTTACCTCAACGGTTTAGGTAGGAAATTGCTGTATTGCATTTTACAATAAGATTCCATTTGTTATCATTAGTAGACCATGAAGAAGTGTTAATAATCTTAACATTATTAACAATAGCAAACAACTTTTGAGTTGGGTATTAATTTAGGAAACAAGAACTAACAAACGTGTATGCTAGCTATATGTTTACAGCAGCTATGTTTATTACCTAACCTTTACAAAAAAAAAATAGCACTGTTACCAGTGTATTATTCATTGTTAGTTTAATATGTTTTGATAATATTGGTCAATAATTTTGTTAGAATAAAAAATAGAGTTGGCCTTTGATGCTAAATTGCTTTTTAAAATATTTTATGTGATGTACAGTGTGATCAACCTTGTTCTTTTGAGGAAATAAACTAATCAATGACATGTAAAGATCAAAGAATATACCTGAAAAATAAATAAATACATTTGTCACCTGAACATTTGAACCTTTTCTCTAAATTAAAGTAAAAAATTAACACACTGTGCTTTTTTTATCCTCAGCATCCTCAGTATGGCTTCACCCCAACCAGGTATCCCATCAACAACAGAGCAGTATACACCACCACCATATGAGTCTGAGCCTAGTAAAGAACTAGACAATGTGCCAGAACAAGCTACAAGAAAGAGAGGCAAAGGGAGACCACCAAAATCTTTACACACTTTTAAGTGCTCGAGCTGTCAGGAGGTCTTTACCAGCCCTTCGGCCTTACAGAGCCACAAGCTGTCAGTACATGGTAAAGACAAACAGCAGCAATACACCTGTGGTAAATGCACTAAGATGTTCTCTACCCGAGCACAGCTTTCTAAGCATCAGCGCTCCCATTCACCTCAGCGTCCGTTCCAGTGCCTGCAGTGCCATAAGGCTTATAAGACTCCAACGGAATTACGCAACCACAGTCGCTCACACACAGGGGAGAAACCATTTGTTTGTTTGGACTGTGGCAAGGCATTCATGCAGGCCATTTGCCTGCGTATCCACATGACACAGCACAGTGGCGAAAGGCCTCACTCGTGTCCTCTCTGCTCCAAGAGTTATCCCACACTTTCCAAACTCAAAGTGCACCAACGATCCCACACCGGTGAAAAGCCTTACTTTTGTGTTGAGTGTGGGAAGAGTTTTGCAGACCCTTCAGTTTACCGCAAGCATCGGCGTAATCACCTAGGCCACCGGCCGTATTCCTGTGCGCAGTGTGGTAAAACTTACACAGAGCTGAAGGACTTGAAAAATCATGAGCGTTCACACACAGGTGAGAAGCCTTTCCTGTGCTCAGACTGCGGCAAAGCCTTCTCCCGATCCTCATCATTGGCGTGCCACTTGCGAATTCACTCCAAAAGCAAGCCATATCAGTGTGAGCAGTGTGGAAAAGGTTTTACCCAACTGTCCTCATACCAGTCTCACCTTCGCACACACTCTGGTGAAAAACCATTCTTATGCCCACAGTGTGGTAAGATGTTCTCGGATCCCTCTAGTTTCCGCCGACACCAACGGGCACATCAAGGATTCAAGCCATACCCTTGCGACAAGTGCACTAAGAGGTTTCGGCAACCCGCAGATCTTGCTGTGCATCAACGTGTGCACTCTGGCCAGCGACCCTATAAATGCCAACGTTGTGATAAAGCTTTTGTAGCTTCTTGGGATCTTCGGCGCCACATGCTAGTGCATTCCGGACTGCGTCCTTTCGCTTGCACTGAGTGTGGCAAGTCTTTTACGGAGCGTTCCAGCCTGAACAAACACAGAAGGGTGCATTCAGGAGAGCGTCCATACAAATGCCAGCTTTGCTTCAAGTCGTTTGTTGTGTCTTCGAGTTTGCGCAAGCATGAGAGGACACACTTATCCGAGAGGCCGATACAGGTTCATGTCACTCCAGAATCAGCTTCAGTGTTTCCCAGCACCCTTCCCCAGTTCTCCTGCTCTCACTGTGATATGATATTTGGGACATGGGAGGAGGTGCAGGCCCACACCAGCCTTCACACCATCTCTCCCCCATCTGATCCTTCAGTTTTGGCTGTACCTGTCAGCCCACATGTATGTGTGACTTGCCAGGAAGAGTTTGTTAATCTGGCTGATCTTCAGGCACACGAGAAACTGCATCCCAAGCCTCGACCCCACATTTGTGACCAGTGTGGAAAAGGTTTTCTGAATAAAGCTGGTCTTCGTAAACACCAGCGTATCCACTCAAGTAATCGGCCACATAGTTGCAATGTTTGCGGGAAGGCTTTTCTTTTTGCTGCTTATCTACGCAAGCACTTACGCACCCACCGTGACACAGAGTCCTTACCGTCTCTGCCTCAGACAGACATGGCACACACCCAGCCCTTGCCATCCCCACCAAGTGCTGCGTCACCTTCGGGATCAGAACCCACCGCTATTTCCCTTACTGTTCCTGTAACCTTTCAGACAATACCAGCCCATGTGTATATGGACAAAGAAGACGGACTCTGAACTTATTGATGACTTTGTCGGATGCTTTGAACATTTGTTTAGACAATGTTCACATTTTTGTTACTGCTATTCTATACTAACAGGACAGTGAAAGCGTTGAAAACAGAAAAGCCAATGCATTGTTTTTTTTGTTTTTTTTTAAAGATGGATTAAATGCATCAGTACACAAAATTTCTCATAAAATATTGTCTTTGAATTTCTTTGATAATGTAAGAGAACATTTATATTTAGGTATGTTGAAAGGGTTGCTGAGAGGTTTTGTTTATTTTTAGGCTTTGTCTGAATCACAGTGAAAGTGCCAGTATGTTGTGTTGTAATCACAAATTTTATCTCATGTGTCATGTTTATACACTTGAAATAAGTGTAATATTTTAACCACAAGACCAATGACCTATTTAAATAAATAAATTTCTTCCTCTCCATCAATTACATTTTATATTTTGATATCAATCAGGCAATAAGTCAGATGTGAGGGTTGATATAACAGTGATTACTTCTTGCTATAATGTTTATTATGAATGCTATGATGTTCTATAATCTTTGTAGTACTGTTTGACTATTACCTTTAGTATTTATTTTCCTATACCCCAATGTCCTGAAGCAAACTATGCTTCATGGTGTTGTTTTATATTTGTAAAATTTAATGTAGATCTACAATACCAATGACCAGTCAAGCTTGACTAAAGGTAAATTTCATATTATGTTTAAAAATGTGAGATCTAGATTTGCGTGGATGGCGCAGTGGGTAATGCTGTCACCTTACAGCAAAAAAGTCACTGGTTTGAGCCCTGGCTGGGTCAGTTGCCATTTCTGTGTGGAGTTTGCATGTTCTCCGCGTGTTCGTGTGGGTTTCCTCCGGGTGCTCCGGTTTCCCCCACAAGTCCAAAAGACATGGGGCTTGAGCATTGGGCTAACGGAAGGGTCACTTGGTGATTTCCAAAAGTATCATATATGTTATTAACCTATTAAAATGACCATATTTTATCCATAACCTGCAGAAGATTAAAATAGTCTTTAAGAGTTACATAAAAATAACAGGCAAATAAAAAGCTATCAACCTTTCAATTCTTTTTCCGATGGATTGTGATCCCTGGGTTTATTACGCTAATGACACAGCAATAATGTTAATTGCTGCAGAGTGCCCACTATTCTCATTAAGTGAGGTTAATATTGAATTAAGCAAATTAATAATGACTGTAAAACATTATATTGTTGTTAGACTGTTGCATTTTTTATCAATATGCTCAATTATATAGTTCTTATTTATGTGTGCACCATTGTGTACAATGCTTGTATGTTTATAACCATCTACGAGTGTAGTGGGGGTCACAAGTCATTGGAATTGTAATTTTGGGGGTCACGAGCTGAAAAGTTTGGGAACCCCAGAATTTGATGTTAGGAAGCACCAACATGGTGCAGCTAAATATCAACCTTGAAGTAAACAGCCCTGGGAGTAAGTTCATCTAGATTTGTATACAAATGTAAATGGTACATACATACGACTTTCATAAAACTTAGATTTTATTTATTATTGTAATTATTTTTGTACTTTTTAGTAAATGGAAAAGTAAGCCTGAATAGTGGCAGATTTATTAGTATATCATCGTTTACCATTTTAGAAATTCTGAAAAATAATTTGAAAATTAATATTTGAAAGAAATTGTTGTCAAAAAGTGTTAGTATATAGTATTAAACAAACATGTTGTTAAACTAAAGAGACGTTTGCTCTCTATATAAATATATACACAAATATTGTGTGCATAAGTTAAATATTGACATCGTGGTTCTACAAAATAGCTAAGTTATAGCTATTGTAAGTGCACATATCTTGTTTCAACCCTAAGTGAAGAAAATAAGTTAAGTAATGTACACAAATGTGTGAATGCGTGAAATCATTTTTGACGACGCTTGCAGTTTACCATGGTATATATACTGAGTGAAGCTTAAAATTACAACAGCTTCAACTTTGGACAACTAACAAAACTGTTATCCCCTGTTAAAAGGTACGTTTGTTTCAGTTTTTTTGAATTTTGATTTCATTTTAGCATAGAAATTCAAATAATGAATAAAAAATTGTCCTTTTTTGTGTGCAGGTTTATTTTAATTCTGACATAAAGGAGAAATCCAGTCTAAAGAGCGATGGCAGCAATAGTCACAGGGCTCATCCCAATTCTCCGCACTGCGGTGGACTCTACAGCCACCTATAAAGGTCGCACCATGTGGTTCGGCTTGCTCTGCATCCGCCTAGTGACCGTCTTTTTGGCTCAATTTCCATGGAAAAGTATAAGTGAGGATTTCCACTGTAACAGCACCTTACCATACTGCACTAAAGCTTGCTTCAATAAACACTTTGACAGTTCTATAGTGATGGCTTGGCATTTCATCTTCATCCTCCTTGTGCTCTCCGTCCTTCTCATGGAGCTGTTTTCCTCCCATCTTCGGTCTTCCTTCCAGAAGAAGAAGGAGAGAGAAATGGCATCTCAAAGCGAGCAGGGAGGTGTCACTGATCCCACTGTAACTATAGGCGGCAGGATGATGATAGACCTCCACAAAAGCAAAAGCAGTGTGATGGTTTATCTGTTCTGTATAATGCTGAGGATTGCGGTTGAGCTTTTGTTTGTGTATGTCTTGCTTTCTTGGGTTCTACCTAAATTAAATGAAGAGCCACACATTTGTGAAGCACATACATTTGATGGTTGTTCAGTGCAGCAGTGCTTGGTTCGAGGAATAGCTGAAAAGAAAATGTCTGTATATGCTCTACTGTTTGCATCTGCTTTGGTTATTATTACAAGCAGCTTGTTCTGTCTGTACTCAGTAGCCCACTACCTCTGTGATTGTTAAACAAAGGATCTTGGTGAACACAAACTTTATTAAGTAGCAATAATGCATATGTACTTAAACAATTACCTTTTTTAATGCTTAATTATGGCTTGCTATGTCTGATATGCAATTAATGCAATATGTTTTTATTTAGTATTATTGGATGTGTCATCTGAAATGTATCTTTGCAATAAACTACACTAAAATATTAATATTTCTTATGTTTGCTAGTCATTTTTTTTGACTTCTTTATATACACAGATTTTTAAATCAACATACATTTATTTGAGAAACAACAGAAAACTGAGCAGACTTGCTTTCTGGAAGATGAATAAAAATTAAGCAAGTTTATGCTTAAAATTATTAATAAATAAAATGGTTACTCCCATTTCTTTATTTTTAATCTCTTTTTGTTACAGATATTTGGTTGATGAGTTACTTAATGTTGACCAAAAAAATAAATAAAATAAAACCCTTAAACACTTTATATAATTTGGCATCTCGAGTTAAGTTTTACTGCAAAACAGGACAAAATGCCTGGTATAATTTCCATTGCATAAACAAAATGAGAAATTGCAGCTTTTTGGCTTGGCTTGGTGTTTCTGTGTCTGCATTTTTGTTGTTATGGCTGGGTGAGAATTCTCTCCATAGTACTGTGTGAATGCTGACTAGCTGCTTTGTTTTAGTTAAACTTCTGTACAATTCAAACCTCTAACAATGCACAAAAACACTTAATGTTTCAGAAAACATGAATCTTTAACTCTTTTTCTTTTGCTGGCCAGATTTATTGCTTTATAGTATCGCTACTAAAATCAAAACACATCTATTAAATTAAAGACCATTAGTGATTATGATTGCTGTCCGTTTTAGGCATTTTTAGATGATCACAGGCTATATATGTTAGTCTGCTGGAGCAGATCAGTTGCAGAAGTCTGTGTTGCAGCAGTGTCTCTCCACCTGAGGAGGCAATGCAGTCCGACACTCTCTTTCTGTAGCACATCTGCGCACCTCACCATCTACAAAAAGAAAAACATACAACAGTTTTCACAGAAAGCTCTTGGGTTGGAAAATAATACCCTCGGGTCATCCAAGATGTAGCTGACTTTTTCTGGTTGAACAGTCAAGAAGCATTTAAAGGGCACCTATGGTGAAAAATCTACTTTTCAAGCTGTTTGGACAGACATGTGTGTAAGTATAGTGTATAGGCCGTCATATTGGGGTGATGTAAACAAAAACAATGCTTTTTTTTAAAAAAATTTTATTTAACAACATAAAAACGGTGGAACAATTGGAGTGGTTTTGAGACGACCGCAACTTTACGTAGGAGTGCCGTCCCCCCGCCCACCAATATTGATTGACAGCCTCGTGTCACGATCATATCCTCAGTTTCTTGTTGCCCATCCGCCATTTTCAGCATGTGAGTCAAAGCGATATCACTAAAGGAAAACCCTCGCTCTATTTTTTGATCAAAAGCTCTTTGGGCTATCGCTGTAATCGGAATTATTGCTTGTACCTTTTGCGTGGCGTGGTGCCGTGCATTTCGGAGTTCTGGGCGTAGGTTTCTGTCGGGGTGCACGCGGCGGAGCTTCGAGTCAGCGCAGTTGTATTTGCCCTGATGGAAGCTTGTGTTTAGAGTTCTGGAATGCGTGGCATGACGATTCGGGACACTTCATGTTTCTGCCGCGTCACTGAGTGTCTGGTGTGCCGTGTCGCGGCGCATTCGGTGCCTCAGTCAAAGTTAATTCAGAGTGTGTGGTTATTAGTCTCGGTGTACAAGCTCGGCACTTGTACACCAAGACTATTCAAAGACACAAATAATTTTGTACTCTCTACTTGGTCTGTGTCCGGGTCGAACATGTACGGCTGAATGCTCATCCTAGCTTAGCTTCTCTCTCTCTGTCTGTCAGCCTGTCTGTTGCAAACACAGAGCATGGGAGCTCTTGGCTCCGCCCCCTTGTTACGTTGGGTAGGAAGCCGAAACTGTGAAGCAACACGCCCCTAAAACAGCAAACTGTGTAAACGCCCCCAACATGACACTTTTTAACACATTATAATAAAAACATCTGAACTGTGTGTTGAGCTGAACCTAAACTAGCACACTCCGAAGAACCATAATATTAATATTAAATCATAAAAAAGAGGTAAACTATGTGCCCTTAAAAGGTGCAGTAGGTGATTGTCTTCAGAAACATTTCTTGTTGGTTGAATGTATCTTAACATTCCGATAGCAATGATTAAAGTAAATGATCAAAATGTATTTATATGTATATTTATATTCCGGGTATAAGGCATGAGACTAAAAAATATTCATCCAACTAAAAATCGTCAGGCCGATGAATAACTCAGTTACGACAGGTAACACAAACTGTGTCAACAAATTTAAATTTGTATTACACACAAATAGATACTAGTCACTTGTGCATTCACGTGAAGCATGGATCTACAGCTGACAGAGTGAGTGACATTAGGTAAACTCAGCAAGCATCAGCCTAAACTTATTTTTAAAAGACCAACGTGGCCTTGTGTCCTTGTGCCATTCAAAACCACAATCTGAAGAATAACACCATGGCTAAAGTATTACTGTTAGACAGGTATATTTTAAAACTATTTTATTCACGCTGAGCTTATGTAGATTGTGTTCTTTTTTATAATTGGGTTTATATAAATGGAGGTGTTTTTCAGCCACTAAGAACATCAGGCGAAACACATTAGACTATTTTCAAGTTCATAATCTGATTTTTATTTAGCTGAATAATAAAACATAAGGAAACCAGCTTTACTGAGGTAAAGTTTGATTTATATTTGTATATTTGTTCATTTTTACACAGTGACGACCTGTGACAGGCTCCCTCTCTAACGCTGCTTTGAATATTGAGTCTGAAATGACATGTAGGTATGACCTAATTGACTGTGAACAATGTTGTAGTTTATAGACTTTAGGTGATTGTACAATTTCACTGTATTTTTGAGGAGAAATTCTGAATGTGCGAATATAAAACCAACTTCACCCCAATGCAAGTTTTAGGGAAATATAATTCCTGCACCTCCTGGCCTGTCAACAACTACTCTGGATAAAGTGTGAGTCTCCATAGAGTTTTCTAACTGGTGAATGATGATCAAGTGTTATGGAAGGTTGTTCATCATCATTAGATCATCATCTATTCGGTGCATGTTTGCACATTCATGACTTAAGGAGGTGTGGCTTTGGTCGGCAAGGGAGGGATGAACATTTTTAAAATGATGCTATAATGTTAGCATTCTGGCAGATCACCAACTGCACCTTTAACTCAGTTGGTTCAATAATGTGTCCGCCATAGAATTTACTCTTTTCCTTAAATACTATACCCGGGCAAAACATCCATGTGGAGGTGTTTGACAGGCACACTCTCTGTACTGGGTCAAGAATTGCAACTCTTTAATATGATTAGGCATACCGACAGAGATATTTCAAATGACAATGATTAAATCAATTGCAAACTTTCATAGGATCTTTTCCACTGAATTGAGTGGAGAGGAGAATGGTGAGAGGAAAAGTGGGGGAGAATGATCAAATGTGAATAAAGGATTGGAGGTTTAAAAACCTTTCCCCCAATGTCTCTCTGTGGGGTGGCAAATGTCTGTGCATAAATATACTGTGTTTGTAAATTGTCCATTTGTGGAAGCATCTGAGTTTCTGTTGTCTTTGATTATTCATAAAATTTAAGTCAACGTTGGTGTCACTTTGCAAGTCAAACATGCAGATATGGACCAATATGTTCATTTAAATTTAGTAATTTAGCATATGCTTTTGTCCAAAGTGACATACAAATCAGGGGGCATTCAGTGATTAGACAAACACCTAAAAAGTGCTGATTATTACAAAGGAACTGTTAGTGCTCCGAGAATTAAGAGCTAGAGCAGGGGTGTCAAACTCAATTCCTGGAGGACCACAACCCTGCAGAGTTTAGTTCCAGCCCTGATTTAACACATCTGTATCAACTAAGACTTTAGAATACCCAAGACATGTCACTTGTTTTAAATGGGAAAAAATTATAACGGTCAATATGGCGAATAAAACCCACCTTCTAGTACAGGAGCCAATCATTGATCGCTATAGACTGATGATTCTCCGAGGGAGGGGCTCGGACCAGATGTGAATTTCTGCAGATTTTGAGTAACTCAAACGTTTAGAAATTAAACTAAAGAGACAGTTGTTGTTGAATCTTATTGTTGTTTCCTAATATGAAGTTTAATCGTAAGCTTGGCAAGCAATTTCACAAAATTTGATGTTTCCCTATTCAAACAGAATGCCTGAGCATACTGTCTGCGTCTCTGAGACGTGTTTCAAAGATGGCCCCCGAGTAAAATGACTTGGCTTAAAGGGACTATGGTATCAAACAAGCCCAAAGCACTCAATAAGTTTAATCAGGTGTGTTTAATTAGGTTTGGAACGAAACTGTGCAGAGCTGTGGCCCTACAGAAATTGAGTTTGACACCTATGAGCTAGAGTACGAAGGGGGCAGTGTTTTTTATTTTTATTTTACTTTAATATATTCAGTGGTAGGCAATAATTTTGTGTTGCTTCTATCTGCTGTTAGTGTAATCACTTGTTGACATGAGTCTTAATTGAAAATTGACACATTAACAAACTTTTTAGCTTTAATTTTTTTAAATGGAGGCCATTGGTTACCATAGTATTTAGTTTCCTACTATGGATGTCAACGATTTGTGTTCAGCAGGAAAAAAGAACTCATGAATATTAGGGGGTGAGTAAATGATGAGTAACATTGAAAGTGAACTGTCTCTTTAGGCCTGAAATATAGGTGTTTTCAGGTGTTTTGCACTAACTGTCCACAAGGTGTCAACACTGAACTGGGCTGTTATTACTAAGTCAAAGAAAGCAAAGGAGGAGAAGAAACAAGAAAACAACAGACTAGCGAAGACAGCAAAACAAATAGATGCCTATATAAATACATTTGAGGGAATTAAAGACTTCTACAACTTTTTTAATGAATTTAAAGGCACAGAACAAACAGAAGACAAAGGATGAATCTTTGAAGAGTACAAGATACTTAGAAAAGCTTTGTTTACTTACGCTTACAAATCATCACCTTGGAATTATAAGGTTCTGCGTTCTGAATGATTTTGAGATATTGAGCTTTAAAGGTTTTGTATTTCATAAAGCAAACAGTGTGTGTGTGTGTGTGTGTGTGTGTGTGTGTGTGTGTGTGTGAGAGTGAGTGTAACATTTGTTTTTTAAATAAAAAGTCTTAAAACAACTTATAAAAAAACATCCCATAAGAAAATAGGTTAATATGTCAATAACTAAAATTTTAACAAATATGCTATAATGATATAAATGATATAACCTTATAATTCCAAGGTGATGAAATACTTTGGCCTTAAGCGTTTTACCAAAGAAAGAATATCAGCTACATTTTGAATGGTTGAAGGGTGAGTATCAATGGCACATTTTAGGTGAACTAACTGCAATAACTATAATTGAGTAAGTCACTATCTAATGTTTTTTCAAACTCTTCTGATATCGGAGAAAAAAAATGGCTAACTCACATGCTGGTGAATGCATATTGATCCTAATGCAGGTATCCTGAAGACTGGAGCACTCTCTCACCTCCAGCTCATCGCAGGTGGGATTCATTTTGTCTATCTTCTTGCAGAAGTTGCATATTAGTGCCTGTGCAACTAATGAGATATTTTATATGTTATTTTGAGGGAAATTCATTATAGTACACATGAGCTATAACAAAACAGGCTATTCTCATCTTCTCTGTATATACTGGATTTTTATTTTAATAAGGTTGCTTTTTTTAAATATTGAAAATGACATTTGGTCAAAATAACAGTTACATTTGTTGTGATTGAAACATTGTCCCCAAAAGATGTCAAATAACTTTTCTGAAGTCAAAAGATTTGTATGATGTTTTGTGTATTGTGAAAATAAACATCTATAGATACATATTTTATGTTATTTTGAGGAAGCTTATGCTCTAAATCAGTGATGCCCAAATATGGGCCAACGAGCCAAAGTTGCCCCTTTGCATCCTTTAATTTGGCCTGCCAGAGGGAAATATGGTTGGGAAATGCATTTAACCAGCCTGAACTCACGAGAAAACGTAAGTATTTTACATTTTGGCAGTTTAGTGGCTAATTCTTATGAATTTTTACAAGTTCAGTTCTATAAAAATGTATAATTTTAAAAAGGAGGCATGGGACCCAACCCCACCACGAACCCCAACCGTCATTTGGTGATGAGCAAATCATACTAAATAGTACGAATTAAATCATTCGAATTCATACGAATTAGCCACTAAATCAAAAAAGTTACGAATTGCCGTGAGATGTCGTTGGTTTAACAGAGATTCCCATTTAAAGTTTTAAGAAAATTGTCTAAAATTGAATTCAATAAGTAATTTTTTAACTATTCATTTTAAATGTTATGAAATAAATTAGGAAATTACCCATGGCAACTTTAATGTAATACAGTTTGCTACATTTCGTCACCCTAGAATTATAACGTTCTATCTGACATTTTTGTCAAAATTGAGTTATTGACATTATTATTAAATGACAACTTATTTACATTATGGGATGTTTTTTTTTTATAAGTTTTTTACATTTTAAGACTTTTTATTTAAAAAACAAATGTTACACTCATAATGTTTGCTATGGAATGCAAAAGCTTTGAAGCTCAATATCTCAATATCATTTAGAACGCAGATAACCTTATAATTCCAAGATGACGATTTACTTTCGGCCCACAGCTCTCAATCTAGCTTGAATTTCGGCCCTCCATAAGAAAAAGTTTGAGCACCCATGCTCTAAATGAAAACAGTTGGGTTTTTAATTTAGAAAAAATGTCATCAGTGGTAAAACAATAATTATGTTTTACTCAAATACTAAACTATACATTGAAATTTTCAGAGAAACAGAGACTTATTTAATGATATATTCCATTCACATACATCTGAAGTGTCCTACCGTTTTAATGTTTTTTAATTCAGCTCTGAAAAAACAGACAACATGAGATATGGTGTCTTAAAATTTCAAACCAGAAGATTATAATTTACAGCATTCATTTGCAGAATATAATGCCCAGCAAAGTTTTTCAGAGCTGAATTTAAAAAAAACATTAAAATGTTAGGACATATGTCAATATTACTTTCTATAAGAAGCTATGAATAAAAATATACATTTTTCAAAACGGGTATCAACTCTGAAAACTGGACTGACAGTTTCAATTTACTAGAACTTCTATGTTAAGCTGCTTTGACACATTTCTACATTGTAAAATCATTATAGAAAAAAGATAAATTGAAATGAGTTTATTTATTTATACCATGTGCTGTATATCTTATATATATATAGATATATATATATAGATATATATATATATTATTAATTTGACATGGTCTACACATTTTCCCAGAGGTCTATTACTTAAAAAAGATTAACTTGTTTACTGTTTTGTATTAAAGAGAAAGTCTTTGAACAACAAAGTTAAAACTGTTTCCCACTCACCACAGAGGGCACCTAAAAACACGACCAGAACCAGTGTGCGGGATCCCATCTTTCAACTTTTTCAAACTGACAGAAGTTAATTAGAGATACAATATGAAAAAAAAGTTCAGATTTATTTACACATGAAGATTAACAAAACTAAAACAGTCTAAGATTAAATCAGTCTTACCTTCTTTGTCTGTAGTGTTTCCCTTGAATTAATCAGTTAATATATGACACTTGTTATATATGACACCTGATAACAAGTGTCCTCCTCCCTGTCCTAACAAAAAAAAAAAAAATGCTGTGCGTGTGTGTGTGTTTGTGTGTATTAAATGTTGTATGTACCACATAGTTTTAGATAAAAAATAAATAAATACAGCCTTTTTTGCGTTAAAATAAACTTTTTTAATGTAATGTTTTTTTTTACAGTAGTTTTACCTATATGGATACTTGCACAGTTTACTAAAGTTTAAGTATAGTTGTAGTTTAACTTAAATTTAAGGGCCAATTTATAATACTTCTTTTCATCATCTTAACTAACAAAAAACAACACCAGAACATTAAGGACATTTTAAAAATTTAATATTTAAGAAAAGACATGTTTATGAGAACAGTATCTCTCACATCACCACATTATTGAGGTCATTTCCTTTTGTGTGCTCAACAATAGTGAAATATTACACTGTCCCACCCAAATGTTCCCAGTCTTTTCTGACCCAGTGGCTAACATGAACAAATGAGAAAACTCTCAATCACATGCATGTTACAAAACTCAATAAGTAAAGTATATATCATTTAAAAACGGCATGAACGGGTTGAACTGATTTTACTCAAGTAAAAGCCTGAATTACAAGGAAAGATTAAGAAAAATCCACATTAACCAATCAAATACTTTACAGAAAAAAATCCTCATTAAAAACACAACAAAAAATAAACAAAGACCAAATTTGAGAAAGACTGAACATTAATACTTGACTTTTCCTCCTCATAGATCCTGCTCTTCTTAGAGTAAGATGTTTCTGTAATCCACCGAACCTCCTTTATACAGAGACATCGAAAGGATCATACCACATATCTGCAAAAAATGTGTAAATATATATTAATAAAAATGAATAGTTCAACCATTCAGTTACCATTAATCATATAATATCTAACTCTGGGAATGCACACAATTAATGATTCACTATAGGGGACCAAGCGAATGGATGAATCTTCACACCACACACTAAGCTATACTACAACTACACAAACATCATATACCTTGCCAGTATTCCACAGTGAAATCTCTGTGAGGGAAGATACAGTTTGAAATAACCAATGAGATCTTTGTTTAAACATATTCCTCACAGCTCAGAGCTCGCAAATCAAACAATACAGTCACAGTCAGAAAAAAACATGCAGTAGGGCCAATAGAGGAAAAATGTATGGCAATAACACTGTAAATCCAGTCTGCTACTGTTTTTCCTCATCAAATAGTATCATGCATTAACATGACCCATTACCCAGCACTCTTTGAATACTGAATTACAACATCTATAGGAACATTTTTGTCAGTTCTTCTGTCAGGTAACTCTGTCTAGAAATTTACAGCTAAATTTAAAAAACAAATTTTTTTTTTAAATTTAATAAAATAAAAAATTTAAGCAGTAGGAATACGGTTTTAAAAAAAGCAAAAAAAAAAAAAAGGTAGCTTTTCGAGCTTAGATGTTCTTCATTTATATTTTAGCTGTGACATCGTAATTTCCAAAGGAATCCACATTATTGGAATTTCACTATAAAAATATCTGTTAATTGTCTGATTTCTGTTTATTTATGGATGTGAATTGCGTTATGGAACCTCGATCTCTGCTCTGTCGAGTTTTGATGTTGAAAATTAAGTTTACTCAATTGACCATGTATTGATATTTTAGTAGTTTGAAATAATATAATGGATAAGAAATAATATATAGGGAAATAGGTCTGTAAAACAACAGAAAATGTACAAGGCATTTGTACCATAATATACAACACCAACACAGACAGTATATCACTGTAAACTATAAAAATGTCAACAAAAGTATTTGCTTACATTTTTTTAAAGTTAAAAAGTTATTGAAAGAAAAATCATGGTCCCATAATATTATTCAAAAGCATAAAAAATAAAAACATGAATTACAAAATATGCAAAACTAGGATTTTTCGAGATGAAATACAACAGGGGGACCAGAGGTTTCTGTTTTACAGCAAATTCAAAGCAAAAAATAAAAATAATAATCAATGTAACAGTTAGGTTATATCGCATTATTCTTTTTGAATCAGTGTTTAATACAGTTAGAGTTTGCCCACCATCAATTTGAAAGGTCCTGTGAAGTGCTTTGAAATGTGCATTTTTTCATTTGATGTTTGACGTAATCTCAACTGAACCACAAAGAGAGGGAGGGACATATACACTGTAAAAAATACTGGTTGCCTAAATTTCTAAGCTGAATCAAATTAACCTTATGAGTCCATTGAACTTATATTATGTTAAACTGATTTAAAACAGCTTGCGTGACTTATAAAATGAAGTTATAACATGATTGACTTAGTTTAATGAGTTAAAATGAACTAAAAACATGCTGTCAGGACTAATTAATCATATTATTTTTACAGTGTTGTAGCTCCTCCCCTTTAAAAAAGCAGCCAATAGCATTTCGTTTTACCACCGCTCTGCCAGTGAGGGTGGTTGAGGTCAAGCGCATCAAATGAAAAGCAAATGAGACGCGTCTTGAAGGGGTTAGGGCATGTCAAAAACTAAAGAGCATTTGTTTGGTCAAGATTTGATGAGAAACTGAATTATGAAAAACAACGTTGATACTTGTACGCGGAAGTGATAAACTACAAGCTTTACATGTTTATATCGCGTTTTGTCTAAACACGAATTTTGTCATTGTTTTGTAGCACTTTACACTGAAAACTCTAATAAGTTAACTTAACCAAATAATTGAGTAAACTCGTTGCCTTAATTTAATTGAGTAACGGAGTCTCACAAATTTTGCATATTTAAGTTTATTTAACTTGCCGGTTTGGTAGATTATACTTTGATTGTTCAGTTCAGTGTGTGTGTCTGTGTGTGTAATTATATACTATGAAAAAATTTTTTTTAAAGAAAAATAAGTAGCCATTTATTCCCATTATGGTGAATAATTATATATAAAGCCTTGTTTTTTTTTTTATTAAAAAAAGACATTGCATAAAAGTTTGCACATAGTAGAATTTTACAGTCAAGACTACATTAAAAAATGACCTATTTTAAGGATTAATTGTGATTTTGAGCTACTTGAAATCTTTAGTTTATGCATTTTCATTGCATATAAGTTAAATTAACTCATATTTTTAGTTGACCTTAGTATTTTTGTGACCTTACAGTAGCTCTGTTTACTGTTAGAATCTCTCATCACTTGAATTAAGATAATATTTTTTTTATTTTAAAGTACAGCCATCACAAAACCAGACCTTATAACAAAAAAACTGTTGTTACAAAATCTAAATTTTTGTTAGTTGTGCAGGGTGTTTTTTGTGGCATTTGCAATAAAATTACATTTAAGCTATTTGACTATTTTAATTTTTAAATCGAAGCAACTTAAATCCAAGTCAATCACATCTTAATGATGAATAAAACTGTCAATAAAACATATAAGGCAGAATTGTTCAGTTCAATTATTTACTGTAAATAATTTGCTGTACCAAACAGAAACAAATTATAGTATATAAAGCGAAAACAAAGAATCCTCAAACTGGAAAACCAATCAAAAGCATCAGAATAGCAGCTCTTTCATAAATGGCCTTAACAAAAGACATTGTGACGTGCATTTCAAAAACAGGCAAAGCAACATTCATACATTCATTCATTTTCTTGTCAGCTTAGTCCCTTTATTAATCCGAGGTCACCACAGCGGAATGAACCGCCAACTTATCCAGCAAGTTTTTACAGAGCGGATGCCCTTCCAGCCACAACACATCTCTGGGAAACATCCACACACACACATTCACACACACTATGGACAATTTAGCCTACCCAATTAACCTGTACCACAAACCGGAGCACCCGGGGGAAACCCACACAAAGGCAGGGAGAACATGCAAACTCCACACAGAAACGCCAACTGAGCCTAGGCTCGAACCAGCGACCCAGTGACCTTCTTGCTGTGAGGCGACAGCACTACCTACTGCGCCACTGCCTTGCCCAGGCAAAGCAACAGATTAATATTATTCAACATATTTGGATGTTACCCCATTTGTAAACTTTAACATTTTCTTAAGAAACTGTAATTTAATTACACTTTTTTTTTCTCAGTAACTGTAACTAATTACTATTACTTTTTTTTTGTAATTACAACGCCGTTACATATATCTAGTTACTCCCCAACACTGCTGACACCTAAAAACGTTATTTTAATTTCCCTGGACTTTTAAATAATAATAATGGAACACATTACAAAAGAGTCACTAAAATTGCATGTTAAAATTATAGATAAAAGCTAATTGTATAATCACAATCATATTTTGACCACTGAAGTAAAGGTTTCCATTTCAGTGCTCACCTACTGGTAAAAATCTCCAGAGCAATGTTTCATGTGCACATATTTATCTTTCGGTGAGTATTGGTGTAATTAGTTAAGCATAGTGTTATTTTATTAAAAAACATAAACACCTCAAAGCTTGAATACAGTTTGTCACATTCAGAAAACAATTAAACTTTAAGTTTGTTGGTGTGCGATCCTCAGTTTAGAATTTATTTTTTTCTTTTTGTGACCATTTACAAAGTCTAAAATTACCAAACCTTCCAAGCCTGTATTCCAGCCTTCAAGGGTGATAGAAAGGCTGACAATTTATTATCTCGGCATGCAATAATGAAACACTCTAGTCACAAACAGAAACACCACACTAGTCACAAACAGAAACCTGGAGAGCTGAACGTGGCTGCCATGGGATTCTCTAGGGCAGCAGCGGTGGGTTCGATTAAAGCAACAGTAAGATATGACACATGTCCACTGAAGACACTACGAGAAATATGACCACACATGATATACTATAGATAAAACCTTAATTTTTTTATTGTAATTTGTTTATTTCAAATGGACAGTCAAAGGGTGAACTTTTACACATTTTTTGTTCTAGGTTTGGTCACAGCTTGCTTACCTCCACCACAGAAATGGCCAAAATAACCCATAAAATGAAATGAAGATTAGATCCCAGCCAGTTCTCTACTTTGTCCTTGCAACCCTTTTAAAAAATAGAAATAAAAGACTTTTAAAAATGAGTTAAAAATGTCAGTCAGGAAAATGATTACAGATTATGACTGAAACTGTACCTCATCATAAATCTTGCAGGATAATACTGGGGAAAAAAAATCTGGGGAACAATTGTCACATAATTCTTTGGTTTCATTTGCTTTATGATAGCAGGAACAGGGTATAGAGTCTCCCCAGTCTTCTTTTCCATTCCAACCACAGCATTCTTCCTGTAATGTCGGAGAATATATTTTAGTTCAAACACATCAATGTAGTTCAATGTTTTCAAGGCCTTATGATTTTATTTTTGATCGTGTAGTGTCACGTGTTTCCTCTCACCTGCCTCTGAATGTAATCCATGGTCTTTTTAAAACTGGAATCATTCCTACCAAATGACTGTATTAGATCCGTTTCTTTCCCCAGTGACTTTGACAGCTGATTAACAGCAGATGACAAAAAAAAAAACAAACAAACAATGAACAAGTTAAAGATATTGGCAACATTTTACAATATGTTTCCTTTACTTAATTTTATAACACGAACAAACAATGAGCAATACATTTGTGTTCATATATTAAGTATTAATTAATATTTTATTTTACATTATAGTTCTTTTTAACAGTGCGTTAACTGTGTTATTATATGGCTCTTAGAAATACTCGATTCTGATTGGTCAGTTGAAAGAGTTCGCTATTTCCAGATAACACCTCTAAAAAAACTCAGCCTAATCTGAAAGTTGCATAGACTTTTATTTCAGTATGTTAATGTACTTCTAACTCAAATTGGGCTGGGGCTTTTGTTTTACTCATTTCCATTGTAGCAAAATAACGTTATGTCAACTCCAAATGCAGAAGCAAATGGTAAGACATTGACAGCAAAGAAATTCGGTGTATTACCATTTTTGTCTATTGCTTGAACACTTTATACACATGCTTAGACCAAAGTAACAAAGCTTGAAACTTCTGTTCATTCATTTATTCATTTTCTTCCACCAAGTCCCTTTAATTATGATGGGTCGCCAAGGCGTAATTAACCACCAGTTTATACAGCATCCAATTTTACACAGCAGATGCCCTTCCAGCTGCAACCCAGTACTGGGAAACATCCATATACACACATTTTTCACACACATACTCTACTGCCAATTTATTTCATTCAATTCACCTGTACCGCATGTCTTTGGACTGCGAGGGGAAACCTGAACAACCGGAGGAAACCCACATGAACACGGGCAGACCATGCAAACTACACGGAGAAATGTCAACTGACACAGCCGGCACTCAAATCAGTGACTTTTTTGCTATAAGGTGACGGTGCTAACCACTGAGCCACTATGTCATCCTAAAGCCTTTGCTACTATACCTTAAATATGGTGTAAACCATACCTTAAACAAAAGCACTGCTTTGCACTTCAGTTGCAATTCTGCAACACACTCGTTCCTGCACACTAATTCAGTCATAAGGCACTTCATTCAAAGTCATTAGTACCAAGAAAACACATCTATTAAAATACAAACCACAATGGGGGATTGAAAACACTTATACACACACACACCTGAATAGAGCCTTTTCACATTTCCGGGTTTCTCAGTAGCGAAAGGCATCATAGTTAGGTAAACTTAGAGAGCAGTAAATCAGAGAGTACAACAAGTATTTTTTTTACAATCCTATTTGCTGAAATAATAAAAGAAAAACTGCACGATGGTGTTATCAAGACTTTCAATAAAAGGAAAAAATTGTGTGAGACGACAGCCACAGGGGGGATGTCAAAGTTACTCTCAGCACCATTGATGCTGCATTAGAAACGCATCGCACATGCTGTAATTAGTGTTTTGTAATTTGACGCAAAGATGATATAATAAATTCATAAATGCATGTAAATGTTCATGCGTTATTTTAAAAATGTAAATATTAAACACTTTCAAGGATTTAAGCTTATGATGACTGTTAAACATATCATAACCTGTGAAAAGGGTCCATATATTTACAAAACTGTTCACTAATCAACACAACACAACTAGGCCTCCTTTGAGATATTTCTAAACCCTATTGAATTTTTTTTCTGACGGCAGGATCCGTAATCCCACCATGCACATTTGTCTTATTGTTCTGTATCTACAGTAGTGTATTTTTGGTGTCATTTTTAACCTTTCAGTACTTTCATTTTTGGTGTCTGTGAAAACCTTTTGTGTGAAAAAAAAATTGTTGCATTGAGCTTCACAGAATGCTAACTGATGAACAGAGAAAATGAAAGACTGCAGTGCTTTCTATGAAGTACACAAGAGTATTTCTGCAAATATGACTGTATTCATAATATGTGAGTGTGTATAATTTTGTCATCACTGTGACATTAGAGGATTAGAGGATTGTTAGGTGTTATTGGCAGAGTTTCCGTTTGACATAGATGTCAATTTTTTTTCTGTGTTGTAGGACCGGGCTGATAAACGATATTATATCAAATCGCAATAGAATTTATGTCAATAACAATGATAAGCTCTGGACTTTTTTTTACTCTATATTTATCTAAAAGCCTATCACACAGCAGAAATGTGCAACAATGGGAGTCTAAAAGTGTGTTGATATTAGAGATGTACTGAATTTTTGGCCACCAAAAATTTTTCAGCCGAAAAAATAAGTTATGCCATTTAATACACCCCCTTATTTTTGTGTGTTCAGTCATAGTTGGGGTACTCTTTTAAATCTGGAAGTAATTACAACTTTTATTGAAATATATATCGATATTGTTCAATCTGGAGAATAATGATCATATTTGCCATATCGCCTAGCTCTACAGTGTTGTGTCTTGTGTGTCTGTGTTTAAGGTTGTGCAAACAACCTTTGTTTAGCAAAAAAAGTTCAAGCAATAGGCAAAAACTGTAACTTGCATGGATTTATTTTTCACCTCAATAATACCAACATGTTCTAGCAAAATAAACGTACATTTTAATTCCACACAGACTTTAACTACAATTAATAAAAGTGGTAGAAGCATTATTTAGTCTTAGTTTATGTTAGTAAAACTAACAGGACCTTGTTTAGTGTGGCCGAGTCATGAGTTTACTGTTTATTTCATAGACATTGTATTGAAATGGAATGAAAAGAATCCATCAAACAGCCTTTATTAATGAAGTCGTCATGCACGATGGATCTGTGTGTAAAAAAAGCTCAACAGCAGGCAGGGTGGGACTGCAGATCTGCATGCTTGACTTACCTCAGTCTTCATGGTGTAGAAAAGAACACCACCCACTATCTGAGCCGCGAGCAGAACCGTCAACAGGATGAAATACTGGAGATAAATGAAGATCATTTTAACACATGGTTACAGCTCAGCGGAGCAGACAAACTTACTGGTATATCACAAAACACCTGCACCAAGAACAAGCACGATTCCTGAGAAAATAATAGATTCTATAGTAGAATCTTTTTGGAAGATGTCCTATGAGGCCAGACAGAATCTACGGATATTTTTTGCAATTTCTGCAGAAAATTTTGTTAGAAAAGGTTTTTGGATTTATGTAGATTGATTTTGGGAGTATCATAACTAAAAATGTCATATATGTAATTAAAAATAATAACTTTGTAACTTTTATTTTAAGTTTACAATGCAAATCCCATTAGATCCACTTATTTAGTAAACAAAGCAAGTCTCTCATATAATATATCTACTAAAAGACAGAAAGTATTACTTTACAAACTGTATTGTGAATAAATCATATTTATGAACATTTTCGAAATTATTGAAATTAATTTAAAAACTGAATAAATATACATTGTTTATATAGTTAGATTCCATGTGGGTCAAATAATAACTAATATATATATATATATATATATATATATATATATATATATATATATATATATATATATATATATATATATATAGTTTATTTATAGTTTATATATATATATATATATATATATATATATATATATATATATATATATATATAAACAATAAATGTATAAACAATAAATATATAAATAAACTCAAGAGTGGTGGCCTTTTATAAATCCAGTATCATCTGGGTCAGACTTAGTCTTCTGCATTCCTCTGGATACTTTTCTTTATTTGTGTGTTACAATAATATTTATATTCATATAATTAGGGACTTTGGATGCATGAAAAGAGGTATTGATAGCCGTCAAGAGGTATAGGCTTATTTTATCATTCATAATCTTTAAAAGGTGTAATATTGTTAACAGAGTCACAAGCAGGCCTTGTCCACACCAATACATTTTTGTTTGAACGTGCTTCTTTAACAATTACTTTTGGACTTTCAGGCAACAATTTCATTAATCAAAACTTATGCTCAACAAACTCATGTGAGGAACTATAGAAAATGTATGATTTTTCAAACTTAATGAGCAAGTTAAGTTTATTGGAAATATAGTGCAGACATAATTGTTGAACAAAAATAAAATGTTCAATAATAGTGTAGTGTGGTAGTCTTGGAAGACATATTTCTGTTTACACCTGGATTTTTCATCCATTTTTATCCTATATCAGATATGTTTTCAGTTATTTCTGAAAACAGTCAATAGTCTAATTGTGATCAGGTTAACCAAACCCCATTTAGTTTTCAGGGGCTCATATGTTACTTTATGAAATTTTATTAGCCATTAAAAAACATTAGTAAAAGTTGTGAGCATAGGAAAAAAAACATTAAGGTCACGGCAAAAATATCAATGACATGTGAGTACCATCATGTTTTCTTTCTCTGAAAACTTACAATTGCCAGCAGGAATTTGACAGTCTTCAGAGAACCCAGACATCCAAAAAAGCCCAATGACATGGTCACAGAGCCACTGATGATCAGCAGGTAGGAAAGAAGAGAAATGGAGATATATGGACGAAATGGATCTATGAAAGCTTTAATAGTACAAAATATATCATTGTTAATAGAAAAAACAACAGAGTGTAATCTGTGAGCATCTATATACAGAAATAATTATAAAAACATACTTTTTATTTCGCTGGTATCTGATAAAAGCATCCATAGTCCAGAAGACAAGAGGAGGGATCCTAAGAGCTATTAAACATAAAAACAGATTGTTGGGGTACATTTTAAAAGAAAGTACAGTTTACATTCAAGGTTTTCTATTCTTGCTGTTTCTTTGTGATTATTTGTACAATTTAAAAGCAGTTGGGTGAAAGTTTTTACGCTTTTTTTAGTGCATGTAAATTGTTTAAAATATATAGTTTTTGGCCTTTTTGACATTCAAAGGCTAGGAGCCATTTGTTTTATCTTGTATTGACCTTATTCTTTGCCTACAAGTGGGTGCAGCCATTTGAACTGTCTTTGGCTCAAGACTTCCGGTCTCATTCGCTTCTTTTCATTTTTAGATGTTAGAGACACCTCGTTACACTGCTTGATGTTGCAAACTGATCTTTTCTTCTTTATATTATTATTCTTTTTAGTCATGGACACACTTGTTTGTGGAGCAAGTAGTTTGACCGTTTTCTGTCGTTTTTTATTCCTAGTCATTTTCCCATTGGCAATTAAATTGAAAGTTCTAAGATCTAAGATCTCCTCATTTTAGAATAAGGTCAACACTACTGTTTTGTTCTGTAAATTACGATCATTCCCAATTTTAAATAAAAATCTTTCCATATTAGTGCTGCATGATATTCTAAAAAATAACATTTCCTTCTTTTGTACATTTGTATTGCAAAATGACTACAATTTCACTTAAATATTTCTGTTTAGAATCATGTATAAAATAAACTAAACAAACTACAAGCACAGATAAATACAACAGAATAAACATAAAAAGTGAAATAAACAGTGCTGTATGGTTTCCTAGTGAGTTCAACAGTATCCAGGTACAGACATTCAACAATCAAGTGTAAAATAACACTGCATAGATTTCACTGTGAAAAAACAACAAAATAAATCTTACAAATGGTACATTTCCTGTGCCTGAATACTTTAAACTCTCTTGATATGTTTCCACAGCCACAGGTCTTAAAAACACATGCAAACGAAGAGTCCAGATGCAAACACCTCTAAAGGCCATCTACATTTTTCTTCTAAAATCAGCATTTTTATCCAGCACCAGTGTGTAGGTTCAGTAAACAAAGGAGGCTGAGAAAAAAATATTCATTTTTTGATGGAAATTGTAAACAGCTCTTAGAGGTTTTTGCATCTGAACTCCATAATGGTCAACCTCATGTTTTCTAAACTGCGGTTGCTGGTGAATTATTCCCATCATATAAACTCAACATTGCACATCAAGCTGAAAATGCCAACATCTGTATTTGAAATTTAGGGAAATGTTTTAATTGTTTTACCAATTAATAAAACAATATTAACATTGGTAACACTTCATGTTGATGGTCCATTTGAGTATTAGTAGACTGTCTGCTTAATATTTGGTGATACTGCTCCTTCAACAGACATTTAACTGGCTATAAGAAACTTAGCACATACATGTCAGCTTACACTAACCCCTAACCTAACAGTCTTCTTACAATCTAATGAGAATGAGTTGGCATGCAGATTCAATGTAACTTATATTAAACAAACGGACCATCAAAATAAAGTGTGACCCTAACATTTTACTGAAAACTGAATAAACTCATCTCATTGCTGTTAATTAAATGACAAAGGCTATGCACTTTTTTCCACTTTGAATCAATTAACCGTGACTCATTTGCAACTTACAAAGAAAACCAAGTTGAAGAGAAAGAGGAAGTATTTGGTGACACTGACACAGCATTCAGATGCCATATCTGCAAACAGACACACACACAAATACAAAAAAATAAACTGTAATCATCATCTAAGAAATTAACGTCTACAAAATTAAATGATATTAGCAAAATCAAGTCCAACAGTGATTCTCAAGAGGAGCAACAATCAATCTTACTACCCCCCCAAAAGAAAAAAATCTTTATAAAAACAAGTCTAATGTGTGTTTATTTAGATTTTTCATTTATTATATGTCATTTTCTGCCCAGTAAGACAGACTACCACAAAATACCCCCCCCTCCTCTTTTCAAGCAGAACAAATGGACAGGGTGCAGGAAGTGTCTTGTATTCTCATGTTTCCTTGCCTATGGTTACGGGAGCAAAGCTATCATTTTACACAGGCATGCCATGAACTATTCAAGCACTAGCACATGGGACAAAAGTGCTTTGTTTGTTGTTGTGAAAATTTGACAATATCTCCTTTTATAAAAACTACATCCCGTTTTACATAAAAAAAAGAAAAAAAATTTAACATGCAATTAAATCTCCGTTCAGGAAATATGGTCTCAGATAATTAAGGCTTTTACCTCTTCACAATAATATATACTGTCATTTCTCAAAACATTGTTATACAAGGCATTTACAGATGTCTTATTTAACGCTTTCTAATAATAATTGCTTTGCTGAAGAAAAAAAAGATGAAAAACTTACCTTAAACTGGGCAAAGTTGGCAAGATTACACAGCAGGCAAATGAAATGTGGCAGCCGCACATGAGATCATGTAAAACAGTTTTTTTTGCATGAAAAAAAAACGTAATTCTGATTGGCTTTATTGCTTGACTTCCTGCCTGTGTGCGAAGCATCATTGACTTTACTTCAGTAGAAAGCGGGCGTACATAGCACCCACCATAAATAAAATATCAGCCCTGGTTACACCTTTCACACCCGCATACTCTCCAACTCCCAATATGCAAATTATAATTTGACATTTTGTGATGTTTTCATATTTTTCAATGGTTTCAGAACATTTAATAGATTTGACTTTTAAAAACAATGCTAAAAAGTTTCATGTTTTCACAATTTGTGAGATTTTGAAAGCAAGATATTAGGATATCAATTTCTGAGAGGTTAAAAAAAGAACTGACCTGCTCTTAACAGAAGATGAGGGCATGGAAATAAAACAGCGGGCACAGATTAGGGTTCATTCATCTGAGGTCACTATTATGCCTCCCACAGGAGCCTGAAATTTCAGCTCTCATTCCATGTTTCAACACGTTTCCTGGTTGGGCCGTTCCTCCACCCCAAATGCAGCTTTAGCACAATTAGTGGTGGATAATTAGGTGGAATGTTTTAGGGCTCCCCTGTTAATGGATAGAGAGGGGCAGAAGGTGCTGCAATTATATCTAGGGCAAAGTGCTGTTATTAAATGGAGGAAAGCATCATGGATTGAAATGGATTCCAATGTTGTCTCAACACACATGAAAAAATGACTATAGTAATTTGTAGTAAATACTACAGTGTTTTTGAACCTGTACCAGGAAGTAATACAACAACTATAGTAAAAAATCAAATTAAAAAAAACTATACCGTACTAAAATTTCTACAAGTATACTGAACTATATTATACACTAGTTTATAATTTCGGTATGGTTAGTATGCTGTAACACAGCATTTATTAACAAAGAGTTGTAAAAAATGTAATACACCATAGTAAAATAGACTATACAATTGTATGGTTCACAAACACTGAAATATGCTACAACTCCAAATCAGAAAAAAAAATTGGGACAGTATAGAAAACACAAATAAAAAAGAAATAAGTTATTTCCAAATTTACTTTGACTTGTATTTCATTGCAGACACTACAACAGACATTATTTATTCTGTTCCTTATGATTTTTTATTTTTTGCAAAACATCCCAAAAAAGTTAGAACAGTAAAGCAGGTACCACTTTGTAAAGTTGCCATTCCTTTTCACAACACTTAAAAGACGTTTAGGGACTGAAGACACCAAGTGATGAAGTGTTTCAGGTGTAATTTTGACCCATTCATCCTGCAAACAAGTCTTAAGGTGGGCAATACTACGGGATCATCGTCACATTTTGCGCTCTAAAATGCACCACACATTCTCTATTGGAGACAGGTCAACACTGCAACTAGGCCAGTCAAGTACCAGTATCCTCCACAACCAGGACATTGTAATATGTGCAGAATGTGGTTTTGCATCGTCTTGTGAAATATGCATGGGCGTCCCTGCAAAAGAAGGCTGCATATTGTGCTCCAAAATCTCCATAAGTGCAAGTTCATTTTACCAAGGGCACTGACAAAACCCATGACAGACCCTGGCTTTGGGACTTGTTGCTGGTGACAGTCTGTATGATCCTTTTCATCATTGATCTGGAGCACACATCATCCATTTCTACCTAAAATACCTGAAATACTGATTCATCTGCCCTCCGTACAAGGTTCTACTGTGTAGTTCTGGACACTGTTAACATAGGGCTTCTTTTAGGCACAGTACAGTTTTAACTGGCATTTGTAGATGTAACTATGTATTGTGGTACTTGACAATGGTTTGTCAAAGTAGTCCTAAGCCCATGTGGTGATATCGCTTTTAGATGAATGACGATTCTTGATACAATGCTGGCTAAGGAATCGGAGAGATTAAGGTTGTTCAGCTTAGGCTTGTGCCCTTATTCTTTATACATTGAAACCTATTCAGATTTCCTGAATCTTTTAATGATGTTCTGCACTGTTGGAGGTGAAATATCCAAATGTCTTCCTATCTTTTTTTAGGGAAGATTTTTAAACTTTTTAACATTTTTCTCAATAATCAATAATCTCAATAATCTTTGCTTCTAAAGGACTAGACCTTTCTTGGATGCTGCTTTTGTACCAAATCATAATTACAATCACCTGTTGGCATCCCCTGTTTCGTATCACATCATTAACCAATTAACCTGATTACTAGCCCTAAACTGCTCATGTCCCAACCTTTTAGGAATGTGTTACTTGTCTGAATGACAGGAAAGGATGTATATATACAAATGAAATGAAGTTGACCAGAGAAAATATGAAATATTTTGTGATCATATTGTCTGCAATGAAATACAAGTCAATGTAAATTTTGAATCACTTCTATCTTTTTTTCTACTATCTTTTTTATTTGCAATTTCCATACTGTCACAACTTTATCAGATTTTTCTATTGTGATTTGATTTACAGACAGACAGACAGACAGACAGACAGACAGACACAGATAGATAGATAGATAGATAGATAGAAAGATAGATAGATAGATAGATAGATAGATAGATAGATAGATAGATAGATAGATAGATAGATAGATAGATAGATAGATAGATAGATAGATAGATAGATAGATAGATAGATAGATAGATAGATTGTAACTGTAACCTTGCTGACTGCCTGATTATTTCTGTCTGATCTCTCTCTTTCTCTCCCTCTCTGGTCTCATCAGCACCAGTAATTATGAGAAATGAACAAATGGACATAATACTAATAGAGTTTCATTATGTTAATATGCCGTGTGTCGCTGGGTGTATAAAAGCGAGTTTGTCCCTCATTCAGACACACACCTGCAGCAAACCTGTTATTTGAAGGTTACAGGCGGACTCTTTTTTCAGGAATCCAGGGTTCATATTCATATTTATAAACATCGACTCTTCTCATAGGGTAAGTTTTATTAATCTCATATTGAAGCACTTAGTTTTATTCAAGATTGTTTCTTTTTTTAAATATATTTTTTCAGAAGGTAAAACATCAAAGACGCAACTGATTGGAATGGCTAATAATGTCTATAATCTTTAGTTATAATATTTTACAGAGTTATGATTAAAAGTTTTTTGTTATTTAAGAGAAGAAAAAGTCAAGAAGTGCAATGTAATACTTACATTTTACACAAATGTTGTATGGAAAACATAAAACCACAATTACAGGCATGATGCTTCATGATTTATATATATATATATATATATATATATATATATATATATATATATATATATATATATATATATATATATATATATATATATATATACTCTTTAACTAAAAACTAGAAACTTTTTTTGTTTTATATTTTAAAGTTAAATACTTTTCTAAATGTGGTCTACTACATGTACAATATATATACTTTGCAATATTTTGCTTGAATTTAATTGTACTATCTTTCCATCTCTAAAGATGTTTGATGACTATTATTTTCCTAACTATTTAATATTATTCTAATTATTATATCTGTTAAATAAAACTCTTTTGTTTAAATGCACCAAAATACATTGCTTACATTCACTGAGAAATAGATAAAATTATTCATTTTCAAAATTGGGTGTACTTTGTATTTTGTATGCTAAGCACTATACATATATACAGCACATGAATGAATAAAGACTGCAAAATAACTTGATTTAGGATGCAAAGATATGCTGTTACATATTTTCTTTTTTCCCCAGATGCAGTCGAGTTGTGCTTTACTCTGTATCTCACTTTGTGTATTTACTGCACATCTCTCAAGCATCCACGGCATGACCCTCATGGTACATCTTCATTGGATATTCTGTAACTTAGCATTGTTATTTTTTTGTCTTCTATTTTAATCCCAGTACTGGGTTGCGGCTGGAAGGGCATCCGCTGCATAAAACATATAGTTGTTGGTTTATTCCGCTGTGGAAACCTCTGAAATAGAAACTAAACTGAAGGAAATTAAATTAAAGAATGAATATCTTCAGTTTTATAGATGTCTCATTTATAATTCCACAGAATCCAGAAAAAAAGGGCTGGACTCTAAACAGTGCTGGGTATCTACTAGGACCTTGTAAGTACACTGCATTCAATTATTAATCAAAGACAATAATACAGCGCAAAAGTGTTTTTTATTACATCTAATATCAGCTTACTTGTTTATTTTGCTGATTTTTATATGGCAGATGCTCATAGAAGTCTTAATGTGAGACACAGAGCTTCAGGAAAAAGAGACACGGGGAATGAGAATTCAAGCTTTCCCACGTCTTCATACAGTTAGTTCTTAAAACATTTTTAATGACGTGATTACTTATAAAGATATTATTATTATTATTATTATTATTATTATTATTATTATTATTATTATTATTATTATTATTATTATTATTATTATTATCCTTAAAGTGCCTTTTCTGAAGTCAAGAATTTTAAATCCATGCTTAATAAATATTACTTTTACTTGATAAAGCTTTTTTGGAAATAAGTCTGTTTTCTTATTTGATAGATGATTCCTATCTTCTATCAATTCTGGGTCATCTTGCATATTTGCGATTAAAAGGTAAATTATACATAAGTTTTACTGATTTGCTTCTGTTTTTCAACTGATTCTGTCAAGTGAAAATGTTATTTTTCTCTTTCAGAAAAGGGAATGACTGAAGATTTCAGTGGATCTTTTATTAATAGTGGCAATGTGAAGCAATAACAAAATTATTTTACCCCCTACCAAAAACCATTTGCATTTTATCCTATTTTTTACATATAAGTAGTTTAAAAAAACGCACAAGGTTAATGTCCTCCATCTCTCCCCTTTACTGAATCATGGTTGATGGATCATTTCTGCTTCAGAGTTCAAATAAAGCACTTCATCTGAAATGTTTTTAAAAGCCTTTTCTGTTTATTCCATATAAAAACTAAATAGTTGGAATGGATTGATGAGTCAGAGGTGAAAACCACTAATGAAACTGCTGGTTTTAGTGTTCATGATTACATTGAACAAAAATAATAACCTCTTGATTCCAATATAGGAATTTAGTCTCTGAATAATGGCTAATGCAGTGAAAGAACAATTGGTTAAAAATAATAATAAAGAAATTAACCTTTCAAATGCTATGCATTTATTGCTATGCAGTCAATCTGCTTTAGTGTGATTGGACTGATATAATTAAGAAATCTGTTCTTAAGTTAATCATGACTCAGAGTTCTTGGACTCAAACAACTGTTGTGGATGTCGCCCCCTTCTTGTCAAATGTAGTATAAATGTATATTTTTGTAATGAATAGCAAGAGTTAAACATATGGCTCCCTCTAGTGGATGTTGGAGGATACGACATGCTGAGCAAAACAACTGTCACTACTTCACTAAAGACTTTGACCGAAGCAAACATGTTTATTTATATAATTAATCCTTTCTAAAACTTTCCCAAAGACGTATCAATGTCATAACCAACAACTGTGCTCCACCGTGTCTAACAAAACAAAGGGATAATTCACCCAAATATGAAAATTGTGCCATTAATCATTCCTTTGCTCCAAACCAGTTTGCGTTTTTTCCTTCTGCTAAACATAAAAGTATGGAGGACAAAACCTGCAAAAACAATAAATAAACAAGCAAATATATAAATAAATAAATCCATAAATTACTGAGTGAAATAACACCATAAATAAATATGCAAATAAATAAATAACTATTTATATATAAAATCTACAAATTCCCGCATGAATAAATATATAAAAAATTAATAGTGCGATCAATCACCAGAAGCCAGTCAATCAAATGCAAATTTTTTCTAATGATCAGCCAATGATGGCATGAAGACCGCCTTCTGATGAATGACAGAGAGCTTCTCATTAGTATGTTGACCCGAGGAAAAAAAAATACGAAACTACGTTCAGGAACGAATAAATGTTTAAAAGGAGGGCAGGGGTAAAATTTACTTTCAGTTTAGCATTTCCCCCAACATTTGTTTAATTTATTTAATTATTTACCTACCAGCACTGTTATTTATATATTTATGTATGCAAGAATTTGTGGATTTTTATATACGTTTATTTAATTAATTTATTTGCATATTTGTTTATTTATTGCTTTATTTATACAGGAATGTATGCATTTATTTACTCATTTATTTTTATATTTGCGTATTTATTTACTTATTGTTTTTGCAGGTTTAATGAAAGCTGGAAAGTTGTAACCATAAACGCACGTAGTATTTGTTTTGGTTATGTTAAACAGACATTTAAATATCTTCTTTAGTGTTCAATAAAATAAAATAAATTTCGTAAATGTTCGGAACCACTTGAGAGAAAGTAAATAGTGAGCAGATTTTCATTTTTGGGTGAACTAACACTTTAAATTAATACAGAATAATTAGGCAAAATGAGTGTAGAAGTAGCCCAGTTATAACACAATCATTTAAACCAATTATTCTAAGGAGCAATTAAAAAATCAGTACTAGACTATTTCAGTGCATATATGTTTGTGTACCACTATATCTTGATGTATTTATTGAATGTATTATTTATATTGATGTTTTATGTTTTGACAATGTGCAATGTGCAAGACCAAATGCAATTTGCAAGACCAATATAAGCTACCATTTCAAACACTAAAAAAAGCACCCCCTTTCCCCCAAAGGGTGGAATTAAATAAAAAATTATAATAATCCAACTATAAATCAGTACATATTTTACACCATAATATACCATATTGTAGGTTACTATTTTCTTTGAAATTTCCACACTAAAATACTGTTTAATACTTGATATTTACACATTTTATTTTTGAGCTTTTTGAGTTTTTAAGAAAATGTGGTAGAATGGTAGTAAAGTAATATAATGTGTGTATTTCTTACAATGCAATGGGTCAAATAAAGAAATCAAGCCTAACAATTTAATTTTTTTTATAATGTCACACCATTGCCATAAATGATACAAATAATAAAGTATAACTGAATTAGCTTCAACCTTCTCTGAAGTTGTACATTAGCTATCGTGATACTGAGAGACATGAGAAGAAAGCTGGGGGCAGAAAGAGGCAGATGGGGTCCCTGGAAGGACGGCTGCCCACTTCCACATGGTGAAGTGACAACATCTGAGCTCATATATTTTTTCCAACAACTATTTAAGACATGTTATATGAGCTAAATATATTTTATCATCAATCCAATGCTAAAGCGGTTATCCTTTTCTGCCCAAACGTGTACTTCACTTTATCATGTGTTGGTTAGCGTAGCTACACGACTTTTCAAAATTGACTCCATTTATAGCTTGCACAGAAAAAGTATTAACACATCAGCCCAGGCTTACACATACTGTACAGTACATGCATACATTTTTGTGAAATAGAAAAATGTGTTACTCCAGCTATTATTTGTTGAACATTTCAGATGCCACATCTACTTGAGGGTGCTGTTTACATTATTTAAAATCTGAAATAATGTACGTTTTGCTGTATGTTTCAGACACACATTCTTTTTGTACAAATCCATGAGAAGGCAGGGCTTATTATACAGATCACCTAGATCAGCAACAGCAAACCACCTAAATCCTTCATTAAAAGCAAACGTGAAGAAAAAAAAACACTGCAACCATGTGGTTTTACCTTCATTTTACAACCATGCTTCACTGTACTCAAACCCGAGTACTCCGCATTACAGTTACAACACAGTAAAAAGTGAGCTACCAAGCTTAAACCGAAAACACTGACCAGATTTAACCACACCAGAAAAGTTCACAAAAGCAGATGGGCTAGGCAAAATTAATGTACTTGATTACAAATAATAGACACTGAGAAGTTGTTTTATTGTATTTACTTTGTATTGTGCAAAGAACTGCATGATAATAACTCTATAATGTGTCCCTGTAAATATCATTAGTTTAAAAAGGAACAAGTTGGTGTCATACTGCCCTATAACATTTATTTTATCTTGAAGTTGCAGTCAAATGTATGTTTAAGTAAGTTTTTGTGGTTTCAATAAATGTAGGTTGAAGCATGTATTTTCAGGAAGCTTAATTACAATTGGGTAGTTCAAAATCAATTCACAGCGTATGCACAAAGGTATGCCCAAATTACACCTAAAAAGAAAAGACGTAAAAAGAAAAATTCTTTCAAAGTTATTATAAAGGTTTTTTTTTATTTAATTTTTTTAATGTCAATTTCACGCAGTATTTTTAAAGTAAGTTTCATAAATGGAATTAAAGGATTAGTTCATGCAAAACTTCTTGTGTTAAACACAAAACAAGAAATTCTGAAGAATGTTGGAAAAAAAGAAGTCGTTAACATCCATAAGAAAATGCTATGGAAGTCAATGGTTGTTTTTCTCCCAGCAGTCTTCAGTATATCATCCGTTGTGTTCAACAGAAGTAAGAAACTCAAACAGTTTTTTTTTGACAGAATTTTCATCTTTGAATGAAATCTCTTTTAAACTTATGAACAAATAAAACTGTTATGTTATTTGATGTTTACTTCCTAATACTCTTTTTATGTAAATCTTATTTTGTCTTTATTTGTTTTACTCAAACAATATTGCAAAGACTTAGGCCATACTTTTAAACTGTATGCTTAGCTTAAAAATGTTTAAATACACTCTAAGTACACTGTCCTCTTCTTGTTACAGTGTATGCATACCAACACAACATAAGTAATGAGGTAATAAATAAACCTCAATTAAATTTATAGACGACAACATGCTTTGTATTTTTGAGTATATATCTCAAAATCTTGTTTTGAGTCAAACATGACCTATGGAAATGTCATAAAACAGCAAGTCACTACACCTAACAATGGCACCGATAAGACAGTTCAAATACAACTGGAAAAACAACTAAAAATGTCACATTGCTTAATGTTGGATAGGTTTTATTTAATTTTCCTCAAAGAATCTTATTAAATTTCACAGAAATTTCAAATTCATATTTAATTCAAATTTCAAATCATTAAAAATCCCAGAAAAAAACTCACACAGCTGATTTCAACAAATTTGAATTGAGTACTAATATAGAATTACCATGTTGATTATATTCATTCATTCATTCATTCATTTTCCTTCGGCTTAGTCCCTTATTTATCAGGGGTCGCAACCGTCAACTATTCCAACATATGTTTTACGCAGCGGATGCCTTTCCAGCCGTAACCCCGTACTGGGAAACAACTATACACTCTTGCATTTACATACACACATACACTACAGCCAATATAATAAATCAAATTCACCAATAGTGAATGTCTTTGAATTGTGGAGTACCCGGAGAACATGCAAACTCAAAACAGAAATGCCAGCTGGCCCAGTGGAGACTGGAACATCCTTCTTGCTTTAAGGTGACAGTGCTAACCACTGAGTCGGCCCTATATTGATTGTATTATATGTTTCCTTATATATTTTTATTGTTGCTTGAGCTAAATATTTTAGTGTAAATAATGTATTTCCTTTTCGGTAGTACTTAACCTAAAGCACATGCACAGTGACTTGCTTTTGCACTAATTAAAGTTTGTTTACTGAAAACTGAAATTGACCGCTCATGTTGATGAAATCTGCATTATATGCTCTTTAAATGTAACCTGTGCATTAATTAAATATGAAGCATACTTTGAGCTTTATCATGAATGGAATTTTTCTAAAATATCATTCAGTTTAACTCCATGGTATTGTTCTCATCACAGAAATTATTACTTTTGTGAATTGGCAAGATAATAAGATTTCAATCAGTCATCTTCCTGGAAAAATGGGCTGACATTTTTCATCTTCATGGCAGAAAGGCCAACCAACTGTGGATTGCATGTGTAATGATTCTGTAGTGGAAAAGGTTGACTGACAATCACCACATTTACTGAAATTCTTGCACTCAGCTTGCTCATGGCTCCAATATGGCTTCTGTTCAATAAATGTCACCTGGATTTGTAAAGGTTACATTAGACTTGTGCAACTGCAGTTGTTGCATTAAGCTACAGTATTTTGTTTGTTTGTTTTTTTCTCATTGGAAAGCTATATAATTAACAGACCACTTGTCAATGAAATGCCACAAAAAAAAAAAAAAAAAAAAAAACAGGGAAAAAGTGAGAAAGCAAAAGAAAATAAGTGAGTAATAAATCACTCAGGGTCAATTCCAGACATCACATGCGTCATGGCAATGGCACAATTTAAAAGCGCAGGTATTAATTAGGTTGTGCTTATATGACGGACAGCCTGTCATCTACAGTGCTGAGCCAGAGTCAGAATACTGATAAGAGGGTCCAGGGTAAATGAGAATATTTAACTGCTCAGCAGGAGTAGAGTCATTTTAATGCCACTGCTACCAAGCATATGTAAAAAAATCAGAAAGCTTTCTTGACGTGTCCCATTATGCTTTGAAAGGTCTAGAGATCTGTATAACTCAATTGGACTTGTCACTAAGCAATTAGATGTGGACTGAAATTAGCATCACTGGAAATCAAAAAAGTCGATGACTGTGGCAGACACACACAAACCCAATCTATCCTCAAAGAGAAGGATGCGACCTCAAAGCATTCACCAAGACGGACCCTACTCAGGTTAATTATATTTGCCCAAGATCAATTGACCCTTTCTTTACAGTAAAATAGCAATTAGTCTTACTGATTAAACATCTTTAAACTCTGTCGTGCCTCATTATTCTGTGAAATTCAATTTCGTAAAGTTCTCAGTTAATCAATTTTGTATGTTGCTCTTGATCGATCCTTATGTGTAAATTGCATACACGAGCAGTGTGTGGAAATGCATCTAAACAGCGTCTGAATAGAAAAGAAATTACGCAGACAACATAATTGTCAATTGGAGTTTCTGTCTGTTTCTTTTCATTTACTAACTTTGCTTAATTGTTTCTGCCTATAAATGCTGTGCAGCCAGTCATGCAGTTTAATCTTGTAGCAGATGAATTAGTTGTTGTCCATCTTAAAAGGCAGGAAACAAAACATTTTAGACGTCCTCTATGAATGAAGATGATAAAATAATCTCTCATTTCAGAATGATATATACAGAGTTTTGTGGCGACTTTTTATAAGTGATCTTTTAAGGCAAATATTCAAATGAATTATTCATCAGGCTGAATTTTGATGTATGCAAGTTTAACCAAAACTAAAAAGAAAATTTGCAGTTAATTTACTCACTTTTAAGCCATTAAGAATATTTTAGGCAAAAACTGTGGTCCTTGGGGTTCATAAAATGCAAGTAAATGGCCAAGTCAAAATGTAAGTAAAATAAACACTAAAAAAACAACAACAAGACGCTAGAAATTACAAAATGCATGCAATTGGCATGTGCAGGAAACTGAACATGATTTAAAACATGGTTATCTGTAATCCACAGTTTTGGTGACCATTTTTGATAATAGCAATGTTCTTAATGTTTAATTCCTTGCACAGATTGATAGTTTTGTTACTTAAGACTTCATCAAACACCTTAGGCATTTGTTTTAAGAAAGATAGAATGTCAGGCTAATAAATACAATTGTAATACTCAGTCAATCAGTCATCAACCAGGAAGCATTTTTGTTTTTAAAAGATGTCTATTAGATGTCTAAACATAGCCATTTTGGCTAAAACAAGGCTAAATTTGGTCTGTCAGTCAAAATTTAATAGACATCTAAAAATAGACCAAAAGTCATCAAATAGACAGAAATGAATGACTGCACATAAAAAGCCAGTCTATTTAACGTCTATTCTTAGATGTCTACTAGATGTTCACTGACAGCCAAGTTTAGCCTTGTATTTGCCCATATATATATATATATATATATATATATATATATATATATATATATATATATATATATATATATATATATATATATATATATATATATATATATATATATAGTTTTAGCCAAGCTGTCTACGTTAAGATGTTTATTAGACGTTTATTAAACACATAATTGTTTGCTGGGTATGCTGGTGCCCATTATTAGTGTGTAGCCTTCTCCTTGTTAAATAAAATACACATCTTCTGGCAACGTATTTCTTCTATACGACTGAACTGTACAGACACCTTATCTCATGTGAGCGCGCATCACTTCAATTACAGTTCTTGCAGGCTGTCTAAAACTTATACTGCGTGAAAGGACTGCGTGCGCCTTTAAGAGGATAAAGCGCGCGACGCCCCTCTGAAATGTCTGAGCAAACTTGGAAAAGGACTTTTCTCATTACCCGAGGGATTGAGATGGCCATGCTGACGGACTGTATTTATAAAGCGGAACAGCACGAGCATGCTTATGATCAGCCGTGGACGGAAAGCGAACGGACCTGTTACGTTTCAGTGCAGTTCAGGCGCCCTTCTTTCTTTCCATCATCAAGTGGATTGCTTTTCTAGAGAGGATTGGAGTATTTCCAAATAAAAGAATTCAGAAAAAAATAGGTATCTATAAATATATACCACGCACATTCATTTTGCAGTTATAGCCTGTTTGTTTTGAATTGGCATTAGTGTGTAGGTTAGCGAATACAACACCTGCCCTGGACTTTCAAGAAGCTATTAAGTGATGATTTTATGAACTTTTTCACATCTTTCTCCCCAATGCCAGCCCTAATTGCTGACATGGAATCGTTTGGGTTTTCAGTCACCGAGTCCACCGACGTCACCACACCGGACGATCCTTTCAAGGGTCCCCTCAAATCAGTTGCGCCCTGGAATTACACTTTCCTCGCCTGTCTGATGTTCATAGTGACCTCACTCTCTATCACGGAGAACTTCACCGTTATGCTCGTGACGTATAGGTTCAAACAGTTAAGGAAGCCGCTGAATTACATCATTGTTAATTTATCCGTTGCTGACTTTCTAGTTTCGATGACAGGAGGCACGATAAGTTTTTTAACCAACGCACGAGGCTTCTTCTTCCTGGGCGTCTGGGCGTGTGTGCTGGAGGGGTTCGCTGTCACGTTTTTCGGTAAGTTTATAAATCAACGCCTGTAAAATGTAATACTTTAAACTGAATGGTAAATTTTACTGATACAATTTGTTGCTTTGAGTTATTTAAATCCACTACGCCATTCCCAGTAATGATAAACTAGCTATTCTATATTATTGTCATTGAATTGGTGTTTGTCACTTGTTGCTGGCTTCCAATAGGGTTTTAGTCATTAAAGGGATAGTTCACCCAAAAATAAAAATTTACTCACCATTTAAACTCCAAGTGGTTCCAAACCTTTATGAGTTTCTATATTTTGTTGAACACTAAAGAAGATATTTCGAAGAAAGCTGAGAAGGTAAAGGTGTGAAACAGGGTGAAGAGTGAGTAAATGATGAGAAACTTTTAATTTTGGGCAAACTACCCCTTTTAAACACTGTTATTTTCTATTTACTGCATACCAATAACTTTCACAGCAGTTTTATGTGCAATTTGTTGGAGTTGGATATAAAACACCTGTTTTTGACTTTCAAAAATATCCTGATTATTTCATTAACTTTCCTTGTCTTCTTTCTCCAATATTCAGAGTTATTTATAGAATTGTTTCTATTCACTACTTAAATGTCCCTGTAGTTTTACTAGTAACGTGCAATTTGTACTTGTACAAGTGCATTTTTAAGATACATTAAGTAAACGATTATATTTAAGTAACAATTAGAATATTGCAACTACGCTAACTGTGTTTACTACTATGTAAAGAATAAGCAACTAGTTACCACTGCCCTTATGAAAATTACCCATTGGTTTATTTACAGTGTTATTTTAGCAATGTATTTTGGTGCAATATTTAACTTTTTATAACAAACACCAAGATTAAACCTTGAGTGTAAGGCTAAAAAGTAAAGCAATTGTGGCTACTGTGGCTTTACAGTAAGTAGTGTGTACATTATGATTATTGCAGTAATGTCATAGTGAATTGTTATCCAGTCTATACTTCCAGTTTCCAAACCACGTGTCCTAGGATATTTGAGTTAATTGTAGTATCTCATGCTGTATAGGAAGGGAAACACCCTGGACTAATGGCCAATGGTAAATGTTAAGTGTAGTAAATTAAAGTGAGTATTGAGTAATCTTAGTCTAAACACAACATAAAACAGAATGTAAAAGCCTGATTTTATGTATATTATTGTCCTTGTTTTACATATCAGTCCGTTAAATAAGGACAATCAGACATGCTTTTGTTAAATGTTAAATTATAAAGACATTAATGAACATAATTGCAACATACAGAGTTGAAATTCTGACACTGTGACATTATAATTATGACATTATAATTATCAACTCATGCAATTTCACCTCATTTTTCATTCAATGTAACATTTTATGTCATAACTGTGATGATTATTATTACCAAATGATTATTATTATCTTATGTGGCAGAAATGGTCTTTAGTAGTTACCCTAAACACTACTCCGTCCTAAACTTTCATCATATTGTTCTTGTCACATCGCATTTTACAGTGCAACAGTACATTTAAGTAATGTTAAGTAATCTTAATTAACACTTTCCACTTACAATACAGTTACGAATTAGAAATAGTTATTGTATGTTGTAGTGATTATATGCATTATTTACTATTATTGCTATAGTAAATACAGTAGACTACAATATTATTAGCCATCCTGGGAATTTTTTTTATTTCACAAATATTTTAAACACAATAGTTTCAAGTTAAAATTATGACTTAGGACATTTTTAAGATCATTATGAATGTAATTTGAGACTTATAAAGGGCTAAACTATGGAATTTTTCAAATGGCCCAGATGAAAAAGATTTTTATTTGCCCTTTAAAAAACAATTCTAATTTAATACATTTAATAATAAATAATAATTTAATAATGAAAAATAATATTTTGTAATATTAATTAATTATTATTTATAAATATAAATATAAAAATTAACATTTCTTTAAAACATATTTTAAATATTGTGTAAAAACAAGCAAGCTCTACTTGTATCCTTACACTTTTTTCTAACATAAACTTTCTTTAAATTGAAAAAAAAAAAAAACAAATGTTATAAAAGTTTTAAATCCATAATAAAATAAATCTATGCACAACAATCTGTCTAGGCCAATAATTGAACAAAGGAAAATTAAGACCTGTTAAAAAAAGATTTAAGACCTACAACTCAATATTTCAGTAAATTTAAGACTTTTTAAGGTCTAAAATTTAGATTTTGAGATTTTAGACTTTTAACAACCCCGCAGAAACCCTGTAATAACTAAATTATGAAAACTAATTTGATTTGTCTTTGCCATGATGACCGTACCTAACATTTTAAGATACTAGTTTACACTTTAAATAAATAACTAGGTTAATTAGGTATAACTAGGCAAGTTAGGTTAATGAGGCAAATCATTGGATAAAAGTGGTTTTCTTCGTAGCCAGTCAAAAAAAAAAAAGATCCTTGAGAAGACTAATAACATTAACCTTAGCTGTTTCTAAAAAAAATATGTGCAAATTTTTTATTTCATCCAAACTAAAAGACATTCTGCAGAAGAAAAATAAAATAAGAAATACTGTGAAAAATTTCCTTGCTCTGTTAAATATCACTTCGGAAATATTTGAAAAATTAAAATACCAAATTAGGGCTAATCGTTTTGTTTTTAACTGTACTTATAATGTGTATTAAAGACAGTGTACAATGAAGTCACAAAGAATTATTATTTTTTTAATTAGTGTCAACAGACACATTTATGCATATCATCATTTTCATCTCTTGTTAAATGTCAGTGCAGATGCATGTGATATTAAAAATGAGTGTGCCTTCTTGCTTTCTAGGAATTGTGGCTTTGTGGTCTTTAGCAATCTTGGCATTCGAGCGCTTTTTTGTCATCTGCCGTCCTCTGAAAAATGTCAGGCTGGGAGGCAAGCATGCAGCCATGGGTCTTATTTTTGTGTGGACCTTCTCCTTCATCTGGACAATTCCGCCAGTCCTGGGCTGGAACAGTTATACTGTCAGTAAAATTGGCACCACCTGTGAACCCAACTGGTGAGCTCAAAATACTATTTCACAGAATCTCCCTCTGTTTATCTGGTATTTGTTCTTTAAAGTCCCTCTCACGGTCACAGTCTTTCAATCTCGGTGTGTGTCTCTCTGTCAAAGAAAACCATCTGTCTAGAAAAACATCCACAGTAATACTATAGGCTATTCATGAATACTAATGTGCCTTGAAGATGTTCATGAAAGTGGCATTACTTGAAATCTGTAAGGTGTTCAAGTCAGGGCCTCTTACTGTGTGTTAGATTATGACAGAAAACAAAAGAAACCACTTAAAATCCAAGGCTGATGCCATGCAGCCATCAGTTGAAAAATTGCTTTCAGGACACTAATACAAAACATTTGTGGCTGTGGCTTGGCCTTGGCCTTGAAACACAAACAATGTAAAAACAGTTGAATAGGAAATACACACGGACACTAAAAGGACTAGGGATAGTGAATATGTTTACTGCATTTCCATGTCCATCATTATATTAATGTATTTTCTGCAGGTCAGATCTCTGACAGCAAAACAGCACATGCAAATTTAACACTTATCCTTCCATTGGGTTTCAGTGATTAGCACTAGCTTGAGCTTGCAGTTGGTGCTCAAAACTCTTATTGTCATGCTGCAATGGTTGTTTGGTCCAAAACAAAGCCATTCACTAATCACATTATGCAAGTTTGAAACATGCACATGATTCGTGCACATGAACTGATTACCTAAGCGTTCTTATCCACTGTCATTTCTGTGCGCAAAGTGTTGGGTATTATAATAAAAATAAAGGTGAACACAACAGAAATGGGGCCACAAATTATCAAATTCTGTCTTATGGCATTGCTAAAATGTTAGCACGTTTACAAATTCAAGATCTGTTGAATATATAAAGCTAAAAAGCAGGACTATCAAGCATTTTTATCATTAGTGTAACAATAGTTTGTATATCCTTAAAATCTTGTCAGGGATATTGAAAACAAGTGTTTATTTATAAAATAATTCCAAGATCACATGCTTATGATTGTTCATGGCTGGTCCCGCATCAGCTTATGACTAATTTACCAATCAGATGATTCCTAACTCACTATAAATAACCAGAGTTTCTTACCTTAGTATCTTCTTCGAGTCCAGGGCTCGAGGATCTCATAAGCTCAGGGCTCTCTCCCAGGACATTATGCCAAACAGTGCTTTATTATCAATCATCAGCTTGAACACTTGAAGAATCAATTAAACACTATGTCTATTAAAGTTTGAAAATTGTCCCTCACATATTTAAAAATCTGCTTGTTATTTTATATGTTTAGTAAATACTGGTCAGAATAAATTTGCTATAATATTTTCGCATATATGTCAGTAAGTTCAATAAGTTACAATAAGTTCCCAGTAGTGGGCTGCAGCTGGAAGGGCATCCGCTGCGTAAAACATATGCCTGAAATGCTTGTAGTTCATTCTGCTGTGGCAACCTCTGAAATTGCTGAAGGAAAATGAATGATTGAATGAACTTACAAAAAGCTTTGTATGTATAGTGCTCAGCATATAAGTACACCCCATTTACAAATCTATATTTTAAATTAATATTTTTAATAGGAAGCTTTACAAGATTATATTTTTGCATATACGTACATTAGATTAGTCAGTACTAAAGCCAGATCTGGAGCTCATCTAACAAAATAATGTACGATAACGGTCCAAAAACTAGTACACCCAAATTTATGTTATAGAAAAATATAAAATACAAATTTTAAAAAAAGAGAAAAAAAAATCTATTAGAAGCAAAATAATTGAAAAATTGTGTTGTAAATACATTTTTTGCAGTATTTTGAGCGACTTTATTGTATTATCTTTCAATTTCTAATTATGTTTGGTGACCTGTTATCTGTTTAATAAATCTGTTTTGCTTAAATGCACCAAAATGTATTGCCTATATTTACTGAGAAATGGATACAAATATTTATTTTCAATATGGGGTGTGCTCAATTATGCTGATTACTGTAAATACACAAGCTTCTGTAAATCTACCATTAAAGAAACAACACCTGAGCATCACATAATCAACACATAATAAAGCCACATAGAACATGCTGAACATGAGTAACCAAAATTTGTGACCAATATTCCACATAAAAGTGTACACATATCTTTTTTCCCATGAAACTGTTCCAGACATACACAATGTGTGATGTTTTAAGAGTAATTTTTGCATGTTTATTCTTTGACCCTCCTACCAATACCATGTAGATAAGATTAACAATGAATAAAACCTCTGTTTTCCTCCTTCTAGGTACTCGACTAATTACTATGACCACACCTACATCATCACCTTTTTTGTTACATGCTTTATCCTTCCTCTTGGTGTGATCATTATCTCCTATGGTAAACTCATGCAGAAGCTCAGAAAGGTTAGTCATATACTCTCTTACCATGATGTTAATTCTGATTGGTTGTGCGTTTCATGTTGCCATGTGATCTAAATATAGTCTCTGACTATAATTAACTATCGGACTTTAATATGCTTAATAGGTATCGAACACTCATGGACGGCTGGGTAACGCACGGAAGCCTGACCGAGAGGTGGCGAGGATGGTCGTTGTAATGATAGTTGCGTTCATGGTTGGATGGACGCCTTATGCAGCATTCTCTATTACTGTCACAGCCTGTCCCACAATCTATATTGATCCTCGTCTGGGCTCAATACCGGCCTTCTTCTCAAAGACTGCAGCTGTGTACAATCCCATCATCTATGTCTTCATGAATAAACAGGTACGTCTCTGCCATTTATCATTCTTATCTGGCATTTTCAGATCACCTACACATTTTGCTAGAAATAATGTTTTTGAGTTTAAGGCTTCTAGCTGAGAACAGAATCCGATTAAAGGATTTTTATGCTTTATATATCAAGAATCGATTTGTGGTGTTTTTGCCATCAATCGATAAAAGGCAGAAAAGAAACAGGGCTGAGAAGATGAATCTTACATGACATACTGTATAACGATAAAAATTAAATTAGAAACTCACCTTGAAGTAGAATGTAGTGTTCTTTTAGTATCTTTAAGATATATTACTATACTACTTTTTAAAGCAGTTTTGTTGTATTTTGGTCATTTACTGTTTTTCTAAATATGATTGCTTGTTCAAATTATAATTAATAAATTACAATTTCCATGTATTTTTATATTCTGGGTAAGGCATAAGACTAAAAACAGGGTACCCCCGGGATCCTCCAAATGAAATTCAAGCCCTTTTAAGACCTTTTTAATACTATTTTAAATGAAATTCAATACCAACTTCGCACCCATTACGACAGAAGTATGAGGGGAAAATGTCAAATCTGTCTAAATTTTGAACCCTAGAAAACAATTGTGCACAAGTGGACTTGAATTAAATAAAACATTTTTTTTCAATTATCAGTTATATTTAATTCATACACAACAGTGTGGTCTTCCACCCAGTAGCAAATAGGAAGGTCCAACTGTTTACTTTTCGTCATCTTATTGAGACTCTGGTCAAACATGACCACAAACCCGTTGGTCATATTGAACTGGGCAGTCATTTCTTTAGTTATGAAAGGAGCCTATCCAAATTTAGTATAACATGCAGTTTTGTTGCTTCCACACGAGAATATAGCTGCAAACTTATAGTCAGGAAACATGGTTTTGTAAACCTCTGTAATGTTCTAATTCGATTTGTCAAGAGGCTCGCACACTAGAAGTGCCGCTCGGCGATGTGTCGCACCACGCAGCACCATGCATTTCAGAATTCTAAACATAGGTTTCTATCAGGGTACACACACTGGCGCCGCAAGCTGGCGGCTGTCCGCAGCGCCCAGCCACGACTCAGGACACTGTTCATATTTCTGCCACGCCACAGAGGGCCATCTGAATAGTTTCATTTTAAATAACATGCAAATGTGTGCGTCTGGTGTGCGATAGTTCCAACTGTCATGTGCACGCCGTGTTGCGGCGATGAGCGTCACACTTAAGAGTTTTGCTCAGAGATTGTTTTAAGGACCCGCATCACCCCTGCCCACAGAGTTGGTGTTGAGCCACAGTAAGATAGGATGTTCCTTGGCTGTGGTGGCAATGTTTCTAATGTAGAAATTTCTTCATTAATGATAGCCAAAGCTATTTCAGTAACCGAAAAGGTCTCCGGTGCACAGAACTGCACAATAGGTGGTTGCCGCTGACAAGCAGCACTACATGCGATATGGCAGTCCAGGGCTTTAACAACCATCGTCGCTAGCTTAAAAGATTTCAGGCACCAACAGCAGTAGGGGTTGTGGTCATTTCCTGGCACAAGCTTGACTCAAACGTAATTCGAATTCCTTGGCCACAGCAGATTAAACCGAGACTTTCCTATTTTAGTTGACAAACTAGACTATGACTCTCTTGTTCAGTACCTCTCTTGCCTAGTAACCATAGTAAAGGGTGCGCACGCTTTTGGCTTTTTGCTGTGATGTGTAGCGTGAGGTGCACTCAGCGTTACACTGCATGAATTTTTTAATTAGCCTACGTTAGTAACAGTTAATTTTGTTATGGTATGAACTTTAGGAGGAAATATGGTATGCCTAGGAAAGACACAAATAAAATAAATAAGACCTTTGTAACGAAATACAAGACGTTGCACACCAAATTCAAGGCTACTTAGGGGTTAACTTAAGATTATCAAATTTAAGACTTTTTCAATGCTTTTAAGACCCCGCGGGTACTCTGAAAAAAATCTGCATCCAATTACAAATTGTTGGGCCGACAATTCCCATAATTCTGATAAGTAGCCCAAACTTTGTTCATGTGCACACGAGAAGAGAGAGCATTAAAAACAAATGGGAGTTAGTTTTGCATGCTCGAGGAGGTACAACACAATGGCTAAAGTATTTATTTTGGACACGTAATGTTATGTTTTAAAACTTTTATAATCACACAAAGCTTATGTAAATTTGTTATGAATGGGTTAAATGCACAGAAGTTTTTGATTTTAAATCTTCCGGCGAAGGATTGATGTGACTATTTTTAGTTTCTTAAGGGATTTTTTACATCATTGATAATGTATATTTTTATTTAGTTTAAAAACATAACAGAAGTAAATAGTTCTATTCCGCGTAGCCTGCTTTTCTGAGGCGAAGTTGACTTTATAATCACATTGGTTCAATTTTGAACAATGACAGCCTGTGAAGATTCCACATTCCTTATATTCAGTCTGAAATAGCATGTAAGTATGGCTTAGTAATAAGTGTAATTCCTGCACCCCACCGGCCAACCACTAAGCAAAGTCGCTTTAGGGCAGCACGTGAGAGAGGGTTGTCTGCTTTTTGTCTGCTTTTACGTAAGGAAAAGTTTGGGTGTCTTTAGCTTTCCATCTTGAGTTTTACATGGTGAGAAACTTCAGTTGCTTTGTCATGATCAGAGGTGGAAAGAGTACTGAAAAGTCATACTTAGGTAAAAGTACAATTACTTGCCCCAAAATTAGTGAAAATAGAGTAAAAGTATCTGTTGTAAATATGACTCAAAGTATGAGTAAAAAGTAGCCCTTTCAAAAGTACTCAAGAGTAGTAAGTATTAAGGATTACACTGTGAAAGGCTGATGCGTTTACCTGCAAATTGTGTCAGGATGTGTAAATGTATCATCCTGTAGTGGATTTAGTGATGATTTAAGGCCATTTGTTTAAGGACATCCGCCTGGACACTTAATGGGTCCAAATTGTTTACTGCATTTATAAAGTGCCCATGTCTTCAGGTAGTTCAGTATGATGTGATGTATTTTCTGTGCGATTTGACTGGAAAGAAAACACAAGATTGATATTTCTACTAAGCCAATCCTCATAGACAAGAAAAAATTAAGTAGTGACTGCAGGTGGAGAGAAAGTAGTGGAGTAAAAGTAAAATGTACTCAAGGGAAAGTAAAAGTACACATTTTTAAAACTACTTAGTAAATTACTATCCCTGAGAAAAAACTACTCTTTTACAGTAATTTGAGTATTTGTATTGTGTTACTTTACACCACTGGTCACAATTAGAAAACAATGGCACAATATTGGACTATTCCCATTTAAAAAGATTCTGGAATCTCTGCGGAGATAGGCTACACATTAGGAGTGAAACAGTATGCACTGTTGCTCTATTTGTCTCTTTTTTGGAACAAGTTCCCCATAAATTAAGCCTGTCAACAAGAGGAATTTGTCCTCTGCGTCCCTGTGGTGTGTTGTTTGATGTAAAGGGCATAGCAGTGATCTTTTGTAGGCATGTGACTCTGATGACCACCCCTAGGATGTGGGTCTCAGGTGGTTTAGAGCACAGGCTGCTGGACCCCTTGAGCGGTGCACATCTTCCAGAACCAACCCAGTTCCTGCCCAGCTGTTCCCAGAATAAATTCAGGTCGAGGGTCACAGGGTTGCAAAATTTCTCTGACGTGAGAGAGAAAGACAGACTAGATTATAGAGAGATGAAGGAACACTTGAGAGTATTAATAGGGATAGTTTTAATAAACATGTTATGATTTCAAGTGCACTTAAGTAAATGGAGAATCTCACTAAAAATTACCATGATTTGTGGACTGTGCAGTGCATTAATGGACTTTACATTGTATACTTTGCTTATGTAACAGAACTTTCAAGAGCCCCTATTATGCATTAAAAAAGTCATATTTTAGTTTTGGGTTCTCCAACAATAGACTGATATGCATGCAAGGTCAAAAAACTCTTTCATTGTCTCATAATTGGCATTTATTTTACCTAATTACCCCAAAGACCATATGATTTGTTTAGCGATTCATTTGTTCCTATAGTGCAAAGCTAATCTGCGATGATTGGTCTGATGACCCAGTCTGTTGCCTGGTTGAAACAGAGGGAACTGCCCAACTCAGCTATGAACTAGCACACAGAGTATGTGAGAGCCCAATGCAGGAATGCAATTAAACATCAGCACATTACTATATTCTTAATCCTAACCCCAAGTAACAACAAAAGACAGAATATTAATCAACACAGTGGTAAAATTTGAACCATTTTGAAAACTGATCATGTGAAAAACAGCTGATGGTGGCCATAGCAAACAGCTGAGGATCTCGAGTTCAGAAATGGATTTAAATCGTTAAAGGAAGAAGCACGTGTTGTGTTTTCAATGTGGTTTTGGACACAATATGTGAATAGCTCATGTAGGTTTAACCTGAGAGATGAATTATAAGCACTGATCTATAATAAGTAAAGGATTACAAGCCGCACAGAGCGATTACAAGTTACAACACACTATTAACTACATATTTTGAAAACTTCTGAAAACAAGGCCACAACTTTAATGACACATGTTATGATCGGGAGGAAGAAGAAACTAGCCCATTTAAACAGCAAAAGTTACTGACAAAGTCCCTGTCAAAGTTACATCCATAATGGTCTCTGCTGCTCCTTTTTTAATAACAAATGGCAGACGAATACTGCGTCGCAGCATAGGTTATTGTATCAAAAATCTGAAAAATGACAGGAACAAACACAGCACTAGTTTGACTATGTGGTATTGTTGTGAAAATGAACTTTAACCCTTTATTCCCCACAACCTAATCTCTATCTGTCAGTGATCAACATCTTCGTGTCATGTTCAGTCCCGTGATCCCTCGTGCTCCGCTAGTTTCCTGAACCGGCCTTTCGTATTTGGTGATGTACCATAGCAACGTCAACACTTTATAGCAAAAAATCCGAACCCAACATGATTCATTTATTCGACTCTGAGTTGACTATTTTGTTAACGATTCAATAGTTTTAAACAGGGCATACT